GAGGATCTGGATGCGAGGAGAAGACGATTTGCTCGGATTTGTCAGTCAATTGAACGCTGGAAAAGGGCTCAGAGTAGTGATCGATTGTATTGAAGGAGTTTATGGACAAAAGGCAAAGGAGGCTTGTGTAAGTCTGGGGCATGAAAACTTTAGTTGACAATTTGCAAGCGTTGGAAATGGCTAAATTTGAATTTTTTTTGTCTCGCACTGTGCAGGGGCAGTCGAAGTACTAAACGATTTTTGTCGGTAAGACAGTAAAGTATCATGCCCCTATTCCAACCCTAGAGGCTTAAGACCGAGATTTTTGAATCGAAAGTTGAAAAAATACCAGTTCATGCGAAAATTCGAAAAAAATGTAGAATTTTTGCATGAAACTTTCATGCCTATTTCTGGCATAGAGGGTAGTGTTTCCACAAAAAGAATAATTTTTCCGTTCAAAACTGGCTAAAAAAGCATTCTTCTATCTTTCCGCTCCTAGCGTTTGCGTGACCTATAAGAGAGCAGTGAATATCTCGACTATTCCTGCAAAGCGCGACCTAAAATTTCGTGAAAAGCAATTTGGTTTTGCCGCGACGCAATTCATTTTCTCTTCGGCGATGCGAATTTCAATGCGACAGAGTGTTCGTTGTTTTCCCTACAGACTGAAAGAAAAAAAGCAATTTGAATTGAACTCCTAATCTCAACCGTTCCAGTCCGAACGTCAAGCCCTTCTCATCCAACTGCAAGAACACAAAATCAAAGGCTTTGCGGAGGTGATCGTTGCCGAAAACTATAACGCCGGCGTCGATTCACTTGTTCAAACCTCCACACTCGGAGACCTTCGACATAACACCGTTTGCTGGCCCAACAAATGGACCTCCTCCAAGTCCACGAACGAAGCCAACCGCTTCGTCAGCGTTTTGTGCAGCATTGCGACCGCGAAATGCGCAATTCTAGAACATCCGCAACTTCCCCGAATCGAGCGAGAAATTGACCGGCACTGCGGATGTCTGGTGGATTGTGCATGACGGCGGAATGCTGATGCTGCTGCCATTATTGCTACAAAAACACCGAACATGGTGAAATACGAAGTCGAGGCTGTTCACAATTTCAACGTTGGACGATGACAGATGAAGGACGAGTTGGAGAAATTCCTGTATCATCTACGAGTTGAAGGAGAGATTTTTGTCATCGATGGATGAAGTGGCATGCACGGCAACCCAAAGTGTTTCCTGGCTCCTTCCGAGACTTCGCCCATTTTCTTTCGGTTGAAATCAAACGAAATGTTACACAATAGTTTTTTGACGGATTTTCCGACCGAGAAATGCTTTTCTAGGAACTATTTTATTTCTTTTGCCAAGGTTGACACAAAAGTTTCGGGTTGTCCTGCCTAAGTACTAGTCGCGCTATAAAGGCTATAGAATTTTAGCAAGTGTTCTACAAAAAGTAAGTTTTTGCGATATGACGAAGAACCATTTTTCTCACTGTCCACACACCAAGTCTTGCATAGTCTCTCGCCGGCAAAGACTGTTGAATATAAACAAAATACAGGGTGAGCCTCGAAACGGGCAAGTTTTGTCTTTGGATTTCTCAGCAGATTTTTCTAAAATTTCGATTTTTTCTGGAGCTGAGGCCCAAAATTTTCAACAGATTAAATTTCAAAAAAATATTTTTTAAATTGTCCTTTCTATGCCTTCCCATAGGTTTGAAGAATTATTTTCGAGCCGACACCACTAAAACTTAGAAAAATTTGTGGAATAATTTCGAAAACTTGGTCATTTTTTCGAGTTTTTGGGCGAAATTTTCTTAGTTTTGCCTCAGATAATCATAAAATGTTGTTGTAAAAACAATTTTATTTAACAATCTGATTATTCGTATTTCTATCTGAGTTAGAAATGAACATCCTTCGCAACACAAACTTGTAAGATCTTTGAGGGTCGTGAACAGCTCGAATTACAGATCGTGAACAAGGTTTATCTTCACTCAGGCTGGGCTCCAAGCCTCAACGTGCCCAGCCCGGGCTCGTAGCCAATTGTGTGGACTTTTTAAATTTTGTTGAAAAAATTGGTTTTTTGAAGTTCGTGCCTTAACCTTAACGCGGACAACACTATTTTTGCTTTCAACCTGCTTTAAACAAGTTTAGGGAGAGCGTACACACGGCAACCCGAAGTGTTTCCTGGCTCCTTTCGACAATTCGCCCATTCTGTATCGGTTGAAATCAAACGAAATGTCACAAAAGAATTTTTCGTGGGATTTTCCGACCGAAAAAATGTTTTTCTCGGAATTATGTTGTCAATTTTGACACTTCGTTTGGACGAATCTCAAAAGTGGGCGGGAAACATTTTTCTTCTTTTTCAGGTTGCCGTGCGTACGCAACTTTTTACATCTCGATTTTACCAAAAAAAACCAAAAGTTTTCCAAGTCCGAGAAAATCAATTGAAAATCATTCCGAAAATTTTCTAAGTTTTAGCGGTTATTTTTCCCATATTTACGATGTCTGAGCTTTGCAACAACTGTACTACAATTTTCAGCCGGAAGCAGCCATCTCTTTACGAGAAACGCTGCGAATGGAGAAGCGCGAGTTCACTCGTCAAAGTTGCTGAAACTCGACTTCGTCCATTGTGACGGGGAACACGAGGCGCTCACGGGCTTGAAACTCGCGCTTCTTCCCGTAAATACAAATGTCACCTTGGCCAATTTTGGTCGCGCGCTAACCGAACCTAGGCCAGCTTGGAGCACGATTTCATATGACGTCCAGTGATGACATCGCTGTGTCTTACGGCCTTCAGCACAGCTATGCTGCAACAATTGAGACCTGTTTCCTGCTCTATATGGGACCCAGAGATGGTGGAGATGGAAGTTCGGCGGAATTCTTTGCCTTGCTCTGCCGCGGTGGTGAATCTTTTTTTTGCCAGAAGGTTTAGATGTGTTGAAGACTTCCGAGTGAGTCGAGTAGTTCTTCACAACTCCGGCTGAATGGCCTACCAGAGCCGAAATATGCCAAACTTAAGGTCTTTGCCGTTTCAGGGCCGTAATTCCGCCCTTCTCAAATTTTTCCACCGTTTTTCCTCGTAGCATGACAGAAGGACCCCTAAGAATATCACCAAGCCCAATAACTTACTTTGCTTCAGCACCAGGGGCAAGAAAATTGCAAAACATTGCGCGAATTTATAATTTTGTCGCAAAGAAAATCACAAAAATCTCGGTTTTTTCAACTTTTTTCCAAATTGTGGAAACTTTCCATAATAATTTTTTGGTACAAGATTTATAGTACACTAATGCATATTGGAGCCAAATATGGCACAGTTTTATTGACAACCACAAAAGTTACAGCGATTTTAAAAGTGCATTTATAATTTTGTCGAGCAGTGTATTTACGGGAAGAAGCGCGAGTTTCAAGCCCGTGAGCGCTTCGTGTTCCCCGTCACAATGGACGAAGTCGAGTTTCAGCAACTTTGACGAGTGAACTCGCGCTTCTCCATTCGCAGCGTTTCTCGTAAAGAGATGGCTGCTTCCGGCTGAAAATTGTAGTACAGTTGTTGCAAAGCTCAGACATCGTAAATATGGGAAAAATAACCGCTAAAACTTAGAAAATTTTCGGAATGATTTTCAATTGATTTTCTCGGACTTGGAAAACTTTTGGTTTTTTTTGGTAAAATCGAGATGTAAAAAGTTGCGTACGCACGGCAACCTGAAAAAGAAGAAAAATGTTTCCCGCCCACTTTTGAGATTCGTCCAAACGAAGTGTCAAAATTGACAACATAATTCCGAGAAAAACATTTTTTCGGTCGGAAAATCCCACGAAAAATTCTTTTGTGACATTTCGTTTGATTTCAACCGATACAGAATGGGCGAATTGTCGAAAGGAGCCAGGAAACACTTCGGGTTGCCGTGTGTACGCTCTCCCTAAACTTGTTTAAAGCAGGTTGAAAGCAAAAATAGTGTTGTCCGCGTTAAGGTTAAGGCACGAACTTCAAAAAACCAATTTTTTCAACAAAATTTAAAAAGTCCACACAATTGGCTACGAGCCCGGGCTGGGCACGTTGAGGCTTGGAGCCCAGCCTGAGTGAAGATAAACCTTGTTCACGATCTGTAATTCGAGCTGTTCACGACCCTCAAAGATCTTACAAGTTTGTGTTGCGAAGGATGTTCATTTCTAACTCAGATAGAAATACGAATAATCAGATTGTTAAATAAAATTGTTTTTACAACAACATTTTATGATTATCTGAGGCAAAACTAAGAAAATTTCGCCCAAAAACTCGAAAAAATGACCAAGTTTTCGAAATTATTCCACAAATTTTTCTAAGTTTTAGTGGTGTCGGCTCGAAAATAATTCTTCAAACCTATGGGAAGGCATAGAAAGGACAATTTAAAAAATATTTTTTTGAAATTTAATCTGTTGAAAATTTTGGGCCTCAGCTCCAGAAAAAATCGAAATTTTAGAAAAATCTGCTGAGAAATCCAAAGACAAAACTTGCCCGTTTCGAGGCTCACCCTGTATTTTGTTTATATTCAACAGTCTTTGCCGGCGAGAGACTATGCAAGACTTGGTGTGTGGACAGTGAGAAAAATGGTTCTTCGTCATATCGCAAAAACTTACTTTTTGTAGAACACTTGCTAAAATTCTATAGCCTTTATAGCGCGACTAGTACTTAGGCAGGACAACCCGAAACTTTTGTGTCAACCTTGGCAAAAGAAATAAAATAGTTCCTAGAAAAGCATTTCTCGGTCGGAAAATCCGTCAAAAAACTATTGTGTAACATTTCGTTTGATTTCAACCGAAAGAAAATGGGCGAAGTCTCGGAAGGAGCCAGGAAACACTTTGGGTTGCCGTGCATGCCACTTCATCCATCGATGACAAAAATCTCTCCTTCAACTCGTAGATGATACAGGAATTTCTCCAACTCGTCCTTCATCTGTCATCGTCCAACGTTGAAATTGTGAACAGCCTCGACTTCGTATTTCACCATGTTCGGTGTTTTTGTAGCAATAATGGCAGCAGCATCAGCATTCCGCCGTCATGCACAATCCACCAGACATCCGCAGTGCCGGTCAATTTCTCGCTCGATTCGGGGAAGTTGCGGATGTTCTAGAATTGCGCATTTCGCGGTCGCAATGCTGCACAAAACGCTGACGAAGCGGTTGGCTTCGTTCGTGGACTTGGAGGAGGTCCATTTGTTGGGCCAGCAAACGGTGTTATGTCGAAGGTCTCCGAGTGTGGAGGTTTGAACAAGTGAATCGACGCCGGCGTTATAGTTTTCGGCAACGATCACCTCCGCAAAGCCTTTGATTTTGTGTTCTTGCAGTTGGATGAGAAGGGCTTGACGTTCGGACTGGAACGGTTGAGATTAGGAGTTCAATTCAAATTGCTTTTTTTCTTTCAGTCTGTAGGGAAAACAACGAACACTCTGTCGCATTGAAATTCGCATCGCCGAAGAGAAAATGAATTGCGTCGCGGCAAAACCAAATTGCTTTTCACGAAATTTTAGGTCGCGCTTTGCAGGAATAGTCGAGATATTCACTGCTCTCTTATAGGTCACGCAAACGCTAGGAGCGGAAAGATAGAAGAATGCTTTTTTAGCCAGTTTTGAACGGAAAAATTATTCTTTTTGTGGAAACACTACCCTCTATGCCAGAAATAGGCATGAAAGTTTCATGCAAAAATTCTACATTTTTTTCGAATTTTCGCATGAACTGGTATTTTTTCAACTTTCGATTCAAAAATCTCGGTCTTAAGCCTCTAGGGTTGGAATAGGGGCATGATACTTTACTGTCTTACCGACAAAAATCGTTTAGTACTTCGACTGCCCCTGCACAGTGCGAGACAAAAAAAATTCAAATTTAGCCATTTCCAACGCTTGCAAATTGTCAACTAAAGTTTTCATGCCCCAGACTTACACAAGCCTCCTTTGCCTTTTGTCCATAAACTCCTTCAATACAATCGATCACTACTCTGAGCCCTTTTCCAGCGTTCAATTGACTGACAAATCCGAGCAAATCGTCTTCTCCTCGCATCCAGATCCTCTTGCTCGCAGTAAAACATCTTATGTGCATACAGCACCAACAACTGTGGCCGCCAATTCCTAGAATGATGTTCTTGCCCCTGACTGGCCGATAACAGCACATATCTAGCTGCTGACAATTTCAGTCCTTACAATCCATCGCCCCATTCTTTTTCAGCGCCTTTTAGTTCGATATACTTGTAGACGACCACGCCCATTGCAATCGCCAAGATCGCAAACTTCCAGTTGCTGATGAACATGATTATTAAGCAGAGAAGTGCGCCAGCCAACGATAAGGTCCAGTGGAAGCACTTGAAAGTGGGGCGCCAACCCGGCGCTTTCATTATGGACTGAAATGCGCACGCCAGGTTGATGCCTAGATAACACATGAGCAAAGAACTCGGTGAACAAGGCAGTTAGGGATTCCAGGACCGCGATGAGAATTCCGATTTCTCAAATAAGAAGGGTTAAGAATATTACGACCGAGGGCTCGCCGCGTCGATCGGTCGACTTGAACATTCGAAGGAAGAGGATCACTTCGTCGGAGGCGATCGCCTGAAAACATTGAGTTTTAGAGTCAGGAATAATAAGCCTATTCTAGCCACAAGGCAATTGACGTCGGCATTTTTTTTGTTGCAAGGTCTTGAGAATCAGCAGGGAAGTCGTCAAAATGCGATGCTCATTTTTTAATAAAGATTGGCTCAAATGTAGGATAAGTTTTTCTGAGGCACATGTGGCACTCTTATCCCGCTCTGCGGAATCTACCATGAAGGGTAATGTTTCCATAAAAAAATTATTTTTTTTCCGCATGAAACTGGCCATGATATGGATTAAAAGTGTTTTTATCTCTGACCGCTCGCTGAGTTTCGCGTGCTCTCTCGACAAACAAGAACGTTGAATATCTCGGCTGTCCATGCAAAGTACAAGCTAAAATTTTCAAGAACTGCTATGTGTCTTATACCTAAAGTGTGTGCATGCAGACTTTTTAGAGTAAAACGAAAAATCTGAGCGTCGCACTTCGAAGCCTTCTCTTGGTAGTCTTGCAGCTACCCTCAACGGATTGATTTTGCATTCTTCTTACGTTCTGCAAGAAAGATGACCCCACACACCTACCTGCAGAATTCTTGGCGCTCCAGTCAACGATTGCATTCCAGAGCCTATTGTGGACGCAAGACAACCAATCAAGATGACAATCGGCGCGGGGACCGTCAACTCAGCGACGATCATCTTGCCCATCTCGGACTCGCCATGCTTATCGCGGATAAACATCTCAGAGACGGTCATTCCGAAAAATGCAGTGCCGAAAATGTTTGAAACATAAAATTGTTGTGTTCTGCTACACGTATAGTAAATTAAAAAACTTTTTTTTTATTTTGACAAAGCAACAAAAACTTTTTTTTTTATTTTTTAACAGCGTCCTTTCAAAAAAAAAGCCTAAAAATATTTGCAATCAATTTACTGGCAATATAAGTGGTCAGCTGCGCGCCAACAATCCCCAAGGGGATAGCCACCGCTGGATCTTTCAGATTTCCCGACAGATTTGATCCGACCATGATCCCAGTGACTGATGGGAAATACACTCCAACCAGCACCATAAAACTGGTCGTGGTGTTGTGAAACACCCTGTAGCTTCCCTTCTCAGCTTTCGGTTCAGTTAAAAATATAAGTCGACTTGGGCTAGTTACTTAGGTTTATTTACTATAACAATAACCTTAAACCCAGAGAATATTACAAGGCTTGCTTGCGCAGCCACAGATACGGGCTCGGACGCGACCGTCCGGCTTTTTTTCTTATTCAGTCCTCCTTTGACCCGATCCTCAATCTTGCCAGATCGAGGTGGGCGGAGTCTAGACTTGGGATTACAATGGTAGATAGATATTGTATATTCGTATGAGACTATTACAGAATCTTACAGTTCTTTCGCAGGATCACCTCGAGTCAAAACTTGACCCGCCTTCTGGTATTTCGAAAACAGATTCCTCCAGGCATCTGACGAAAACCTGGTAATTGCGCCCTGAGGTCCAATGCTTTGCGGATGGGATTGTATAACCTTCATAAAGCACGGATCGCAGTTCGTATTGTTCGAACAGAATGTGGGCCGTCAATCGAGCAGGCCTGTGTGTAGTAGAACTTCTCAGCTTAGGTGACCAAATTTACGGGGCGATCTCCAATCATACATACAGTATTTGAGCGAGTCGGTACCGTTGAACTTCATGAATTCACCGATAAATGTGCAAAGAATACAACCCAGGACCATGAAGAGGGTTGGCAATGCGCATTTATTGACAACCTAAAATACGGTTTCTTGGTAACAAAAAATCGATTTTAAATGAGGAATAAGGCGATCAGATTGAAGTTTTCGACGTCCTGTAAACTTTGAATCGATTTTTTTGAATTTGACATTACAGTACATACATATATGTTGGCACAATAAAAATACGTATAATTGTATCTGCTGTTCAACACCAAAGAGATAGTGGTAGCCAGCAAAAATGATACACCGTACTATAAGTATAACATCCACAATCTTTACCTTGTGTGTATATAGAATTGTTTGGAGTCTTTTCAGGCTTAAAATATTTACTTACCGTCGAAGGCAGTCGAAGGCGGAACCTTATTCTTTCTCTTTGGTCACTCATTTTTTCTGGAATTTTCTCCATTGGATATCAGTCCATTCGCAAAGTTTTTGAAGTGATTTCGGCGACATGCACTGTGCGAAACAAAAGTTCACTTTGCACTGTGCAATTTTCGGCTTTTTGCACGGTGCAACAGGCTTCTGGCCCAGCGCGTCGGCGCCAAAAACTTGAACCGCCGGATATCAAAACTGTGTACTTTTAGATTTGAATCATTGTATTTCGAAAGTTGTTATTGTGTCCATTTCACGTTTCTTACTGCCGTCTTTCGTAAAAACACACTTCCGTCGGTCGTGAAACACAAACTTTTCAACAATTTTTTGCAAGTTTCTGTAAATTATTTTAGTTTCTTAAAGTTTTTTGAAATTTTGCAAAACATTTTTACAGCACTATTTATACTGCACATCCCTTGAAAGTTTAATATTTCCGGAAACAAAATATTTCCATTGAAAACTCGGAATTGTTGGAAAAAATAATTTTGTTTCAACTAATAATGATTTTATTACAAGCTCCGCCCACTCTCCTTCCTCTACACACTCCCTCGCCTTCTAACTCTCTCCTCTCCACATTCTCTCGTCTCTCCCACCGTCTGACTCACTCCTCTCCACATTCTCTCGCACTTTTCAACCATTCTCTGCAAGTTTCTGCAAATTATTTCAAAGTTTCTAAAAATTTTTGTAAGTTTTTCATTTTTACAGCAATATTTTACTGCGCATTCAGTTTTTTTGGAATACTCGGCGTCCCTTGAAAGTTGCACATCTTCTTGTTAAAAACTCGGAACTGTTGGAAAAAATAATTTTATTTCAACTAATAGTGATTTTTTTCACAAGCTCCGCCCCTCTCCTCCGTCTACACACCTTCTCACCGTCTAACTCTATACTATAGACATTCTCTCGTCTCTCTCACTGTCTGACTCTAGTCTTTTACCCTACTCTCTCACTTCCGATTCCCCTGGCACATTGTTCTTTCGTAATTGGAAAATGTTTTTTTAACGGGGCGGCACTATCACTGATTGAAAAAAGCGGGATGAAGCGCCGCAAATTCAAATTTACCACAATTTCATTTACGCAAAAACCATTGACACACATACTCATTGAATGATATTTTCTGAAATTTCGATGCTCCTATGAGAATCAATGCCACATCTATTATCATCTTAGCTTTTCCATATTCATCTAACACATCATGGGTGTTTCTGTTAGAGATTCGGTCATATCTCGAAGTTCCAACGAAACTTGAGAATACCCGATATGGCAGTTGATGCAGAATAATCTAGAGAAAAAATGTGTTGACTTTCAGAATTTTCTGTTCGCGAATTTTTTTCAATTCCAGGAGTATGTTATTCTAAGAGGTGGTATCGCCGAACATGAGATAAATAAGATTATTAGTATTGTTGGCTCTCCTTGAATATATATTCATGTATTTTTTTGTTAAATATGACGTTATTTATGCTGTTACACATCACTTTATGCATGTTGTCACAACAAAAGGAAAATTCTAAAAAAATGCACAATGCCACATTTTTTGGCAAAAAAATGTTTCTGTGGTGCAACCGGCAAAAATTTTTAGCTTCGCAAGCAAAAAAATGTAAAACATTACGCCAAAAACTTGTTTTTCGTGGTGGTACAAACCATAATTAGCAGAAAAAACGACGTGCCTTGGTAATTTTTGTACCCTATAACTACTCTTATTAATTCTTTTGTTCATCTTAAAGTCCGAGGTTCTCCAAGCCAAGGCGCAAATAAGGAATGTTCCCGCTGTGGGACCCAAAACGGCGGGTCTCTCTCGCTAAAAAAAAAACACTGCGGTTTCACACAACAGAAAAGCGGGAACTTCGTTTTGTTCTTTTTTTGAAGCGGGGGCGCAGCTCGCGGGGGCAAAAAATGACGTTTTTTAACTGTAACTTTTAAACTAACAGTCGAATCAAAAATCGTCCAGGGATTTAGAAAATACAGTTTGTCTTTGATCTTATGACGTATTAAACACATTGCAGAAGTGAAATCAGAGACCACTTGTCTGTGACGTTAAATTTACCTATGTTGGGATTACTGTATCAAAACCAAAAATCGAAATGGGATGGAGAAGTCGATATATAGACACTGAAAACGTCAAAAAAGGTTGACTGAGCGTGAAGTTATGACACCCAAAAAACATGCTGATTTTTGACAATTTCGAAAGTTTTGTACCCTATAACTACTCTTATTAATTCTTTTGTTCATCTTAATATTCACATGGACACTGTATATCGCATTTATCTGCGAAAAGAAACGTTTGACCTTGCGCGAAAGGATCACAGATGTTGCGCGAAGTGGATCCCATGGGACGCCAGTCACGACTCTCGGAAGAAATAAGATTTTTAAATGTTACGCACATGAAGTGTAATAAAATATAATTTGAGTCATATGTCATAAAATTGTATAGAACGTTTGTATAAATCACACAATTGATTAATTATCAGACTCCCACGAAAAGATTACAAATTATCAGATGTTCCCCCAAGGGGTAGTATGTTATAATGACCATATTAATTATCAGATGTTACCTGAGATGTTAACACCTCTTACAACACCTTTTAATTAATTAGTGTCGCTTGATGATGGGGGTTCGGTGAGAGGTACTTATACACTACTGAGATTGATTTTTGTTTTTGTGGATTTACTGAGAGATGAGAGAAGCAGATTTTGAAAAATTTTGCCAGAGACATACTACTGCATCACATATCAAAGTCTTAAAATTTTAGCTCACGCTTTGCAAGGGCAGCCGAGAAATTCAATATAATTTTTGCTGGGAAAACATGTCAGATGCTTGAAGTGCGACGCTCAGATTTTTTTTTACATTTTTCACACATTTCATGCATAGGCCATATATCAATGCCTGAAAGTTTTAGCTCGTGCTTTACAGTCTCAGCCGAGATATTGAACGATCTTTGCGGCCGAGAGAACATGCGAAACGCGGAGAGCGGTCAGAGAGAAACCCATTTTTTGGCCGTTCTTTGCCAGTTTCGCGTCGAAGAAAATTTATTTTTTGTGGAAACTCTCTATTGTATTAATAGAAATAGGTAGGAAACTTTCCATGCCAAAATTTGCAAAAAAACGTCACATTTTTTCCAACTTTCGACTAGAAAAGCTCGGTTGTTTTTGCAAAGCGCGAGCTAGAAATTCCGCATATGTCTTACAAAAAAGTAATCTAAGCCTGTGCCAAGTTTCACCAAAACCTGAACATCGCACTTGGAGTTCTTCGCTTTTTAGATAAAAGCCTTTATAAATAAGTACAGTGACAGACCTGATCCAATGGCAAAGAACTCACCATTTTGGATCCTGGAAGTATTAAAAAATGTGGCAGAATACCTCCATCGCCAACTAGAAAAACCCTGGTTTGAAGAGCCCTCACAAAAAGAGCCGGCGCGCGTTTGAAATCGGAGTTTTTTTTTTGCTTGGAGAGGGAGTCATTTTGCAACATTTTTGATACTTCCCGGATGCAAAAAAGTACGTTTTTGGCCAATGTATCAGGTCCGCCACTGTAGTACTCTCCCTCTTCTTTCCTCAGACAAAATATCACTGCAAATTTTAGGCCTACACATTTGTCATAATGGTTATTATCACTGTGACAGGTGCTGGCACCACTGCCGTCTATTTAGCCGCCTCAATCTTCGGTTATATTGGGCGATATAAGAAGGAAATGTCTCAGAGGACGTATCGAATGCATCGGCAACTAACAATCTCCCTCATTGTACAGGTTAGTTGATATATAATATATCTACAAGATATAGTCACTTTTACCATAAAAAAGATGTAAACTACCTTATTTTTCAGTTCATTGTGCCATTTGTCTTTTTGGTAATGCCTTTGTTCTTTTTATTGTACTTTATGATTACTCAACGGGACAATTCAAGTAAGTGTTTTGAGTCACTATGCTTACAAGGGAAGTACTGACCGTTTTAGGTGTTTTTTCCGACTTTTTCCATCTAACAGGGGAAGTGCGACACTCAGATTTTGATGAAAACAAATTTTGAATAATTATTTCTACGACATGTGCGAGATTCTTAGCTCGAGCCGTGCAGAAACAACCGAGAATTTAGGCCGAAAGTTAGCCAAAATGTGACACTTTTTTGCGAATTTTGGCATGAAAAGTTTCATACTGTATTTCTACCATAATGACTAATGTTTCTACGAAAAATTCATTTTTTCGCCGCTGAACTGGCAAAGATACTGCCAAAAAAGTGTTTCCTCTGTCTCCGTGCTTTTTGTACTCTCTCAGCCGCAAAGATCGTTGAATATCTCGGTTGTCCCTGCACAGCGCGAGCTAAAATTTTCAGGAATTGATACGAGACCCATGGCCGACATTTCTGCCCATGGCCGACATTTGTGCATAATTTAAAGAAAATCTGAGCGCCGCACTTGGGGTACTTCCCTTGTGTCAGTCTGTCGGGAAAATAATGTGGATTCTTCGCGCCTTCAAATCACCCATCATCGCTTTGCAATGGCTAGCAGTGGAGAAAAGACGAGAAATGTTCCTGCGACAAGTCCACTTTATTTTCCCGACAGACTGATAAACTATTAATAAATATTATATGATAACTTTTTATCTCATTTCCAGTGCTGAAAACCCTCTGCGTAATGGTATTTGAAATCATTTCTCTGCATTCGACTTTCAATGCAATCTCAATGATTGCTATGACCAAATCGTATCGAGATTTTATTATTGCTCAAGTCGTATGGTTTTTGCACCACCTTCCATACAATCATCTTTGCATTTCCAAGCCTCTCTTCCACAGGACGAGGCGAAATACGGATGCGGTTTTTGGGACGGCATCAAGCAGTGTGCCGAGGAAATTTTGACGTAGCCAAGAGAAGAAATATTGGAAGGTGTGGTCGTAATTTGCTCAATAAAGGTTTCTATCGACTTTGGAACTATTCTAATCGGCGTTGCGATACTTCCGGGGGACCACTTTGAACGAAGTTTTTTCACTTGGAGAGGGAAGCATTTTGCCACATTTTTGATGCCTCCCGGATGCAAAATGGTATATGTTTGGCCACTGGATCAGATCCCCTACTGTAGTAGCAACGCACGTCAATCCAGTACTATGCTTTTTCAAAAAGTTGCGAAGACTTTTTGCCGCCGGGCTTTCCGCACTGTGAATTTTGAGTGTCAATCAAAAAATCTCCGCCTCCAAGCCTTTTTTCAACTGCGTCGCTGCGAATTTCCCCGAAACAGACAATTACAGTGCAAAATGGCCAAAAATGGCAGTGATGCCGAACCGTTAAGCCGATCGTGTTGCCGAGGTGAAAAACAATCCGATTTTGCCGCGACACATTCATTTTCTCGTCGGCGATGCGATTTTCGATGCGATAGAGTGCTCATTATTTTCTGGACAGACTGATCCCCTTATGTGTAATTAAATTTGGTGGAAGCTAACATTCACATATTCTCCCTTCATCAAAAGCAAAGCACCTGTTAGAGGAGGGTGTAATTAAGAAAAATGGCAAGCATACGTATACACTATTGAGATTTCTGTAATTTTAAATTCAAAAACGTGCGGCCAAAACAAGTGAAATTCAGCAGTTTCCAGGCTATACAAGACTTGCACTATTGGAGTGACTGTTTGTTCTCTACATAACCTTTTTTTCTCATCTAGAAGTCATGTTCTGCAGCGTATGAAAGCCTCAAATTTAAGTTTCCTCAATGAATTCGGAGGATATCTTTCGCATTGCACAAGAATATGCTGATGTAATGGTGGTCTACAAAAGAAGGATACGATTTACATTCGTTTTGTCCACGCTCTCCTCATTCCTGGCGGTCTATCTTGTCCTCAACTACACTCCACATCGAGCCCATGGATATAGGAAGTATTTGTTGGGGATGATTGTAAGTTCGTCTAGGCCTCATTTATTATCAGTCTATCGGGAAAATAATGAGCACAATGTCGCTGTGCCAACCGTGTTGCTGAAGTGAGAAGAAATTTGATTTTGCCGCAACAAAGTTCATTTTCTCGGCGGCGTGCGATTTTCTATGCGACAGGTTGCTCATTATTTTCCCGACAGATTGATGGTAAATGAGGCATAATATTGCGATTTAGGCTTGGGCATTTGTTCTTGACTTCATTGTCTGCGTCGTATATGTCCCGCAGCTTCTATTACCAGTTGTGGGATTGTGTGTGGGCGGAATATTCGAAAACAGTCATAGTGTGACAGCTTTGATAGCTCTGTTGGTAAGCATAAAACAATCGCGACGCCATTTATTGATTACAATTCTCTATTACAGTGGGGACATCATACAGTGGCAAAAAACGTACAATTTTGCATCCGGGAAGCTTTAAAAATGTGGCAAAATACCTCCCACACGATTAAAAAAAACGTCGTCTTGAAGGGCACGCCCTTTCCCTCACAAAAAGAGCGGGCGCGCTTTTGGAATCTGAGTTTTTTTTACTTGGAGGGGGAAGCATTTTGCCACATTTTTGATGCTTCCCGGAAGCAAAATGGTACGTTTTTTACCACTGGATCAGGTCCCCCACTGTAGCTTTTTCATTTTTAGTGTATCTTCGTCTTCGCGATGACAGGAACCGCTATCTCGATTATCACCGCGTTCATTTACCGGCTAGTCGTCGTCAAGACAGGCGACGACATCTCCAGATATCCTTGCTTAATCGTGCTGATAATAACAGCGCATATCATGGGACCAGCAATGATTTGTGGGCCAATGGTTTTTGCGGTCCTCTACGATGTCGATGCGATCAAGGAGGAGGTGAAAATTGTGAGTTGGTATGCTGAAGGGTGTGTCAGTGCGCCCAGTGAGGACAGCGCGTCGAGAAAAACTTTTTTCATCCTATCAGTCTCTTGAGCAAAAAAAGATATTTCCATTCTGTCGGGAAAATAATGAGCAATCTGTCGCATCGAAAATCGCATCACCGTCGAGAAAATGAATTTTGTGGCGACAAAATTAAATTACTTTTAACAACGAGATTATGCGCATTATTTTCCCGACAGACTGATACCTCCTAAATATCCCTTGTCTTCCTTGAAAGGTCCTATATTCCATTGTTTTTCAGCTCTACCCAGGGGTTTATCTTTACGCCGAGAATCGGACCTGTAGCTTCATGTCGAGGTCAACTCCAAGCTATGCGGTAAGTCATCAGTCTGTCGGAAAAATAATTGGTACAGTGTCGCTGCGGCGAAGAAGTAAAAAGCGATTTGGTTTTACCGCAAACAAATCATTTTCTCGGCGGCGATGCGATTTTTGATGCGGAAGAGTGCTCATTATTTTCCCGACAACCTGATATCACTCTGTCGGGAAAATAATGTCGATTTGTCGCAGCAAAATTTCTCGGCTTACCTTGAGGAAATTCGTAGCCCTGATTCCAAGGCACGACAAGTCCACATTATTTTCCCGACAGACTGATAAACTCACTCCGTGTTGCTTTCCAGACTTACCTATTTCTCATGATGATTGCGCTAGCGTTGCTGACTGCCGCCCTTCTGGCTTTCGGATGTGCGATCTGTATATTTCGTTCGATTAATCGCTTCCGAAAGACGATGTCAAGCAGAACATACGAGATGCATAAGCAGCTCACCAAGTCGCTGATTGTTCAGGTGAGTGATTTCTCATCATGCTACAGTCTTTCTAGTTTTCCATTCCATTCACATTCTTGGCTATGCCATTGAGTATACTGTTGTATTATATGACTACTCAAAAGGATGGAGTTTGTAAGAAAACCTTCAAATTGTAATGTGTTGCAGTGCTAAAAACTCTGTGCGTAGTGATCTTCGAGTTGATCTCGCTTCACTCCACCTTCAACGCTATATCCATGATCATGATGACAAAACCGTATCGGGACTTTGTGCTCAATCAATGCCTGAAGCTAGCGGTTGCATTTCCCGGGTCATGGTCGATAACCCAAAGCCTGGCGAAGCCAAAAGTAGATGACGTCATCAACCGACGGCCTTCCACCCATACTTTTAGACAGCAGAATTCGAATTGATATGAAATGGAAGTGCGTCAAATCTGATCGAGGCTATTGTGGCGCAATTACAACGATTACTGCAGTATAAGAATAGAACCTTGTGTCAAGGCTCTCTAGTTACGTCAAAGACAAAATTGAAGATTCTTAGTGGAATAAAAGGTTGTTAGACCGGCCCTATTTTCAAATTTACTCAGGACCGGCCCGACTTCCTGTCAAGACTTGAGTAGGACCAGGCACACCCCACCAGGACCATCAGCCAATTGCAATTCCCCGTCATTCAGCCAAAACACCCAGCCTTCATCTGCGTCCCGCCACGAAACACTCTACTGCTAATTGGCATTTCGCACCGACCGGTCCTTTGGACATCTCACTTGGAATATTCACTAGATTCGTTTGGGTGTTTCTGAGGCGGACGGTCGACCATTGTTCGCCGTCCTCACCTCTTTCTACTTGTGTGATTTGCGTCTTTGTTGGCGTTATTGTCAGATAATAAATACCTCAGTGATTACCTTGTCAATCCTTTGAGTATCACCCGAGTCGGTATCCCGTAATATACTCCTTAGAGGCCTTACCCCGCTGATGGTTTAAGAGGTTCGATTCTTTTTACTATGCCTAGCAAAGCAATATGTTTAACCCATTAAAGTAATATTATATCTTGTCTCACAAAGAGCAGGTTTGTATTCTGTACTTTATTACTTTATGACTTTATTATCTATTATATAGTAATGAAATCTATTGTCGTTATGACTTTAATGGACCGCACAAAGCCTAATACACTTAAAAAATTGGTTTGTGTAAACTTTAGGGAACAATAACAAAGATTTTTTTGTTTTGTGACAGATTATTGAGATCAAATGTATCTATTCAAGCAAAATGGTGGCTTTTATTTTCCCCAGAGCACAACGTATAGAAGTTCAGAAGAAACAGTTTGAAATATGTGTAAAGCAACATCTTGCGGCTCTGACAAGTGAATATACCAATTACATCTCCTAGGTGGTCTTGTACAGGGTGTTTCAAGAAATTTGGAACAAATGATTTGCTTATATCTTTGTGTTCTTTGCAGCTATCAACGAATTTCTTTTTGCTTCTAAAAATTGACAGCGTGCGTTTTTCGAATCTCAAAAAAATTTTTTTCGTCGGCGGAGGGCCCATTTCTCGGCGGAGAAAATTAGGGCCTTTTTTAAAAATCACAGCGTATTACGTGGCGGAAACGCCGTTGCAACGACTGAAATCAAGTTTACGTAATACCTCCATCGATTTTACGGTATGCATTTTTTGCGTTTTCGATTTTACGCACTTTCGCGGATGCGCGGCGGAGACCTCAGATTTCGGCGGATGTTGTTTTGCGCCTTTGGCTATTGCAATTCATGTTGGAAAAGAGGTTGGGGTGATTTTTTGTTGTCATCCGATGCACAGATGGCAAAAATTTCGTGCTTTTTATCCCCGGCGGAGGAGTCGGCGGAGGCTTTATCAAAGGGTAAAAACAAAACTCCGCCGATTTGTCCGCCGGACCAAAAAAATCAAAAATCTTTGAAAGACAATGCTGCTCTGATGGATTCTTGTAGCTGAGATTTTTCCCGGACTCGTAAGACTGCTTTGACCCTTTGATAAAGCCTCCGCCGAATCCTCCGCCGGGGAAAAAAAGCACGAAATTTTTGCCATCTGTGCATCGGATGACAACAAAAAATCACCCTAACCTCTTTTCCAACATGAATTGCAGCAGCCGAAGGCCCAAAACAACGTCCGCCGAAATCTGAAATCTCCGCCGCGCCTCCGCGGTGCGCGTAAAATCGAAAACAAAAAAATGCATACCGTAAAATCGACGGAGGTGTAACGTAAACTTGATTTCAGCCGTTGCAACGGCGTTTCCGCCACGTAATACGCTGTGATTTTTAAAAAAGGCCCTAATTTTCTCCGCCGAGAAATGGGCCCTCCGCCGACGAAAAAAAATTTTTTTTGAGATTCGAAAAACGCACGCTGTCAATTTTTAGAAGCAAAAAGAAATTCGTTGATAGCTGCAAAGAACACAAAGATATAAGCAAATCATTTGTTCCAAATTTCTTGAAACACCCTGTAATTGTGTTTCTAATAACATAAAGCCTACGTCTCAGATCGTACAGGTTCTTTAACGGGTTAGGAACAGCCCGAGTTTCTGTCAGGAAAATAATAAAATAACGTGGATTTGTCGTGTTTCCGAATCATAAATTTGTTTTGCATAGCCGTGGATTTAGATTTGGAGGGTGACAGCGACAAATCCACATTATTTCCCGACCGGCTGATCATACCGCTAAAGTCCAATTAATTTTCTCGGCGGTGATGCGATTTTCGTTCTGACAGAGAGCTCATTATTTTTCCTACAGACTGATAAGTTGTATTGTCCCTGCATGGCTTCTGAGTCTTGTTCAGCGATATCAGCGTTCTGCAAAGGTTGCATCAAACTTTCTGGGAGCTCTGTTGAGAATATGGCAAGATTTGGCCCACTATACTGCATGATGAGCCAAGCCCCTTGACCCACTACATAGCTGAGGCGTCTCGACCAAGCGATTAATTGTTGCTGTTGACAAAAACACCACCACAATCGCGTCAAAGCTCAAGATAAACCCGTTCGCGGTAAATAATGAATGTCCTATTCAGCGTGAAGTTTCAGACAAATCTCGACGCATAAAGCGTATCCTGACGCCGAAATGAACCTTGAAGTATGATTTGCTGCAAATGTTTTTTCTCTATTTGCGCTGCAACACTAATAAGTGCCCTATAACCTGCTTCAATGTTCTTCTAATTGAGTAAAACCAAAAAAAAGGCCCGTGGGATTGTTGCGATCCCTTTACATCGTCGGAAAATACTGTAACTTCGTATGCCTTCTTCATCAAAAAGCAGGCTCGTCAACAGCCTGCGACAGAGTTTGCTCTAACAAGTTGCGATAATACATAGTAATCACGTCGAAAACACTAAACGCCCTTTTCAAAATCGAACATCCGCTTCATTACCGACAATTTTCGACACAATTAGGCAGCGGATTGACCTAAAAGTTGCATTTTTCGCCCCAAAAAAGGCGTCTAATCAAAGATGCATTGAGTAGATTATACTCCACGCGTATCAAACGTTTCGCTTCGTCTTTTTGCGGTGACATTTTTGTTCATTAGGTTGTATAGGTAGCGTGTTTGGGGGGAATAAATGTTCCGGATTCGGGGGTACGGTAGCGGAGGCCACATGGCTGAAGAGGAGGTAGAATGAAGAGTTTGGAGACAAATTTTTGGTGATGTAACTATATTATTAGTCTGTCGGGGAAATAATGAGCACTCTGTCGGTGACTTAGATGAGACCAGTTATCATTTAGAGTCGGTTACCACAGAAATATAGAAGAAAAAGCCATCAAACCGTTCGTCGCTTTTCGTTTAGGGAAACTTCATTTCTCTGACTGTCTGCAGTCTTCTCAAACCTGTGATCTTACATCAGTCGTCGGGCAAATAGCGGCGGATCGTCGCGCCTCGGCATCGCCCATCATCGCATTGCGACGGCTGCCAAAGCTGGTTATTTTGGTGCGCAACTGCACCCCTCTTTTGACGAGGCGAAACATCTTGCTGCGACGAACCGCCGTTATTTTCCCGACAGACTTATGAAATAATGAGCACATTGTCGCTCCGTCGATCGCTTAGCTGAAGTGAAGAGAAAGTTGATTTTGCCGCACAATTCATTTTCTCGCCGACGATGCGATTAATATATGCTTCAACATATAATAATATGTTGCATATAATTGTCAGTTATATATAGGGGTTTCTCCAATTGTCCGGCATCAACCTTTAGTTTTTTTATACGATAGAGGCAAGCAGACGTTTTTTTTCGTTTGCACTTTGCGAGAAGATTGTGTTCATTGCTTTCCCGACATACTTGTTATTCTTTTTCCTCGTAAGTCAAAATGTGTTAAGAAACAGAAAGTCAAAGAAGGATTAGTTTCATTTTGTTTTCACACCAAAATACGTATTTAAATTAATTAGTGGAAAGATTAAACCAAAATTCGCATTTCTCACTAAACTTCATTTGTTATCGTATTTTCTTTGTTTTGAATTGTAGTCCAGTTATTTCACTCGTTTTACATTTTTATCTTCGAGTATATTAGTTGCCATTTCACATACTTGTAGTGCTATGGACTCGACGGAACCTTGGCACCCGGTCCGAAAATTTCACTTTTGCTACGAAATCGGAGTATTTTTGTCATCGCTCGCTCTAAATGGAACAGTGCTGTTTCTGGTTGCCACAAAAACTACAGAATCCTTCAAAGGCTACGCGAGGATGATTGCGTTCAATAGCATCATTGATATCGCGTTTTCGATTACCGATGTTATCACTATGGAGGTAAGGAAATTTTTGTTGATTCAAAAAAAAGAGTTTGATGCAATTATGTAACAAAAGAGGGCTTCCAACTGAGAATCTAGCTATAGTAAATACTACATAGATATTTTTCATTCATCATACCAACAAAACAAATTTCAGACAGTTGACTTGCACGGTGCCGTCCTCTACCTCGTCTCCGACAACCCCTATTACCCACAAAGCCCGACTCTGGCCCTGGTAACGGCGTCGTTTTGGATCTTCAACCTATACCTCACCATAACCGTCATTCCATTGCAATTTATGTACCGCTACGGGCTCGTTTGCAGAGATGACCCGTTCAAAAAATGGGAATTGGCCGGCGCTTACTTGCTGGGATGTCTCTATCTGACCATTCACTGCTTCATATTTCCGTTTACATTTGACTTGCAATCGGAGAAATACGACGAGATTTTGCGAGAGAATGAGATCTATCGGACACACACTCCAAAAAGTTATATCGCTGGGGACGCGGTGAGTTGAAGTAGACAGCGAAATTAGATACTAGTCCGTTCGTTAAGTCGCTGGAGTGATTTGATGCACTATGAGAAAACAAGGGAACTACCCCAAGTGCGACGCTCAGATTCTCTTTAAATTTTGCACACAATTCGGGCAAAGACTAGATATCAGTTCCTGAAAGTTTTAGCTCGCGCTTAGAAGAAAGCCGGGATATTGAAAGATTTTTGCCGCCGAGAGAGCACGCTAAACGTGGAGAGCGGTCAGGGAGAAAAGCGCTTTTTGGCCATAACTTTGGCAGTTTCGTGCGGAAAAAATTGATTTTTTTGTAGGAACATTATCCTTTACGGTAGAAATAGGTATGAAACTGTTCCTGCCGAAATTCGGCAAAAAGAGTCAAATTTTCGCCGACTTTCGATCTAAAAATCTCGGTTGTTTGTGCAAAGCGCGAGCTCGGATTCTCGCATATATTTTAGAAAAAATTATTCCAAAATTTGTGCTAATATTTCTTACCTTTTCAAATTCAGACCAACATCTTCATGGCACTGCACTTTTTCAACTGCGATTTGATGATCATCATCTCATACGCCTTCACCATCTCGTTTGGCGTTGCGATTTGGAAGAAACTGAAGAAAACGATCGGAAACCTGAACAAAGAGGCCGCGAACGCCCAACGCTACATCACCATGATCATGATCATGCAAGCGACATATCCGCTGGTCGCGTTGGTCATCCCCACCGGCATGATCGCCATTTATCCGCTGATCTCGGCGCCCGGCGAGTCGAGCCAGTTCGGGATGGTGGGAGTGTGCATGATGAACTTGATCCCGGTCCTCAATCCGCTGGCGGTCATCATCAACGTCCCCATGTACAAGAACGCGTTGATTGCGGCGGTGTGCGGAAAGGACTCAAAGTTTATCAAGACGTCGAAAATCGGGAGGACTTCTCAACACATTTCAACGGTTTTGGCGTGATTATTTTGTAATGAACATAAAAAAGAAATAACTATAACTCCTCTCCATTGAGTTCATGTATTGCTTGCAGTGCCTGAAGGTTGTTGGTAGTGTGCATCAAAGAGTTTATAAGATCAATGAGTTTGCCTCCCAGCACGAAGCTACAGTGGGGAGCTGATCCAGTGGCAAAAAAAACGTACCATTTTGCATCCGGGAAGTATCAAAAATGTGACAAAAAGCTTTCCTCTCCAAGTGAAAAACTCCGATTTCAAAAGCCGGTCCGCTCTTTTTGCGGGGGCGCGCCCTTCAAAACGAAGTTTTTTCACTTGGAGAAGGAAGTATTTTGCCATATTTTTGATGCTTCCTGGATGCAAAATAGTACGTTTTTTGCCACTGGATCAGGTCCGCCGGACTCGGACTGTATAGTAAAACGTCTAAACTGTCAAAGAAAATCTTGCTCTTTAGAATATTACATTTAAATTAATAACCATATTAGCAATCGTTAATTACGAGTTCTATTAAAAATCGTGAATATCATCCTTTTTCTCATCACTACCTCCATACGCGACCCATTCCCTAATCTTATTCAAAATTGCTGTTCGCGCCTCCGTTAGGCCCTTAGGGTCGAATTCTGAAGGCGGATACATATCGTAGCAGTGGGAGGTGCCTTCAACCAAGTGAACCGACACATCTCGTCCGTGATCCTCTCCGTCTTTCATGTAGAACCCAAGTGCGTGCCACGGATCAACGGAGCCTTGAACATGAATATGTCTGGTGGCTTTGTAGCCTCGGGCGCCGCCGTAAAACTCTTGAGTCTTCTTGATATTGGCTTCAATTTTGTCGCGGGTAAATGACGGGTCATAGGCGCGACGACACCACTCGATGTAGTAGCTGGAAACGGGCAAGGGATAAAGAAGGAAATGACTGACTTTCTTCAAAAAAGAAATGCTCGAGGTAGGATGCTCAGATTTACGTCAAATTTAGCATGCGCTTTATACCTAGGTTAATTATCAAGCTCTGAAAATTTTAACTAGTGCTTTTCAGACAGAGTCGGGATATTTTCTTTCACAAAAAATGTCTTTGATTTGCACCCAAAAACTTTCAAAGATACGATAATTTCGACATACTTTACTGGCACTCCACTGCCGAATGTGTTATAGCCGATATCCGTCGACTGATAGTATCCGAATTCATTGCAGGTCTGCCAGAACCAGAGGCGATAGGTTGCGTCGTTGGCGTCCGCCGATATATCCGACAGTTGTCGGATGTTCGCATCGAAATCAGTCGAATAGCAATGCCTACCGCTCTCTCTGAATTTATAGAACGCGTCGGTGGTGTTGTCATTCCAGATTTTGCAAATCTGGTAGATTGTTCCATGGGGACCCTGGAATTGATTTTTTTTATTTTTGGGGCTGTACTATTACTTTATGTATGTAGGAAAAAATTCGATTAAAAATTGTGAGCTTACATGTGTACTGTATTGAATTCTTCCCATAAAACGGCCAACTAGATCGCTGAAGAATTCCATTTCGTCGAACGGGTCAACCGTTTCGACATCGAATCTGTCAGCTGGACTACACGGACTGAAAAATCGTCGTTAGGAATGACACTGGTATGTCGACGTTGCAGTCGAAGACTCCCGCTTTTCCGAAGAGTCCCGCGGAGAGTTCAAAAACATAAAAACTTTCAAAATGAAAGGCGACATGTTATACAATGAAAAATTTTTTGGAAAATGAAGAGATAGGGATGTGACATGTTATACTATAAAAAAGTTATTCAAACTTTTGAAATGAAGGGTGACATATTATACGATGAACAACATTATATGTCTTCTTATCTCACAAGTGAGTTTTAGATGGTTCTCTGATGACTTTGTTAATAAAAGCTATTGTAAAATCCCACCAAAATTTTTTTCACCGTATAACATGTCACACACATTTTGAAAATTTCAATAAAATTTCCAATATATCATTTTGAAATTCAAGATGAAAAAGAAAATTCTGATGATACTACATATCTACATGTAGGCGTCCAAATTTCTTTGCTCTGAAACCAAGACTTACACAAGCTTGTCATTGATGATTTTCCTCCCTTCAATGGTGGTGGAAAGGTGTTGAAGTTGATCAATCCCTTTTTTGATATTGCCTTTACAGTCTTTCAAAGCGTCTTGTACAACTTGATCGTACTCTAAAGATAAATTTTTTGCCGCTTCCAACATTTTACATCACGACACACGGCAACCCAGGGAGTCTCCCGCCTCGTTTCGGCGCTTCGCCCACCTAGTATCGGTTGAATTCAAACGAAATGTCAAAAATGAATTTTCGTGTGGTTTTCCGACCGAAAAATATTTTTCTCGGAATTATTTTATTTCTTTTGTGAATTTTGACACTTCGTTTGGACGAAATTCAAAAGTGGGCGGGAGACATTTTTGTTCTATTTTGGGTTGCCGTGCGACACAACAGGACGTACAGTTTACACCTATGGACCTACCAAAAAAGTCGACTTTAGCCTCGACCGGACCGGAACTCCCTACCGTTCCTACCGTAACTTCCGGGTATTTCTGTCGGAACCACGCCGACAACGCGCCCGCATAGCTACCGCCAAATGTAATCCATTTGGGGTCAGTGTACTTTTTCTCGACGTTAATACTCTCAATGAAGTATTTTATGTCAGCAAGCGCTTGCTGGGACGTCAAATAAACGAGATTCTTCACGGAGAAGTCCCTAAAATCATGGTTTTTGGGCAAGAAGAGTAAGGATATTTCATTTTCGAAGCGAGACTGTGTTTTATGAAACACCGAATATGAACTGACTGAAAATGAAAACCGGGCTTCTGTTACTGTTATTACCCCATTTAGCACTTGGTACTATATAGTAATAACTGGTACAATTTAGTACGAGGTGAAATTTTGGCCTTACGTTGGTAATGATGTTGGTTTGGTGCTTAGTGCTGCTTAAAAAAGCATTCTAAGCACTTAGTACTATATAGTACCAGCTGGTACTATTTAGTACGAAGTGAAGAATTGGCCGTAAGGCGGTAATGGTGTTGGTTAGTACAGCCCAAAAACACATTCTTAGCACTTGGTACTATATAGTACTTGAAATAGACCGAATTTGCCAAATTTCATATTCAGTCAGCACCACAGTTCATACTCAGTCAGTTCATATTAGGTCTAGAAGTATGACTTTGTCGTTTTTTTATTTTGCGTTTTTCACAGGTTGAAATATAATTTCGCAATTTTTGTTTAGAGCATCTGAAAGAACGCTGAAAACGCTATCTACTGATATATGTCTCATATGGCAAGGCTTTATATCACGACTTTTATAAGACTTCAAACATGACCAACTTCGCCTTAAGAAAGTGTCGTTCGCGGGGAACTTTATTCTGCACGTGTAATGTGAGCAAAAACGCCGATGACGCATCGAGCGCTCATGATAGCTTGAGTTAACCGCGCTTTGATTAAAAAATCAGTTGGGAATGGCTTCAACGGTTCAAAACCGGAGATTTCCAAACCCACCTAAAAAGTTGGTAGATGGAGAATATTGGTTAAAGCCGAGGGCTGGATGCAGTAAAAGTTAGCCGAAAAGCTGCACGTGACGCAGAAAGGAGTTTCACTCAGTTTACATCAAATGGGGATGATCCAAAAAGAAGAGACTTGAGTCTCATACGGACTGACCTAACGCAACATGGAGAACATGCGAAATTTTGACAGGCAGACGGGGAGAAAGTCATTTTTGTTTCATTTAATGATCCGGGACGCACAATCAATCGATTTTGACAACCCGGAGCGCAAGCGACCGTGCTGTCTATCATTACCGAGGAGAAAGCTTTGCTCTGTATAATATGACATAAACAAGATGTTATTTACTGAGAGCTCTTGAAAACCGGTAGAACGGTTACTGGCATCCGTTATCAACAATAACTGATGCAACTGAAGGAATAGCTATGATTAAAGCGGTCGGAAAGAAATTTTTTTATTTTGCTGCATGATGACGTGAAACCCCAAGTTGAAAAACCGGTCGAAAACACCCTAGAACCGCCGGGGTGGGAGGTGTTCCCGCACCCGCTATACTCTCCGGACACCATGCTTTCAGACTAACACTTGTTTCCATCCATGGCACCCGATCTGAGGCGGCAACGCTTCGCTGAATACAAAAATGTCAAAAATTGGCCCCTTGACTAAATCGCCTCAAAACAAAAAAACGTTTTCACTGATGGCGTTCAAAAGTTGGTCAAATTGTTGGAAAATGTCATAGTTAGTAGTGGTAATAGTAACTAAATAGCTTTAGTGTAAAGTTTTTTTCTTTGGTTTAATTTATGAGCCGCAAAAAACGACAAAGTCATACTTCTAAACCTAATATTTGGCACCCGTAATTTTAGACGCAAAAAACTTACTCAACCGGCACACTATCACCGTAATATCGATGTTCGAGCCCGTAGATGACGGCGTTCGTTTCTTTCGCATACTGAACGAGAGGAATATTCTCGGAGAAGAGAAATTTCGTACCCAGACGGTCCTCTCCGCCAATGAAGAGGAATTGTGGCCCTCCAGGTTTGTAGTGCTCCTCATTAATGTAGAAGTACTGAAAAGGGATGACGAATTGTAAAACTCTGACTGTAAAAATCAGTTTTTATCAGTCTTCGGGAAAATAATGGGCACATGTCGCTGCGTTGATCGTCGCTGAGGTGAAAACCAGTTTGATTTTGACTTTCTCGGCGGCGATGCGATATTTTCAATGCGACAGGGTGCTCATTATTTTCCCGACAGACTGAAATATTTTTAAAAAAATTAATTCAAGAACAAAAATTTGAATTCTGCCACAAATCTAACAAAAAATGAAACCTGACTGACCTGCGTAAAGTTCTTGACTTTTGATTCATCAGTTTCAAAGTGGTCCAAAATCTGCTGGAACTCGGAAATGTTCGGGGTCTCCTTGTCAAGCCCAAACAAAATGTCCTCATCCTGACCCAGCAGCATTGGCCGTCCGATCAACCTCCCACCACGGAACTTTTCATTGCCAGACATCAGGTTGAACTCGCCATTGCGGATGAGGGGCTGAAAAATTTTGTGGTGGAAAACTGGTCAAACGCAACAAGTAAATCTGTTCTGAATGTCCGACAAATTGCCCTGTATATAGGCCACACAAAATGTCTGCAAATTTGAGGAAACCTTTTCTTGAGCCCTTTTTCTTGGCCTACAAGAATTTTGATACTCCTTGCAAGCGAGGCATTGTGTAACATCAGGAGAAACAGTGAGAGAAAGAAAGGATTTTTTGGCCACATCCTTGTCGCCCTTTATCGCTAAGGTCTCAATAAAGCTTTGTAAAGAGTTACCAGTCTGTCGGAAAAATAATGAGCACTATGTCGCATCGAAAATCGCCACCGAGGAAATGAATTGGATCGCGGCAAGATGAAATTGTTTTCACTTCAGCGATGCGATTGACGCAGCGACATTGTGACCATTATTTTCCCGACAAACTGATATAATCAATCTTCTCACTTTTCTCTGTCCGCCACAGCCGAAACAGACTCTCCCAGGCTCATGTTCAACAGGTTTTTGCTCAGCCTTCTCTTCTTTCTTTTCCTCAGCTTCCACCTTCTTCTTGATCGTTCTATTACTGTCATCATCGTTATTATTCTCGACCTTGGTCCACTCCTGAAGCTTTTCCAAAATAACTTTTCGGATATGAGTCAGTCCGGGCACATCATTCTCTCCCGGCGGGCACATATCAGCACAATGAGCTGAGCCCTCAATCAGATAGGAATATTGATTCTTAGCTGTGTCGTTAACATAGGTTCCGAGGGCGTGCCAAGGATCAATGGAGCCGTTGGGAATCACAACGTTTGTTCCCTGCAATTGGAAAAGTTGTTTGGAAGAGATGTGACACTTTTTCGCGGAGTTTCTCATATTTTTTCTATGCCTATATGGGAAATGCTATACATACCTTATAATCCTCAGCCCTTCCGTAATGATCGATAGTCCTTTGAACCGCCGCTTTAATATAGTCCACGTTGAACTCTTTGCCATAGACATCCGAGCACATGTTGTAGTAGTAATCGGCCGGTGTTCCCACCCCAAAAATGTTCTTTTCGAACGCTGTGGATTGGAAATATCCGAACTCGTTGCAGGTCTGCCAAATCCAAGATCTCATAGCTGCAAATTTCACATCAATCTCTCCATTGTTAGGCCAAATAGGCCATAGATTTGATTACTTAAACTTACAGCTATCTTCACCAAACTCTTCATCCTTTAAAATGTCCACGATATCCCTCTGATAATCGTCGGGGAAGACGTCGCTGTCGAATAAGTACTTGTGCACTTTGATCAAATGAGTAACAGGGCTGAATACAGGCTCTTCCATGATTTTACAGACATCTGGGACACTGTAACCGGTGGCATATCTGCCCTGAAATCAAAAGGCTGCAATTTTTTGGGTCAAAATTTGATTTCTTGATGTTTTTTGTTACTCCACCGACTTTAGGAACGGACTAGTAGTAGCCAAAACCCCCGTTTCCTTACCGCATTAACCCGGCTGTACTGAACCGCTCCCTGAAACATCTCAAAAACATTGGCATACAGATTCTGGAGGTCTGTAAAAGTCAAGTTCTGTTTCTCGAGTTCGGGAGTGATGTGAAGTGCGGCCTCAAGGCGAGAGCGGCCTTTCGCAAAGTCCATCAGTCTGTGGAGTTGATCAAATGCTTTTCCAATGTTTTCCGCGCATTTTGGACTTTGGTTGCGGTAAGCGTCTTGACAGACTCGAAGGTAGCCTGAAAATTAGGCTGAAGAACCTGGAGTGGGATGCTCAGATTTTGATGAAACTTGGCACGAATTTAGGATAAGTTTTTCTAAAACATATGGGAGAATCCTCGCTCGCGCTTTGCAGAAACAACCGAGATTTTTTAGTCGAAAGTTTGAAAAAAATATGACGTTTTTTGGCAAATTTTGGCACAAAAATTTTCGTGTCTGTTTACAGTGTAGTGGGTAATATTTCCAACAAAAAAACTTTTTTCCCTACCATAAAAGTCCATTTGGATGTCGATGGGAGCTGACGACCCAACAGCTCCAATGGCATGAGTTGGGTACTTATCTCTGAACCACAACGCCAACGCCCCAGGGTAGGAGCCTCCAAACACAACCCATCTGGGGTTTTGAATGGTTTTGTTGGCATTTTGCGCATCAATGAAGTCGGCCAAATCGGCCAAGGCTTGCTGACTGGTTAGGTACTTGAGGTTCTCAACGGATTGGTTGCTACAACATGATGATGAGGTATTATAAATATATATTTCGTAGTCTCAATCTGTCGGGAAGATAATGAGAAATGTCGCTGTGCCGATCGCTAAGTAAAAAGAAATTTGATTTTACCACAACACAATTCATTTTCTCGCCGGCGATGCGATTTTCGAACCGACAGAGTGCTCATTGTTTTCACGACAGACTGATATAAGATAACAGGTTTGCGGAGACTGCAGACAGTCAGAGAAATGAAGTTTCCCTATACGAAACGCGACGAACGGTTTGATGGCTTTTTCTTCTATATTCCTGTGGTAACCAACTCTAAATGATAACTGGTCTCATCTAAGTCTCCGACAGAGTGCTTATTATTTTCCCGACTACAAAACCTGTCCGAGCGCTACCGGGAAGCAATGTAAATTGATTGCTTACGGAGTTGGACGACTCTCGCCGTAAAATCGATGCTCCAGATTCCACAGTCTTGCCTTCAATTTCTTGGCCCATTGTACGATTGGCAAGTCCGTATAGCAAATCCCATAGGGATCTTCGGGCCCTTCTCCGCCGATATTCAAAAGTTCTGGACCTCCGGCTTCGTAGAACTCCTCGTTAACCCAAAATCTTTGACGCCACGTGTCAGTGACTGACTCATTGAAATGATCCAATTTCTGGATAAACCATTGATCCGATGGGATGTCAGCGAGCCGAGGAGACGTTAGCTTTTGTTTCAGCAGCTGCTAGAATTGCATAAAAAAGTATGACTCAAAATTTTGCTCAAAGTTGGGTGAAAATATCAGTCTGTCGGGAAAATAATGAGCATTCTGTCGTGACGGAAATCGCATTTCCGCCGAGAAAATGAATTGTGACGAAAATTAAGTTGTTTTCACTTCAGCGTAGCGTTCGGCTCAGCGACTTTGTGCTCATTACTTTCCTGACACACTGACATTGTAAACAAAGGATTTACTCAAAGATTAATGCTTATGGATGGCCCTGACATTCTGCACGTGAATTCTTCACGGACGGTTATAAATTTGCCTCAAATTTCATCAAAGTTTCAAAACTTTTTTGTACTTACAGTATTATCTTTGACAATCCTTCGTAATTTATTGAATCTGAAGTGCCCATCCACCAATATGGCCTGAAATCGAATTAAGTATAATTTACAGTACTATTCAGCCCATAAAATAGACTTACGCAGAAAAACAGCGGAACAAAGAGTTGCCGCATCGGCTCCACGTCTTGTTTGAACTAGTAATTCTCCGATAAAACGCTTCAAACTTAATATTGTCTCAAGTTTTTATCAGTTTCCTCCGAGGGTGAATGATTCCATGACCATTGTGATAAACTATATTCGAATAAATGTTCGATGAATAATAGCGGAAATAATGCAACTTTTGAAATTTGAAATTGAAAGAAAACGATGATTTTTTGGGTCTCAAAACGTTAAAAAAAATGTTTTATAAATTTCAAGGTGACTTGAAAATGGACTTGAGATAAGGTTTAACAAGGGAGGAGCTTCGAAGCTAAAGCTTAAATTTTGTTAAAGCTGGGAACAAATATAGTTTATAACACTATCTTTAATTCTTTTGTAAAACATATGCGAGACTCCTAGACCGCGCATCCCGAAAACGACCGAGATTTTTAGGTCGAAAATTGTCGAAAATTCGACGATTTTCTGAAATTTTTTATTTCTACCGTAGGGGATAATGTTTCCACAAAGAATATTTTTTCCTCACGAAGCTGAAAAAGATATCAATAAAGGGTGTTTTCTTCCGGACTGCTCTCCGCGTTTCGCTTGCTCTCTCGGCTACAAAAACTTACTTTTGAATTAATAATGGACTGTCTAAAGCAAATGCAAAAAACCGGGGTTTTAAAAGGGCTAGGCTTCTTAACATCGATAATAAACTACAAATAATTAATTAAAATGGGTTTTATTTTTATCATCCTAATGTTCAGAAGTTCTAATACATAATCCTACAATCATCAAAATCCAACCGCTTTTCTGCAAGCTCATTATTTTCCCGACAGACTGATAACAATGCATAATTCGATTTTTAATAGAGACATTGTCTTCTGCGCTTCCGAAAATCCTGCTTAAAACAGAAGTACCCCAAGTGCAACGTTCAGATTTTGATGAAACTTGGTGCAAATTTAGAATATTTTTTCTAAGACATATGCGAAAACCCTCGCTCGCACTTTGCAGAAACAAACGAGACTTTTAGATCGAAAATCGGCGAAAATTTGACAATTTTGGCGAACTTCGGCACGAAAAGTTTCATGCCTATTTCTGCCATAGAGGGTAATGTTTCTTGTTTCGAAGTGTTTTCGCTCGGCGGCAAAATTCGTTCAACATCTCGGCGGAGCCTGCAAACCGCGAGCTGAAACTTCCAGGAATTGATATTTATCTATTCCCCACATGTGTGCAAAATTCAAAGAAATTCACTTGGGGTACTTCACTTGTTACTCACTTTTCTGGGACGTTAAAATACAAAATTAACCTTCATATGACGTCATCATGAACCGCAAAATTCTCTCTCAGTCATCGAAATTGATCGCTCTACGTATGAATGAGAGATCAAGGTGCCTAAACCAGCCCCAAAAATCAGGCAAAAGAAAGGCCGAACATAATTATAACCTGTGCAATCTCACAGCGACCCCTTGCGAGACTTCTCGGGCGATCGAAAAATTCGAATCGCGCCTTTTCATTCCAAAAAATTCGGCGGTTTGTTTATGAAATTGGCCTAAAATGAAATAGAAACTTTCTGGTCAAAATTATTTTATGATTTATTTGCCAAATAAATTTGATTGCAATGTTTCGCGCTAAATTTGCAATCCTCCTTGTTATTGTTGGTTGTTACTGTTTTGACTACGAATATCGACTGCCCGAGGACTTTGTGCCACTGACCTATGACGTCACGTTGACGTTGAAGAGCTTTTCCAATAAGATTTTTGGAATGGTAAGTCTTGACGAAGCGTTGTTTTTGCAATGAAGGTCGCACGTCAAATCCAGCAGGGAAGTTTTCAAATTGAATTTTCGTCCTAAAAATTATCGAAAAAAAATTTCCTCCAGGGTTAACCGGTCTAAATAAGCCTCAAAAAATCTGAAGATTGGGCCCTCTGACCTAGGAGACCCCCCGTTGAAGAAGCCCCTCAAATATCATCCTATTTTTTTATTTTGAAAAAAAAATTTCATCGTATAATATGTCACACTTTTTTCATATTAGAAAAAAATTTCATCATACAACCTGTCAATTTTTTAACGGTCAACACGTCACTTTTCATTTTGAAACTTTTTACATTTCTCCAAAAATGGGTCTCTTCATTTTGAGGGCCTCTTCGGCTTCAAAAAGATCAGAAACCTAGAAAACGGTCAGCTTTGTCAAAAAGGACCTGGTTTTTGTCAAATTGGCCAAAAAATCGGTTAAAGAAGATTCTGCTGACCACCTATTTGTGACAAAAAAACTGACTTCCATCCAGTTCCTTTTGCTCCACCTCAAAGACTTCTCTTGAAAATTTTTATTTCGGACTTCTTTTCAGGTTCAAATCCAGCTTCAATGTAAAAATTCGACAAATTCGATTACCCTCCACGCCTTTCCCAACTTTGTTACTGTTGAAGTAAGGCAATGCCATTATCAGTCTGTCGGGAAAATAATCAGCACAATGCCGCTGCGCCGATTGCATCGCAGTGAAAAGCAATTTGTTTTTGCCGCAACACAACTAATTTTTTGACTATGCGATTTTCGATGCGACAGAGTGCTTATTATTTCCCCGACAGACTGATATTTATTGTAAAATATTTTGTAAAAACACTGCCTGCTTTCAGCACGCTTTACTCGAGAACAAACTTCTCGACGAAGCCTCGCAATTAGACTTCCCTTTCACAAACACCACGCGACAAACGATTACCTTCGAATTCCCCGAGGAGCTGATTGAAAATCACGTGTATTATCTGAGCATCTGGTACAGTACTCGATTCGCGACGCAGAAGAACGGGATCATCAAAAACCGCGACTTTAAGGTAAACATTCGGTCTGTCGGGAAAATAATGAGCACTCTGTCGCATAAAAAATCGCATCGCCGCCGAGAAAATCAATTGTATCGCGACAAAATCAAATTTTTTTTCACTTTAGCGACGCGATTGGCGCAGTGATCATGGCTCATTATTTTCCCGACAAACTGATTGATTTTTGGCATTTTCATCAAAAGCCAATTAAATTGCATTTTAAAATGTGTAAGCGTTGTTTAGAGCAAAGGTCTGTGGATTCACACGCTTCTGGAGCCGAGGTATGCAAGAATGGTCTTCCCTTGCTTTGACGAGCCAAAATATCGCGCGTCTTTTCGACTGGAACTTTGGCTGGAAGGGAAATGGGCGGATCCCAGGTGAGATGGACTTTGTTTTCATATTTTTTTTTTTTTGATTATTAGTTTTTCCATAAAATGGGTAGACATGTTGTCGCAAAGCCTTCCGCACTGTGCATTTCACTTTTTCATTGTGAAATTCGAAAATTGGCGTAAGCTTTTTTGAACTGCGTCACCGCGAATTTTTCGCGCGCGACCATTAGTGCGAAATATCGTTCAAAATGGGCACCGTACAAAAAGAGGCAAAATGCAGCGTGCATCACGACAAAAACCCAAGGAACCTTTATGGAATGACTGTGGTATCGCGATCTTTCGATTCACAGTGCGAAAACCCAGAAAAATGTGAAATGCATAGTTGCAAAATGAAGGGGTTTTGTACACGGTAACAAATTTCCATGCAATTTTAGAAAATAACAGTCTGTCGGGAAAATAATGAGCATAACATCGCTGCTCCAATTGTATCGCTGAAGTGAAAAGCAATCTGATTTTGCCACGACACAACCCACTTTCTCGGCGGCGATGCGATTTTCGCTGCGACATTTTGCTCATTATTTTCCCGACAGACTGTTATTTTTTCCCAAATTTGGGAAAAATTCAAGCCATAATCTTTTAGCTGTCTCCTTGACGACTTATTTCTCACAAAACAAAATTTTCCACCATGTATCGCCTTCAAAATTGAACTCTAGAAACTGCTATAACAAAAGCTAACAGCTCCTCAGCTTGCTGACATCCCAGAGGATCAATGGTTTATTAATAAATCCTTGTTTTTCAGCTACACAGCCCTCTCCTCAATGCCATCCCGAGCAACTCAATGGAACAGCAATCTGACAATCTGGGAATTCGATCCCACCCCTCCAATCCCCCCATACATCTTCAATTTCGCCGTAGGGAAATTTCAGTCGTTCTGTCAACAGAGCAATCACATCGGCCGCGAAGTGTGCATTTTTCGATTGGACGGCAGAGAGGAGTGGAATAAAACGGCGGAAATAGTCATCGACAAAATCGGAGTGTATCAAGTAAGTGGGTTGTAAAATACGGCGACCTCTCCCGTCATGAAGTCGGTTTACAATGCGCATTTAGAAAGGGATGACAGAGTATTTGAATACCTCTTCGATGGCGCAAATTAATGTTCTGGCCGGGCCAACCAAACTCCGAGGAATGGAGAATTATGGGCTGCTGCTTATGAACGAAAATGTAAGGGAAGAATATTAGATAGGGTGCTCTTTATTTCCCCGACAGACTTATAGTTCAATGGTTCGCCTACGCTTTTAGCTCTGGCCAAAAACCGAGAAATCCCTGGAGATCTTCATGAACACCATGTATCACGAGTTGGCTCATCAGTGGTAAGCAATATTGTAGTCTTCTTCATTTGTTTTTCCTAGGTTTGGAAATTTAGTGACTGTGGTAAGATCAGGTCTAAATTTCCTTACATTATACGATGGTTTAAGGACTTTTGGGACGACATATGGCTTTCCGAGGGACTGACAACATTTATGAGTAAAGCAAGGCCAATTGTGTAAGTTTTGAGGTAAAATGCGACAGGTGTGACATGGTTATTGCCTAGTATGTATATCAACCTTTTTCTTCTTAATTTCCAGTTTCAACTCCGCCTGGGACTTCCAAACCTTCCCTGTTGTCCATGGAAAATGGGCGCTGGATATTCCAGCTATTGCTTATAGCAAAGCGTCCGCTCTTTTGGAGATGCTGAACAGCGTTATTGGAGATTCACAAATGAGAACGTTGCTTCAAACGTACGTGAAGAAACATCAATACAAACACGCCAGCACCGAGGATTTTTTGAGCATTTTATTGGAGGTTACGGTAAGTTATCTACATTAAAATTACTTTGCAATTTTTCAGCAAGACCCCTCTCCCCTTATGTTTCTAAAGTCCTGGCTTTACACTGGGAGTCAGCCAATTGTCATCATCGAATACAACTCGACCAATCAGAGCTTCACCGTCTCACAGACTGGTCAAGTCGTCGAGTTGAGCGCAAATCGATGGTTTATTCCGATTTGGATCGAATGTTTAGCCGGCTCAATGCCCGAGAAGCTTCATTGGATCTTGCCAACGGAGAATTTGATACTGCCGTTACAATCTTTGACCAGTACGAATGGTACGGATAGTGTTGCGTTCAATCGAAATCGATCCGTTTATTATCAAGTTTCGTATCGGTATTAAAGAATTTTTTTCGATTTTTTACTTCGTATCTTTTCCATTATATTCCTCAAAAAAATTCAGATAATTTTTAAAAAATTTTGTCATCAAATTCAAACTTTATTTGCAAGTGTACCACAAATTTACAGTCATAATTGAATTAACAATCCGCCGGCTTAGCGCCTCGTCCCATCCTCGAAGAAGACTCCGCCATCCAGCGCGCAATACTTCGGACAAATTCCCCGCTCGCCCTGGGGGCCGGGTGCGCCAGGTGCGCCCGGTTGGCCGGGCTGTCCGGGTGGGCCTTGCGGGCCGATAGCGCCGGGAGGGCCTTCGGGGCCGGCTTGGCCGGGCGATCCGTCGCGTCCCGGCGGGCCTTCGGGGCCGGGTGGGCCTTCTGGTCCGGCGTCGCCGGGCGACCCTGGCTCTCCGGGGATTGGTGGTGTCGAGACCGCCGGTCTGCCGGGCTCGCCCTTGTCGCCGTCGGGGCCGGGAGTGCCGGGTACGCCCGGGGGGCCGTTCGGACCGGGAGCGCCGGGCTGGCCCGAGGTTCCGGGTCGTCCGGGAGGGCCGGGTCGGCCCGGGGTTCCGGGCTGACCGGTGGGGCCGGGAGGACCGGGTGGGCCAGGTGGGCAGGGGTTGCATGGCGGGATGTCGATCTCCTCGCAAATAATCGGAGGACGTCCTGGAGCGCCGGGACGTCCGGGGGCTCCTGGAGTGCCTGGTCGTCCAGGCTGACCTGGTGGGCCGGGTCTGCCCGGATGTCCGGGGAGACAGCAGGCTAAAAATTATATTGTAGTAGGTCAACAAAACCGGAAATTTTCAAAAGCTATTTTTTGATGACTAAACTATACGTAGTATATCAGTTTGTCGGGAAAATAATGAGCACAGTGTCGCTGCGCTGAAAATCAAATTGACGAAAAAATCAATTCGATCTTGCAGCGACACAATTCATTTTCTCAGCGGCGATGCGATTTTCGATGCGACATAGTGCTCATTATTTTCCAGACAGACTGATATGTAAAATCTTGCAAGAGATGTGTCATTGGAAATTTCAACGAGTACCACTTACAATCACAGGTATTTCCACCGCCGCCGCCTCCGCCATAGCCTCTCTCCTCGGCGTATCGTTTTGTGCGGTTCTGTGAAGCGGCTGAGAGAATGGCACCGAATGAATCTTGAGATCGAGGCCGTCGACGACCAACTTCTGACATTATATCGCGCGCTGACGTCTAAAAAACGATTTTTTTGTATAGAAATATTTTTTTTGATTTTTTTTATTTTTTTATTTTTTTTACTTTGCACATTTCCAGCTCCTGTTTGGTTTGCTGCTGAACATGAATAACAAAGTTGTAGACAATGGGCATGGTGATGCAGACGGCTAGAACGGCCACCAACGAAAAACAGACGGCGGACCAGGCCACAATCTTGTACGCTTTCTCTCGGGCCGTATCCAGTTTGGCCGACTCCATAATTGAAGTCTCTGCAAGTTTTCGATAAAAATTTTGTCTCGACTAAAAACACATTATATTCAGTTTAATAATCACGGTAAAAAGATATGGTAATCTTTAATAAAAAAGCTTACAAAAAATTGAAGATTAAACAAGACACGATTTATGGAAGAATCGAATTTTCACCGACAAAAAATCCGTCGACGCGCCTTCAAAATCCATCGACTGTCGAAGGAATTTCCTGATTAACCGGATAGACAAAAAATTTTATCGGAAAGAAGAATTTGCTACAAGGAAAACGACAAAACAAGAAAAATGATAACAAAAAAAGTGGAGCTGGAACAAACGTCATTTACAGTATTCGTAGACGAAAATATCGATTGTTTTTGGTGGTGGGATAAGAGACAGGGGCATTGGAGTGCAGATGGAGGAAAAAAAATTGAAAGTGTGGTAAGGGGTGACCAGGGAAAAAAGGTTTGTTTCAAAGTCCTGGAAAATTGAAAAATTCCAAAAGTTTTGGTTATAAAATGAAATTTAAAATACGGTATCCAATGTAAAAACTCGTATGATGTCCAGTACATCATGATATGTGCTGCTGATAACTATAACCTTTCGAAAAGTCATCGAATTTTATCAAAAATCATCTAATATAAGCTGGTTAACTTTCAGGGCAAAAATCTCATTTTAAAGGCTAGACCCTTGATGACCAGTACTGTAAGTTCTTCAGTAAGCTAAATAAAGTCAATGTGCCAACTTTGAAGAAAAATCCTCCAAAATTTCCCGAACTCTATCAATTTTCCCTACCATACCAACTAACCTCATGGATAATATAAATCTCCTCTCCAGACGTCCTCCCCAACCCAGATCTCCGTAATCACCAACTATACGAAAGCTGAACCCCTCTGTCATCACTCAGAATATTCCTCAAACTGCGACGTTCGTCCATATATAAAAGCTGGATCTGTCTTTCCGTTGCGTAAGAATTCGATCCCGCTGAGTGTGAGAACCTTGTTTTTATGAAGAAGTGATTACAAAAAAAGCGAACGGAAACTGAACGGAGAAGAGAAAACAGTAATGGTCTTACGGATAAACCTGAAATCCGCCGCTTAACGAGAAAAAAACGAGTACGGAAAAAAGTTGTTGTAGGAAGGGAGTGGTCGATAAAGGCTTACAGAAAAGCGGTTGGGTTTTGATGAAAGTTGAGACAAAGTCGGACAAGAATTTTGTAAGGGATATGGAAGAGTTTTAGCTTGCGCTTTGCGGAAACTACAAAAAAAATCGAGAAAAATTGGCCAAAAATCAAAAAAAAAATATCTTTTTTGCACATTTTTCCTTTTTTGGCCTCAATAAAACTTTGTAAAAAGTTATCAGTCTGTCGGGAAAGTAATGAGCACTCTGTCGCATCAAAAATCGCATCGCTGTTGAGAAAATGAATTGTGCCGCGGCAAAATCAAATTGCTTTTCATTTCAGCAATCGGCACAGCGACTTTACGCTCATTATTTTCCCGACAGACCAATAAAAAACTCTTTTCTAAGCTACATACAGCATTTTTACCTCGCAATTTATCAGAAAAATCGAGATTTTTAGGCCGAAAATTGAAAAAAAAAAATATTTTTTTTTTGATTTTCAAATTGAAAAATTGTCAGATTTTTCGAAGAAAAAATAAGCGTTTTCTCTACAAAAAATCATGTTTTTACTTATAAATTCACAAAAGAAACAGAGAAAAAATCATTTTTCTCTGACCGTCTCTCTTCATTTTCCGTACTCTCTCGTCTGGAAAGATAGTTGAATATCTCGGCTCAACTTGGCAAACAAAAACTAAAATTTTCAGGAATTGATTAGTAGACGAGACAGACAAAACGTGAGAAATTTGAAGAAAATCGAAGAGCATTTCTTTGAGATCCGAGAATTTGATTTTTTGCCATTTTTCAAAATTTCAACCCAATTTTTATGGCGTTTGATTACATTGAAAACTCTGGAAAACGACTTGGAAATCCGTGCAAAGTCAAATCAGCGCCCGGAAAACGCACAAAGAACAGAAAGAAGCCCAAAAAATGGGGGAAGAGAAGAGGATAATAACAGTGGATGTTTCGATTGACTGTAGAAGGGAAGCGACAAGCACTTTCCGACGGTTACAAGTCATTTAGCGTCGTCGCCTCTTCCATCGCCTCATTTGCACGCTGAGCAATGTCTTTTTCCGACCGCAAGACAAAAGGAGAATTGGAATACCAAAGGGGGATGTGGCTGTAATCGCGGAGAAACTCGGAGGCTCGACCAAAGAGACTGATTTGAGGTGAAACACTTGAATAGAGGCGTAAAAATGAAAGAAAAAGTTGCAAAAAGAGCTTAAAATAAATAAAAATTAAGCTAAAAATCAATTTTTATCAAAATCTCAATTCAAAAATTAATTTTAATGGAAAATGCCCTAAGGGCAAATTTTTCAATTTTCTTCAAATTTTGGGAAAAGCTTCCTTATAGACCTCAAATCAATCCCTATAAGTCTTAGTTTATACTTTCCAATCCCAGCCCAGATATTCAGCAATCATTGTAGACGAGAGAGTATGAAGAATGAGGAGAGTCGGACAGAGAAAAAAACTTTTTCAGTCTAAAAATAATTTGAAATTCAAATATTCGGTATTTTTTCGGCCTAAATCTGAATACCGAGGGTAGTCAGACAAAAGGAAATGATTTTTACGACAAACGGAAATGATTCGACAATGTCATCAAAAATAATGATGTCATTCAATAATGATGAGACAATAAAAATTGAGTCGTTTTCCGCAACATTCAACGGGAAATGGCTCTAAGCGAGTGTAAGAGGAGGAAAAAATATGAGAAAAGTTTGGAAAAAGGTGTGAGATGACAATTTTTTCTTGTAGATAGGCCTATAAAAGAAGAGGAAAAATAAGTCAAAATTTGATCATAATGTTTTTTAGGAGGCTAATATGGCCATATGAGGGCAAGTTGACCACATAAAATCAACTTGCCCATATAAAATCAATTTGCCCGCTGTTTGGTCAACATGCCCATATATGGGCAAGTTGCCCATTCAATAGCCCAATATGCCCAAAAAAGCCCTCTACGCTCTTTAACCCACCAATCCACCCACATACAAGCCAATTCATCGATGAATTTACAAAAATTTTCAAGTCCAAAGAGCCCCCCTCTCAACTGGGGCCCCGGTTTCTCGAACTGACACTTTATTCAAAAATCGGGGACTTTTTGAAGCCCACGCGTTTCTCCCCGCCATAAACATTACAACCCGCCCGCCACAATAGGGATAAATGGAAAAAATTAACGAAGAAAGCGCGCAGCGTTGATCATCTCCCTCCCACCCCTCAGGGCGACCGAAACCTCGTTGAGACGGTGCGGATATATTATAATGTCTCATTTTTCGCTGCCTCCGGTCCCTTCTTTCTCCGCTTTCGGAAGACAAAAGGAGTTGGGGGGAAAATGGGAAATTACAGGAGAGAAAAAAAAGTTGCATGAGGAATGTCGCAAGCACAGGACCGTGACATGCGACAAAAGTCGGATGAAATTACACCACCACGGATGCGGGGATGCGTAATTGCCTCGGATTATGCAACCGGCTGTCGCTGAGACCGTAATTCGGGACAAGGGAGGAGGGGGAAACGTCGATGAGCCGGAGAAGCGAAAGGGAGAAGATTGTAATGGATTTGTCGACAAAGCGAAATGTGTTTGTAATCAGGAAGTTGCGCGGAATGAGCGATATGACCCTGGGAAGAGTCTGGAATAACGGAAACGAGGAATTCTGGGGGGTCATCTAGTACAATATTAAAAAAATCCAAAAAAAACCCTCAAAAAACGGGAAAAATTTTGATTTTAGGTTAAAAATCTCAAAATATAAGGGGCGATTGATGTAACAATTTGTGATTCAGTCTCTAAACTTCTTATATTTTCTTGGTACATCCAAAAATCCCCAAAACTTCCCGGTTTTCGAAGGAAATTTTGTTATTTTACTTATATTACCCATGAAACCTCAAAATTTTATATCTCACAATCATTTTACAGAATTAAAAGTCCACAAAAATTATTTTACAAGCCCCAAGCATCAATTCAAACACCAAATTCAACCATAATTCCCATCAACATTGATTTTTATTACCCAAAATCCTCGTCGCCTCACGCTCGAGTAAACCCCGCACAAAAAACAATATTCAGGAAGTGCTGAGGATGTTTAGAGATGTCTTCCCTCTTACTCGACTATGTTTCGGTGCCGTGAGGGCGATCGGAAGCAATTACAAAAGATCGAACACGAGGCGGATTATTCCGAAATTCTCTTGCGGGATCGTTGTGCAATTACCGATGACGCATCGAAATGTCCTTTACAGTCTTCTGGTACAAATTTCAGATCATTATCATCAAGATTTCTCAGAACTTCATCCGAACAAGAACTCAAAACCGATTTTTTCCGACCAGCTGCCTACTACAATATAAAATCTGAAGAAACCACATGAAAACAAGTAAATAAAACAGCGAAAAACTTGTGAGATATTCTATTTACTGTTATATATCATATAAATAATGTTACAAGTGGCTAGAATGTGAGGTTGAGTTTAAAATAAACGAAATTAGCAGAAACATCGGCCAGCATTGCATGGAAGTCCAAAGCATTGAGTAGTGTTGGTGCCGGAGCAATCCTTGACGTTGCAGAGACCACGGAGAGCATCGAAGAAGGTGTCAAAGCCGTTATGTTGGAATCCTACGAAAGATAACATCAAAATGGAAAAATTTGATAAACTAAAGTAAAATAAGACCCTGAAGGCAAGGAAAGACATACACATCCCGGAAAAAGATGTAATCTCCTCCGGAAATTTCCATAAAGACCCAGCAACACATTGCTTTCGGCAGAGCAGCAAAAAACCAAAAATTTAGACAAAACTGTATCCAAATAGCTAAAACAAGGTGGAAACTCAAAAAGGAACCCTCAAAAACCAATTTAAACTGCCAGAATGCTTTCTAATATCTTCCACATTCTCCACTCCACCTAAAAATCAACAAGAAACTTCAAAACACTCACCTTCAACACAGTTACAACGCGAAGTAGTTCCGTTGCAAGCGCCCTTCAGTCCACCACAAGCCGAATCGTCCTCGCAGGTCAGGAAGTTGATGCAGGCATTGCAATTGCACTTCGCAACGAAGATCCCCAGACATCTTCCCTTTCCACCGCAATCCGAGTCCGCGTAACAGACCTTCTGCGCTTCGCAACTATCGGAACTGTTCGATGAGGTGGTGGTGGTAAGTGGAGCATCAGTTGTGCTGTCCGCAGCGACCGTTGTAGTGGTGTCCGTCGAATTGTTTCGACCCCTTCGGTTGCGGTTGCGCAACGCCGCATCTGTGGTGAGCCCAACGGCCAGCACGACGACAGCGATCAGGCAGAGGGTTTGGGACTGCATCTCTGAAAGAAGGAGAATATAAAATATTCGACAAAACACGATGAAAATATCGTCAAATCGCGGAACACTAGCTCTCAAGCCCTTACAAACATCAATCACGAAAAGAACATCATGAATTTCAGAGTTATTTGCCTAAAAATCCCATAAAATAGGGGGAAACGTTACCCATGATGAAAATCAAACAAACATCAATCACCGACATCGAGCGACCTCGCAGAAACCTCGAGTGAAATCGAGGCTCCACCTCTTTCACTATTTTGCCAATGGCAAGTTTCGAAATTTGGATCAGTGTCAACATGGATCTCTGGCCTGCGTCCCGGCACGAAAAATTTTAATGCGAAAAGATGAGGAAATACTTGGCATTCCGTGATTTACGCGGGGAAAATTCGTTCGGAAAGAATTTTTGCAAGAAAATTAAGGAAAGCCAATATTTTCCGTGACATTTCGCCACAAAATCCAATATGCACCACCAATTTGCGATTAGTAAGATAGAAAAATCAAATATCACGGCGGTTTCACACAACAGAAAAGCGGGAACTTCGTTTTGTCCTTTTTTGAAGCGGGGGCGCAGCTCGCGGAGGCAAAAAATGACGTTTTTTTACTGTAACTTTTAAACTAACAGTCGAATCGAAAATCGACCAGGGATTTAGAAAATAGAAGTTGTCATTTATCTAATGACGTATTAAACACATTGCAGAAGTGGAAACGGAGACCAATTGTCTGTGGCGCTAAATTTGCCTATGTTGAGGATACCGTATCAAAACCAAAAATCAAAATGGGTACTTGATATGATTGGGCCCGGTTTTGTCCCCACCCCGGTTTTGTCCCCAAGACGGTTTTGTCCCCAGGACGTTTTTGTCCCCACTTTTTTCGAGCCTTTTTGTCCCCAGACCGGTTTTGTCCCCAGGACGGTTTTGTACCCAAGACGTTTTTGTCCCCACTTTTTTTATTTTTTTGTCCCCACACCGGTTTTGTCCCCAGGACGTTTTTGTCCCCAAGCTGGATAGTGCGATTAAAAATTATGCATTCAAATGTTAATGCTGTTGGTTTGGTACCCAGTACTGCTCAAACAACATGTTCTTAGCGCTTGGTACTGTATAGTACGAGGTGGTACTATATAGCACGATGTAAAAATTAAGCCATAACGCGTTAATGCTGTTGTTTTGAAGCCCCGCACTTCTCAAAAAACGTGTTTTTAGCACTTGGTACTGTATAGTACAAGGTGGTACTATATAGCACGAGGTAAAAATTAAGCTATAACGCGTGAATGACGTTGTTTTGGTATGCAGTACTGATCAAACGTTCATTTTGTGCAAAAACAAATTCGTGCTATATAGTACCATGTGCTAAAACACATTTTTGAGAAGTACTGGGCTTCAAACCCATATCATTGACGTGTTATGGCTTAATTTTTACCTCGTGCTATATACTACCACCTCGTACTATACAGTACCAAGCGCTAAGAACATGTTGTTTGAGCAGTACTGGGTACCAAACCAACAGCATTAACATTTGAATGCATAATTTTTAATCGCACTATCCAGCTTGGGGACAAAAACGTCCTGGGGACAAAACCGGTGTGGGGACAAAAAAATAAAAAAAATGGGGACAAAAACGTCTTGGGGACAAAACCGTCCTGGGGACAAAACCGGTCTGGGGACAAAAAGGCTCGAAAAAAGTGGGGACAAAAACGTCCTGGGGACAAAACCGTCTTGGGGACAAAACCGGGGTGGGGACAAAAACGTCCACTACGACTTGATATGAAGAAGTGGATATGTAAATACATGATTCCGAGTCGATGGACACCGAAAACGTCGAAAAAGGTTGACTGAGCGAAAAGTTATGACACCCAAAAAACATGCTGATTTTTGACAATTTCGAAAAACTACAGTATCCTTCGAACAAACAGTCGGATCAAAAATCGACCAGGGATTTAGAAACTACTTTGTCTTAGCTATATTTTGGTATACAGCATGGCTAAGTAGGTGATCAAATGAAGAGACTTGTCTGTGGCCGAAAGTACATTGGTCATGTTGTAGTAGGTGAAAGTTGATCGTGAGACAAATGCAAAGGTGGTTATGAGGAGTTAGGGTGCTACTACAACTCAGTAAGCAATAATCGTTTAGAATCAGCGTCGATTTTGCATTAGCGAGGACTTGTGGTACAGTACCCACCATCACCGTATCCACTTTAACTATCAAGGCTTAAGCCAATAAAAGACCATATATTACGCATAGACTGTGCTCCTCCATCTCTATGTTTATAAATTAAACATTTAACAATTATTTTAGCCTCATATAACCACAGCTGGTGTTCATCGGGTATGCCACTATATGTACAACATTGCTGTAAGCAGCGTTTAAAAAAAATTTCGGTTTTTGTTGGTCCCATAGGTTCTAATGCTTCCTTTACATCTTTGAACGGGTTTGCTTCCTCTATTTAATTAAAATACGGCCTCATTGCTGTTTTAATATTCATTTAAGTAAGCATGTTAACCGTCACTTCATTTGATGATTTTAGAAATCTTAATGTGAATTCTGAATTAATTATTGGTCTGAAAAGATCAAGAAAATTTTTTTTATTCTTTTAGTATCAATTACATCACACTTCTGATGAAACTGTACGATTTCTTACTAAACATGTTTCATCGTATACCTTCCTCTGCAAGCTGCGCGTTTTTTATTTTTTTCCCACCACGAAAGAGACCTTTGAAACCGCCGTGATATACAAAAATATTTATTTTTTGACATTTTTATTTCGTAAATACTCATTCTTGGTTAGAACTTTTTCTCTTCGGGTTGGGTCTTCGCTTCGGACATCGGTGACCACAAACTTCGGCGGGTGCTTGTCCCAGATCAAGGCCCTCAGCTTCCCAATAATTTCGCTCTCTTCTGAAGCGGTCGGGAACTCCGGAACGCCTTCGCCTGAGCCTTCAAATACAACTCCAACCGGCCTTATGACCAATGGGCGGCGCGGAAACGCCATAATTTCGCTCCAAACTCTTCAGAAACCGAAGCCGACGATGATGAGCTGAAAAAGTTACAATTTTCATACAGCGCATTGACATCGAGCCAGCACCGTGCATCTCACTTTGGTTTGCACTGTGCAAAAAAACAAAAAATGCACTGTGAGTTGGCGGCAAGCGTGGGAAAAAGTTCAAAATGCACTGTGCAATTCGGAAATCGCGGCGATGTAAGCGTTTTCCAACTGCCCCGCCGCGGTTTCGCGCAAACATTTGCACAGTGCAAACGGCTTTTTCGAGTTTTGCACTCTGCGAAAAGCGAAAAATGCACTGTGCGTTGGCGACAAGCATGGGAAAACACAAAAAACCTGTCCCCAACAACTTACGTAGCAAGTGTGCCGTTTCAGTGGAGTCAGTGGGGCGTTTGCATTTGGTCGGTGAAAACGTTCCAAGGAACGGCCGCTGACGAGAATGAGAACACAAAATGAGTGGACTTCCACGAGATCCATCGCTTTTATAGTGGGAACTCATGTGTATTCTATGCAAATTTTTTGGTGGGAAAAATCCGTTTTTTTTCGAGGGGGGAGTGGCACAGTTCATCTACAGTTCGAGATGAATTTTCTGAATGAACGCGTTGGAATTTGTTCAAAAAAGGATTTTTTGCCAAGAGCAGGCTGCCCCATGTGATTTGATGGCTTGCTTGTCCGCTTCTGTTCGGATAACCCTCCAAAACCTCGACAAAATTTTATATTGCACTTGGTCCCGTGTTTGGTCCCCACAAAATTCCAAATTTGACGGGTCATCCGAGCAGAAAACGGGAAATCTAGACATCAAAACGAATGGGACGTCCTGCTCTTGGTAAAGGTCCTTCTTTTGGACGAATTCCAAGTCGTCTTCTTTCAGAAAATGCATCTTGGACCTGCAGATCATTGTCAACATGGATGTTTTGCCTGTGTATCGCCACGAAAAATTTGAATGCGAAAAGATGAAGCAAATTTTTGGCATTCCGCAATTTACGCGGGGAAAATTCATTCGAAAAGAATTTTTTGCGAGAAAAGTGAGATTTTTTGGGTTGGTTCGTCGTTTTCAACGTTTTTTTCGTGTAAATAGTCGGTTCATCCAGTTTTTCCATCTCTTATTTTATTCGATCATGTACAATATAATTTTTCTTCGAATTCTGAGATTTTTTAAAATTTTTACAATATCTAATTTCTTTTTCAGCAATGTCCTTGTGGGTGGACAAATATCGGCCAACCAGCTTTGATGGATTGGATTTCAATTTGGAGTCTTCGGATGTCTTGAAAAGGTTGACCTCCAATAACGACTTCCCTCATTTATTGTTCCATGGACCAGATGGAGCAGGTAAAGAAACAAGAGTTCGATGTGCACTTCGTCACATTTATGGAGATGGGGCTTTACAATTGAAAGCAACGCAACTTTCGTATGATACTCCGTCCAAAAAAGGATTGACCATCAGCGCTTTGGACAGCAAGTTTCATATCGAAATTCGGCCGAGGTAAGCGGAATTTTTTTGGTTGTTCTTGGTGTTTAGATTGATAGCAAAGTCCCGCGAGGCTATGAAGGTTGTTTCCCGCAGTTTGTCATATTTCGGGTATTATACATGATAAATTTTCAATTTTTGTTGTTTGTATTCCTTGAAAAAGTCTCAATGAGGTGTAAATGGTCTCAAAAGTTCGGTACGGGACTGCTCTCTCTTTTTAATTGCATTTTATATAAGTACGATAACCAATCTCATAAATGTTTCTCCTTATTATCATGTGTAATATAGTTCTCCCCATTTTCAGCGACGTCGGTATTCACGATCGAATTGTTGTTCAAAATGTGATCAAAGACACTGCCAAACAGTTTCTCTCGGTTTCAGACAAGCCATTCAAGGGTAAGAAGTTATTTTTGGATATTGAATCTTATTTATCCTAAGTTAATATACCTGATTATGAATAAGACAGCAATTCCAGTCGTGGTGGTCCATGAAGCCGACAGGCTCTCGTTTGACGCCCAATCTGCCCTGCGTCGGACCATGGAGAAGCATTCGAGTAGATGCAAGATCTTTTTGGTTTGCATGCACATCCACAAAATGATTGAGCCATTGGTCAGCCGTTGTGTTCCAATTAGGCTTAGCAGCCCGTCGAAGGAGGAGGTAAGGGAATCTTAGAAGATTTGAAAATAATTTTGTCTAGTTACAGATAAGAATATAGATTTTTGGATATTATAGTAGGCATAGATAAAAAAAAATAGTATTTTTATATTTTTTTTGAAAATTGAAGCTCAGTGCCTTGAATGAGAAAGTAAATGGTCTAATATACGTTTTTCAGGCTCATTATTATTCAGAATTCATAGTTTTTATATTATTTTAGCTCACACAGTTGGTCAAGAACGTCGCTCAGAAAGAATGCTTCACTGTAACGGATAATTTCATTCATAGCTTAATTGAAACCACTAATTATAATGTCAGAACTACTCTTCTTGCATTGGAAGCCACTGTTGATAAAGGGTAACTTTTTGCTTTATTTTTTTGCACTGTGCGGAAATTTTTGTGGATTTTGCACTGTGCAGTGGATTTTTAGAAAATTTTGCACTGTGCAGTGGATTGTTAGTAGTTTTTTTATTGAAATTTGGTTTTAGAGGCAAAAACTACCTGTATGACAATTGTCGAATTGTTCTTCCGGACTGGAGAGCTGCCATAATCGACATTGCAAACCGATTGCTGGACAAACGCCGAGTTGAAGATGTTCAAGCTGTCCGTTCCCGATTCTACGATCTTATCAACGCTCTAATCCCACTCGATATTATTTTTGAGGTAAGCTACTATCTTTTTACATTTTTTTCTTTGACTTTTAGACCATAAACAGACCTATTTTAGCAACTTTCCATCGAAATGAGCAAAAAATTGGTGTCGGTGGAAGAAAAGTTGATCCTTTATGATTCCGCCGCCAAATTCCAACACATGTCGATCTCAGGAGACAAGCCCTTGTTATATTTGGAAGCATTCGTCCTGGATGTGCTAAGTAAATTGTCAAAAACGAGTAATTGAGGACATGGGTAATATAATTTTTTTTTTATTTTAGTCTGATTTTGATGACTCTGAATGGATAATAAATTTGTAAAAGTTATCTAAAAGAGGTTTTAATTTAGTTTGTGACAGTTTTAGACAGTGTTTTAGTTCAGAAGTTTTAGTTTTCAATTTTTTGGTTGATTTTACCCGTTTTTATTGAAGAAATGGATGTTGATGAACATAGAAGCCTACGGAATTGATGGATAATGCATTTAAAAGATGAGTAATTCTTTCATGCATCCTTGAGAGTATTGAAAATTGAAGGATGCATAAATTTTTGCATTTTTTAAAGAATTTTGAGGAATTTTTCGGTTCTCAAGGTAAAATGCGTCGATTCGATCCTGGGTATGAAACATAAGGGTATTATACAGTATTTGTGAGGTCTGTAAAGTTGAATGGCTCGGCTAAAATTGAAAAAAATAGATTTTTTTGTGAAAATATTGGATTTTTACAAAAAATTTTTTTTTTCGAAAAGTTTTGAAAATGCCAATTATCACAATATGCGATTATATCACGGCGTAAAACGTCTATTAGAAGCCTCGAAACGTTCATTTCCGGGAAGGTTATTCCAAAAAATAAAATATTACGCCTAATTTTTGTTGATGTATGATGTTTTATATATGGATGTAAATTTATTTTTGATTGCCTTAATACCATCTTGTTTCCAAATTTGAGTTGCGAAAACCTTCAATTTCTGATCTTGCCAAATTTGGCACGTCCATTTTATTTTTCCCGATGTAATCATTTCCTGGTTTGGGACAACAACCCCTGAGGGTGTGTTCAAAAAATTTGGTCTAAAATTTTTCGAAACCCACCAACGCAGGTTGGGAATGTTACACAGCGAATATAACGTCTATATGGGCTATATAAGGCAAAAAATTTTTTGACAAGGAAACCTTTTTTTATAAAGATTTTTAGAGCCGTTAAAAAGTGCTGGATTTCGTTAATCTGGCACTCTTTAATCCAGTTTTGGCCAACGTTTCGGTCGCAAAGTAATTACTCATTAGTTTGAGGTGAAGATTTCACCGAATTTGGGTTGGAAATTACTTTTCTTCTAGAGGATTTTGAGTTGAATTGATCATTTTTTGAGTGGGGTAAAGTAATCTTGAAAAAAATTTTTTGGTCCTTGTCCTTTTAGGGGTGGGAGAAGGTGCAAAATGAGGGTTAGAGTGGGTATTTTCGTTAGTGAAATTGTAAAGTAATCGAGATAATTATAGTGTAATGACGATTAATTTTACGGATGTTAAACTACGGGTGTGGGGAGTACGGATTTTTATTATAGTAAAAATTTGGGTGTACTGGCAATTTGCAGTTTTTTTAAAATTTTGGAGGAATTTTGCTGTAATTTTTTTTGGGATACCGGATACCCTCCAATTTTCGACAAATTTTCTGGGCATAATACATCTAGAATACGTCTAATAATACATGTAATACATTCCTAAATACAGTGGGCGATCTGATCCAGTGGCAAAAAGGTACCATTTTGCATCCGGAAAGTATCAAAAATGTGGCAAAATGCTTCCCTCTCCAAGTGAAAAGACTCCGATTTCAAAATTCTTCAAAACGAAGTTTTTTCACTTGGAGAGGGAAGCATTTTGCCGCATTTTTTGGTACTTTCCGGATGCAAAATGGTACGTTTTTTCCACTGGATCAGGTCTCCCACTGTATCGTAGCTTCTGCTTTGAAGTTTCGGCCGAGATATTCAACAATCTTTGTGAACGAGAGACTATGGAAATGAAGAGAGACGGTCAGAGAAAAAATTTCTCTAACTATCGTTTCTTTTCCCTAAAAAAATTTTTACTTCCTGAACACGGATTAAAAAAAAGTGTCCAATTTTTGGTAATTTTTCCACCTAAAAAACTCCATATTTCTGCAAACCACGAGCTAAAAAATTTTCATGTTTTTTCGAATCCTAATTTAAAAAATTTATGTCAAGTCTAATCAAAATTTTCACATCAAAATTAGAGGAGATCTCCTCAAAATTATTTTCAATTTTTTCAGTTGTCATTTTTGCAAAATGACAAATTTATTCCTACTTTGAAATACGTTGATTAAATTTTTTTCCATTTCCTAAAATTAAAACGGAAACTGTATGGAAAGTACAAAAAACAAGTAAAAAAATTGTTGCCATTTCTGTAAATTTCACGATAGTAATTTTAATTACCTCTGGCATATTAACCGAGATAAAAACGGGATTGAAAATTGCAATTTCCTCTACCATTTTATTCGTATTTTTTGGAGCACTAAACTTTATTTTATAATTTGATAATTAGTCCTAATTAGGCCTAGATTTTCTTCGAGAAATGAGGGATGAAAATTTGTTGGATTGGTCCCTCCTGATTTTTGGCCGAAATTGGGTTGTAGTTTGGAAACTATAATCCGTTGCCGGCTTACATCCGCATCTGAAGACGGTCGAAAAATAAGATTAAGTCATTGGAAGCGGTATAGACCGAAGACCTGCCGCTTTTAGGGAATTAATTTTGGTATTTTTAGAAGCCATGTGTATAATTTTTGGGATGAGTTTGGATGAGCTGCGGGTTCAGCTGGCTGAAATCTTACAGTTGACAAACAAGGATGACTCTTCGAGAATTTTGGACGAGCTTATTTTTGGTTTTTGGTTTATTTTGACTTCCTTGCAAGGAGGATTCCTTTTACGGCCCAGAAAAAAATTTTGGATCAAAAAACATTTTGGGCATTGCAATGGCGGCGGCATTCTCAGCAATCTTTACAGGGGTGACTAAACGTTAGCAATTGATATTTTAACGTTTTGACGTGCGCGAGGAGAATGTTTTCTTCAAATTTTGTATAAAAATGGTCTATCTAGCCAGAAGAATAAAGTATTTCCTATCGAGAAATCATAAATGCGAGGAGATGACACAGGAATTGTCAGAATTATTCCAATTTCGTTGGGAAAAAGAAAGGACGGTCGAGACCTCATTTAATGCCACAAGAGATATTGACCGATCTTCTCTTTTTCCCAACGAAATCGGAACAATTATAAATAATTCCTGTGTCGCTTCCTCGCATTTGAGATTTCTTGATAGGAAATATTTTATTCTTCTTGCTATATAGACCTTTTATACGAAGTTTGAAGAAAATATTCTCTCGCGCATGTCAAAACATTAAAATATCATTTTCTAATGTTTAGAACCGCACCTGTAAAGATTGCTGAGCATTACGCCAGCCGTTGCAAAGCCCAAAATGTTTTTTCAATGATAGGAAAGATTTTTTCTAACGTATTGACGTGCGCACGTCAATCCAGCGCATTTCCTGAACCGCACTTCGTATCGTTATCATTGATTTAAAAGAGAGACGAAATGTCGCGAAATTATCGGCGCTTTTTTCGCCCGAAATAATTGCTTTTCCTCGAACGGGAAGAAGAAAGACAAGAAAATGCTATGCTTTTTATCGTTTTGTGACATTTCGTTTTGAACGAATCACCAAAAAGGGGCGGGAAATTTTTTCTTCTATTTTGGATTGACATGGTGCGTCGCACCTGAAAACGTCATTTTTGTATCGTTTTCTGGAACTAACTTTGCTTTTGCAATCCGGCCGCATCATCGGATAGTACTGTACGAAAAAATTGCAAAAAACCTTTCGAAACGAGGCTTCCGGAAATTAAGAATTTGGAAAAGACTTAGTACCGCCTTCTTCTTACTCTGAACTGCTTCAATTCCAGTTAAAGAGTCGTTTTTCTGCAGGGGAAGTGCGCCAAATGCGATGCCCAGATTTTGACGAAACTTGGCACAAACTTAGAATAGTTTTTTTTCTTCCCCATTTTTCTGTCCGTTCTCCGCATTTCGCGTGCTCTCTAGCCCGCAAAGGTCGTTGAATATCTCAGCTGCCCCTGGAAAGTGCGAGCTAAAACTTTCAGGGATACATGGCCTATGCCCAGTTTGAGAAAACTGTAAAAAATCTGAGCGTCGCACTTGCTCTACTTCTCTTGTAAAATAGATCTTAAAAATGGCCTAAAAATTGTTGAATTTCCCTCATCCCAACAACAAATTGTTGACATATCCTCGTGAAAACTCTATTATGCATTTGTTTTTATGTTTTGAGACAGTAAAAAAATGCCAAACACGAGGGTTTTTGGGGAAATTTTGATGGACAATGAATTTGTAATTTTATTAAAAAAATTTTTTGTTAGAAATTGAAGAACCCTCCTTGTGTGGGGAGTTTCGTGATGTTGTGAGTTGAGTTGGTTGTAAAAAGTATTTTTTTTTGGCTATCCTTCATTTGGGACAGATTACATTTGGTGTGGATTGGGTATTGGCTCAATATGTGTAGCTGATGTTGTAAAATTGTTTAACCACCTAGTCAATGAGCTGAAATTACAGCCAAAATTTTTTAAATGGTTAGCCAAAAACATGGATCGGTTAGCCAAAGTGTCAGAATGGCTGTGAAGCCTGGAAAAAACTGCCCATAAGGTTGGAACTACCTTATGGTGAGTGACCTGATCCAGTTGCAAAAAAACGTACCATTTTGCATCCGGGAAGAAAAATTTAACAAAATGTCTCCATCGCCAACTAGAAACCCGTTTTGAAGAGCGCCTCACAAAAAGAGCTTTTGAAATCGTAGTTTTTTTACTTGGAGAGGGAAGCATTTTGCCACATTTTTGATACTTCCCGGATGCAAAATGGTACGTTTTTTGCCACTGGATCAGGTCCTCCACTGTAGCTGTTTTTGAGGCCTCAGGCCATTCTGACGCTTTGGAGTCATTCCCGGTTTTTCTGGGATTTTTTTGACGTGTGTTAACTAAGATCATTCAGGTTGTGTTGTTTACCCTCTCTCCTTGCACTCTGCTGCTATTATCTCATAATTGCGATGCCCTTGGGGTCTAGAGTTTTCTGGACTCAACGTGTAGTCTAATTTATCTCTTGGAATGACGTGAACAACTTGGTCTTTATGGTATTTGCGTATATAAGAGGGGTTCCGGTTAAATTCATGTTTATTTACGGTGATCATGTTCAAAAAAAAGTTTCGGGCATAGAAATTTTTTCATGAAAAAAATTGAAGGGGTAAATTCAAAATTTGTCCTATCAGTCTGCCGGGGCTATACCTTATTTATGTCTACCGTTGCGACGACTATGGTTGAATTGCAAATAACGGTACTTTTACGAATCTCCCCACACACGTTTTTCTGGCCAACCTTTGACTGATTCCTTGTATTTAGTTGACGTGCGTTCTTTTCTTTTTGACAAGTCGAGCGCATTGCTCTAAATTCCGGAGAGTCTTGACCTGCCATTTATAGACACGCTTTTTTTACATCGTGTGTAAAAACCCGAAACCACCGGTGCCAAATTATAAAGCAGGTCGAAATGGCGTTTTGGACAAAAGCGGAATTAGCTGGCTCCACTGGCTCTTGAAGTCAGCGCCGAGTAAATGTTTCTCTTTGATTTGGTAAACAGCGGTGTTGTTTTTACTTTTTGGGGGATAAAAAATTTGTAAAGAATGGTTTTGAAACTTTTCGTTTGAGGATTATAATATTTTTTATGGCTCTATTCTACGAGCAAAAACTACGTCAGCGACTACAGTATTGTTGTGTAAACATAACACATGCCTTCAGCATACTGTGCCTTTTCTAAAGTACCGTAGTTTTCCAACAATTTTACAACGCTTTTTATATAATGTTTGACAAACTGCAAATGCAAAAAAAATGTAAAGTACGACATTACTTTTTGCGCGCGTCAAGAAGGTTTAACTAACCTGTGACGCCATTTCAGCGGGTGGCTTTTTTTTGACATCCTAGCAGGAGGTTCTTTACGAAGTTGTTTTACAAGGATTGGAAAAACATTAAGGCCGCCTTCAAGCATCTTCATTAAACTTGACGCTGTTTCGAATGCCTTCACAGTACTTCAACTTCAATGCTCTGATTTTAATGAACCTTGGCACATAATTTAGGATACTTTTTTTAATACAAAGACATATGCAAGGCTCCCGGCTTGCACTGTGTAGAAACGACCGAGATTTTTAGGTTAAAAGTTTGGAAAATGTCCATTTTTTTTGAGAATTTTGGCCTAAAAAATTTCATCCTTGTTTCTACTGTAGAGTTTCCGCAAAAAAATAATTTTTTTCCGCACAAACGTGGCAAAGATACGGCCAAAAAGCGGGTTTCCCTCTGACCGCTCTCCGCGTTTAGCGAGCTCTCTTGGCCGCAAAGTTCATTGAATATCTCGGCTGCGCGTGCAACGCGAGAGCCAAAACTTTCAGGAATTCATAGCTAGTTTGTGGGGCTTCTATTGTAAGCCTTTTCTGAAGTGTTTATCTCACTCATCGTAAGGAACATCAAGATTTTTTTGATCAAAAGTACTTACTGCGATACTCCTTATCGCGGCCTGGCTTTTTGAATCAGATTGCTAAGGAACTCGACAAGTTTTCTTTGGTCAAAAAAAAACTTCTTTTTGAAGGGCGCGCCCTTTTCATCGCAAAAAGAGCGGGCGAGCTTTTGAAATCGGAGTTTTTTTCACTTTTAGAGGGAGGTATTTTACTACATTTTTTGGTACTTCCCGGATGCAAAATGATACGTTTTTTTGTCACAGGATCTGGAACTGTATTTTCCTGCTATTTTTGTTTAAAAGTTCGGCCAATTCGCACTCTACATTTTCTTTGTTTTTTGCTGTTATCGCAGTGAATTTAAAGGAAATCCGTTTGTCACACTTCGAGAGAGTTTACAATTTACTTTGGTATTTTTTCCAGGGCTTTTTCGTTTTTCTCGCCCTTCTTTCTGCAGTCCGCGTATACTCTGTAATAAACGACGCATTTTCGTGTTCCGCCGGCTTAGCGCTCGACGTCATCTTTTGCAGAACGCTATCGTACGTGGACGGGTGTTTCTGGCCCACAATCCGTTTTCCTCGCATTACTCACCTCTGGGCCCCACAATGCAAGGAGTCTTGCTCGCCGTTCTGTAAGTGCTTTTTATTTCTCATTGACTTTCATACGGTATGCAAAGAGTTGACGTTATGTGCAGCTGGGAATTTGACATTTTATGAGGAACTTGGAGCATTTTAGAGGTATTTTTGGAGAATGTGGAAATTATCAACGGTTAAGGAAAAATACATGGCTCCTGGGCCGGGCCGAACAAAATTTGGGACGGCCGGGACCGGTAAATTGAGCATAAAAAAATAAATTGTAGCATTGGTATTTTCATAAAGTGCATGGCCATTTGCTCTCTTTTGGACAGTGGATTTTGAACTTGTCGCTAATTTCGCACAGTGCAAAGCAAGAAAAGCCGGCTGCACTGTAGCATCCGTTGCTTATCAAGTTCTCGAAAAATCCAAAGTGTACCTTCTGAGAAGTACATCAATTTTTCAAATTCTTGTTTTATCAGTCTGTCGGGAAAATAACGGCGGATTGTCGCGCCTCGGAATCGCCCTTTATCGCTTTGCGACTTCAAGCCGCGGCTGGGGATTTGGTGCGCGATAGCGGCGAGGCGAGACATTTTGGTGCGACGATGCGCCGTTATTTTCCCGACAGACTGATATTAATCCATTCGCAAACTCGCTGGAGTGAATTCCGCGACATGCACTGTACGAAAACAAAAGTTTTCCTTGCACTGTGCAATAGGCTTTTTTCGGGTGTTGCTCGCGCCTTGACTTTTTCTGGACAGTGTAAACACTCAAAATTACTTCAGCGACTTTACAAAGGACTATCAGTCTGTCGGGAAAAACTGAAAGTCAATTTGATTTTGCCGCAACACAATTCATTTCCTCTGCGGTGATGAGATAGATTTTTGATGCGATAGAGTGCTCATTATTTTCCCGACAGACTGATAATTTTTCGGCGCTGCTTGAAAAGCATAAGCCGAAATTTTGACATTTTGAAAATCATCCTTTACTCATTATTTTCGCATTATTTCCTCTAAATCCAAAAGGCACCCTCCTCATCAGTCTTTCAGATTTTTGTGTTACAAAAGTCATAACTAATTTCGCCTTTCCAGAAACCGTATTTCCGCAAAAAACATTTGTTTCCAGCTGTAGAAAGTTCAAGTGTTTGTTTTCCCCCAACAATCTTGTTTTTGACTGTAAAGATTCTTGCAAAACCAGGATTTGTTTGCAGGATTGTCATAGCATCATGTCTCATGCCGGCAACGGCACGCAGCGTGCATTTGCGTGAGTTCCTGGCGGCTCGTCACCTGTTCCCGCCCGAGGAGGCGAATCCGTTGACGAGGCGCTCCATCGACATCAGCGATCTGGAGGATGCGCTGGAAACAGAGCTGAAGGTAAAGGAGAATTTACAGAGGAGTTTTTTATAAATTTTGTGCACAAATTGGGCCCAGGCCACAAGTCAATTAGTGAAAATCTTAGCTCGCCCTTTACAAGGGCAGTGGAAATATTCAATAATCTTTTAGGCCGAGAGAGTACGAAAAATGCGGAGAGCGGTCAGAGAGAAAAACACTTTCTGGCCGTATCTCTGCGAATTTCATCCGGAAAAAATTGATTTTTTGTGGAAACATTACCCTCTATAGTAGAATTAGGCATGCAACGTTTCATGCCAGAATTCGAAAAAAAGTTTCAAATTTTTACCAAACATAGGATACGAAAATTTCATATTTTGTCTTCGAAAATCCAAAAATGTAAAGCGCGAGCTACTAGTCGTTCCAGAAAGTGAGTGCACTTTTTTTCGCGGCGCACAGTGCATTTTTCTTCTTTTTGCACTGTGCAATTGTCGTCGCGCGCCCAAAATGCGCGGCGACAGAGTTGAAAAAAGCTTATGTCGCTGCGATTTTTGAATTGCACGGTGCAAAAGGTCAAATGCACAGTGCGGAAAATTTGCGACGAAAGGTGCACGCACTTTCTGGAACGCCTAGTAGAAATCTCGCATTGTTTCATAGAAAAATTTTACTTTAATTTTGGTTTGTTTCGTCCAAATCTGAACGCCTTGGAATTTTTCGCTAGTAAAAAAATTAGGGGATTTTGTCATCACCGGGATTAAAAAAAAGACAAAGTGTTAAGTCTGTATAAGCCATAGCTAAAGAGGATTTAAGATTGTTTCCACGTAGGCAACCTGAGAATGAGGCAAAATACGTTCTACATTTGATGTCATCGCTTCGAGTAACTCACAAGGGAAGTACTCCAAGTGCGACGCTCAGATTTTCATTAAATTTGCACACACGTCGGTTATGAACTAAATATCAATTCCTGAAAGTTTTAGCTCGCGCTTTGCGCGAGCTCCGCCGAGATATCGAACGATTTTTGCCGGGAGAGAGCACGCTAAACGTGGAGAGCGGTCAGAGAGAAAAGCGCTTTTTGGCCAACTTCGGCAGTTTCGTGCGGAAAAATTTGATTTTTTGTAGAAACATTATCCTTTACGGTAGAAATAGGTATGAAACTTTTCGTGCCGAAATTCGGCAAAAAGTCCTAAATTTTCGCCGATTTTCGATCTAAAAATCTCGGTTGTTTCTGCAAAGCGCGAGCTAGGATTATCGCATATATCTTAGAAAAAAAAATTCTAAATTTGTGCCAAGTTTCATCAAAATCTGAGCGTCGCACTTGGAGTACTTCCCCTGTCAGAAAAACGAAAAATTAGAGCCGCAAAAGAGTAGAATTTCCAAAATTCGACCAAAAAATCACAAATTACTTATTTCCTTCCAGGTCCGTCCAATCACCCGCTCCATAATGCTGAATGAATCTCCCATTTCCGCAGCGCAACGGGAGCACCTGATCCGATTGAACAAACCCTATCCAACGCTGCGGGCGTCCTCGTTCGTGGATCGGAACCTGGCACAAGCCATGAAAAGCATCTTGCTCCGCATCCAATAAGAAGCCCAAGAAAACAAAGCGTGACTCCTTGTATCTATTCAATAAATTGTAAAGTGTATTCGGAAAAGGTTTTCGAAAAGTCGCGAAAATTTTTTAAAATGAAATTACTGCTGGGGTAAAGCTCGTATTTTTTTGAAATTTTGCGCACTTATCTTACGTTGGTCACAAATTAGTCCCTGAAAATTTTATCTCGTGCTTTGCAAGTGCAGCTGAGATATTCAACGATCTTTTCGGAGCACGGAAAATGAAGTGAGACGGTCAGAGAAAACAATCTTTTTTGGCCGGTATTATAGAAAATTCTTATTTAAATCTGCCTCCAAATCTCATCAGAATCATTTTTTTTCTCCAAAAAACAACTTTTTTGTTTATTGAAATATCTTCGTATCTGTACAATACAACACATATGACAATATATGGACAACAATACCGTGAGATCAGGCAAATTTCTCCCGTCTTTTTGTGTGAAATCAAAAAAAAATTTTTTCAGTGGAATTTTCAAAAAAAAAAAGATTCAAATTTTTATGCCAGTCCGTGCACAGTCGCTGGAGTAATTTTTGGCGTTTGCACTGTGCGAAAACAAAAGTTCACTTTGCACAGTGCAAACGGCTTTTTGCACCGTGCAATAAGCTTTTAACCTCGACTTTTTTGCACAGTGCAGTCGCGAAATTCACTCCAGCGACATGCACTGTGCGGAAAAAAAAAGTTCATTTTGCACTGTGCAAATGGCTTTTTGAGCTGTCGCCCGCAGCCAGACTTTTTTTTTGCACAGTGCAGTCGCGAAATTCACTCCAGCGACATGCACTGTGCGAAGACAAAAAGTTCAATTTGCACTGTGCAAATGGCTTTTTTGGATTGTCGCCCGCACCCTGGCTTTTCCTGCACAGTGCAGTCGCGAAATTCACTCCAGCGACGCGCACTGTGCGGAAACACAAGTTCACTTTGCACTGTGCAATTTGCAGCCTTTCGCACCGTGCAAACGGCTTTTTGAGCTGTCGCCCGCACCCTGGCTTTTTCTGCACGGTGCAGTCGCGAAATTCACTCCAGCGACATGCACTGTGCGAAAACAAAAGTTCACTTTGCACAGTGCAAATGGCTTTTTTGGTCTGTCGCCCGCACCATGACTTTTTTTGCACAGTGCAGTCGCGAAATTCAAACCAGCGACATGCACAAATTCCACTGAAACTGAAAGCAAATCGAAAAAAGAGAACGATTTTTGGCGTTTGTTTTCAACTGGAGTCGGGCAAGAGTTTCGTTTCTTCGGTGGCGTCCACATTGCTGCTGAAATGCGAGCGGACCGTCAGCATTTCGGCCGTGTCCGACGAGGAAGCGGCGGTCATTGCGCCGGGCTCTTGGCTGTTCGAGCGCGAGATGCCGACCGGTCGTTGGGAGCGTTCGGCGCGGCTTGAGAACTTTTTCAACTGCTCGAAAGTCGGGATGAGGCCGAGGGATTGGAGACGGCGCGCCGAGACAATTTGAATGGGCGCTGGCGAACGGCCCGGCACTGAGTTCTTGCTGAAAATCAGAGGGTTTTGTTGGGTTGGGATAAGTTTTCAATTGCTGGAGAAAAAAGTTACGATAGGACGGAAAAAAATCAAAGAAACCATAAAAGAATAAAGTCACCAAAAAAAATAAAAAAAAAAGTCCATCGATAGCTCGTACTCACACAAAGGACATAGATTTCTAACCACGGAAGGATGGATTCGCGACACATTTCGGCTTACTGTAACAAAAGTTGCGACGACGGAGTGGTCATGGCGAGTCGGCCGGCCGCCGAATGAGGAGGTGAGGGTTCTCGATGAGCATTTTGACGAGTGGGTTTGGGCGCGCTGGGCGCGGAACTTCGCGATGGCGGAGCATTCGAGTTAATAAGGCGATGACGACGATCTTCCAAGAACATCTCAACCAACAGGTCGATTTTCTTGTCGATTTTTTCGACCTGAAATTTTTTATGTAAAAATTTTTATGGTGTATGGTACGTATTTACCTGTCGTTCCACCTTGACAACTCGATTTGTCAGCGTGACTTTGACCTCTTCCTTCGAGCCCGTTTTCCCCACGATCTGTTCCAATTTCTGCTGCACAACCTTGACTCGCGCTTGCAAGTCCACATGGCCCGCGGAGTACTGTTCGATGACGTCCTTGACGTCGTACGGCTTCAGGGCTTCTTTGAATTTCCGTCTCGCCACCAACAACTGAATCCTTCGTATCGCGCGCACCACGTTCTTCAGGACCGGCGTGAACTCCTCCAGGGATTTGGGTTGCAACGAGGGCGGTTCTTCGTCTGAAATCGGAGTTCGGGTAATGTTAGGGCGTGATTAGGAAGCGTTAGGACATTTGCTCACTGCAAACGTTGCAACGTCAACGGCGGAGTTTTGAGATTTTTGTTTGAATTGGCATTTTTGGGAGATTTCCAAAAAATCCGTCATGATGACATGTAAAAAAATATGTGAAAATATGATTTTGGACGCTAAAAGGAAGTCATGACACGAAATATAGAAAATTCGAATTTTAAAAAAAATTTCCAAAAAATCCGTCATTATGACGTATTTATTTTTTGGAATAAACTGTAAAAAATGGCTTTACTAGTCTCTAAACATCTATTATAACACAGAAAAACCTTTCAGTCCTTCAAAATCATTGAATTTTTTTAAAAAGTCTATAAAATCCGTCATGATGACATGCTTTCAAATTTTACTTTTGACCAAATTAAGGGTAAACTTGGCTCGTTTGACAAACAAGGATGTCATAAAAATTTTTTGTCTGCTGATACGCTACTTGCTAGCTTATATTAAATTTTTTTCAAAAAATGACGTATTTTTTGGAATTTCTCCAAAAACGCCGAATTCAAATCTCCTCTCTCCAAAATTCATATTTTTCGTTGACACTCTCTGCCCCGGTGAACCCACAGCCCTCAACTGAAAGAGACTTGAATCGGAAACGCGAACCAAAGGAAAAACAAGAAGATGGGGCGAAAGAAAAAAGAGAAAAAACTCAAAAACAGCACCAAACCACAAACCAAAAAAAGTTGCACAACGCAAAAGCGGCACTCGGTGCGGGAAAATAGGCCAAGTCTGTACCGGTTAATGTCTGCAACGACTGTTGGCGGCGTCGGCTTCGGCGGCGGTTCTGCGCCGACGCGCACGCGACGAATGGCGACCAGAAGTTGGAGAAGGTCTCCTCGACGCGGTCGGTTGAGTCCACGGCGGAGAGGGCGCGCCGTGCGGGCACGTGCTTCTGCGCGGAGCTTCGGCGGGGCTCGGCCGAAGGCGGCCGATCGGGACGTTCGTAGACCTCTGAACAAAGTTTAACCTCACCGAAGAAAAGGAAAGAGAGGGAAAGCAGAGGAGAGGTCGGGAAATTGGTTTTGAACTGAAGGGGAAGGTCAAATTGGAGGTAGATTTTTCTAAAATCTTAAAAGATTTTACTGCAGCGGAGATTTCAGATTATGATGAAAAAAGGGGGCAAATTGAAATTCGAATCTTCAATTTGCTTTTTGCAGAAATCATCAAAAATTTTTTGGTTGAAAAATGTTGCAAATTTTGGATTTTTCCAATGTATTTTGGGGGCCAAAATGGAATTTTTGTTCATCACAGGACTCCCTCTTTTTGAACGCTCAGAAGCCTGGCTCCGACTTTGGGTTCAGGGGCCGGAGCCGCTCAGAGCCGAAGCCAAGAGCCGTCTCCGGAGCCGTGGCAATCTCTGGTAGGGAGAGCAGCGGCTCTAGAAAAGAATTGTTTTTTCAACGCATTTTTTGATGCTTTTTCGTTTCAAAAAATCGTTCAATATCTTGGCCAATCAAAGCTAGAAAACAGTCAAAACTTTGAGGACATGAAATGTAGCCTACAAGCGCACCAAATTTGATAAAAATCTGACTGTTGTTCTTCAATTTATCCCAGTTTTATTTATCAGTACGTCGGAAAAATAATGAGCATTCTGTCGCAGCGAAAATCGCATCTTCGCTGAGAGAATGAATTGTCTCGCGGCAAAATCAAATTGATTTTCACTTGGGATTAGCGCAGCGACATTGCGCTCATTATTTTACCGACAAATTGATAAAAATTTTTGTAAAAATTTGACCTGTTCCCCTCAGCATAATAAAAAAAAGAGAATTTATGAACACAAGGATACACTGGAGAAGGTAACAGTCACTTATCGAATATTTACTCTATAGTATACGTTTTTCACAGTGTGAGCTACGACTGGTCGATAAAAACAACTCTCCAAGGGTGACTTACGAAACATCTAGGCTATGAAACAAATACTCTGTATTACAACGTACACTGTCTACAAATCATCATAAAAAAGGGCGAATGCAACAAAAACGCTATGCAAAAAGTGTTCACCTCCACTCGGCTCCACATCACTCCCATTCAGAAGCGGTGTGCCGGGCATCGTGCCCGGGATGCTGTTGTCGTCCAGCCGGCTCCCATCGTCCCCGTCCTCGGTCGCGTTGTCCGTCGACTCGGCCCCGTCCGCCACCACTCGCATCCGCTCGAACCACTCGTACAGCGGCGCGATCATGTAGTCGCCCACCAGCAGCGCCGCCGGCGGGTCCGTGTCCCGCAGCGCGATGGAGCGCGAGCCGCGGATGGCCTTCGTGAAGTTGCGACGCGACCGCCCGCGCTCCTTCTTGTCGCCCGGCGACGACGACCGATAGCCGCTGGTGCCCGGCGGCGACGTGGAGGAGCGTTGGTGGGCGTTGGGCGGCGGCGCCGTGTTGTTGCCCATGGACGGCGCGGGCGGTGCTGTAAATGCGAAAAGCGTACGAAACGAACGAGTAAAAGACGAGTAAAACGGGCGCACGTCAAAGTTTGGGGTATTGGGAGGACAAAAAACTCTTGAAATGGTATTTTTTCAAAAAATTTTTTTTGACATTTCGTAAAAATTTTTTTTGACATTTCGTCCAATTTTTTGACACACTGTCTAAAAATGTAAAAAGATGGTAAAAATCAACTAAAAATACGGCCTCTGATACGAATTCATGGAATTTCAATAATTTCCAAAAAATATGTCATCATGACGATTTTTTTAGAAATTTGAAAAACCATACAAAATGCCATTTCAAAAAATTTTAGGGTTAAATTTGACGTGCTGCGGGAGACATTGACACACATTGTGAGCGGAGGGAAGCATTTTAAAACTCGGCAAACAACTGGACTACATTAACACTCATGGAGAAGACAAAAGACCAGGCAAAACAGCTCAAAAAAAGAATATATATTGAAAACAAGGGTTAAATAAGTTTTAAAATGAGTTAGTAATCCCAAAAAGTATTAAAATTTGCTGAAAAATAGGAGTAGAAGGTTTTCGTGGTGGGACCCAAAAAATAAAAAATCATCGAAATTGATAAAAAAACGCCGGAGGCAATATTAAAAATAGAGTGTAAAAAGCATGTTCTCAATTCTTTCTTTGCTATTTGGGTCATGATGACCTATTTTTTGGACATTTTTACAAAAATTTTTTGTCCCACCACGAAAACTTTGGAAATAAATTTCGTTCCTAAAACCCCAAAAAAACGAAAAAAAAAAATCTCACAACTTACCCAAAAACGTGCTATTGGTCACATTTCGATTGTCATCCACGACGATCGGCATCGCCGACGCACTCAGCGACTTCCGCTGATGGTAGTGATGCTGTTTGTGTTTGCTCTTCCACGAGCCCAACGAAAAGCCCAGCGCGCCGAGACTCTCAATCTCGCTGATGTCCGACGCCGACACAATGCTAAAATGCCTACATGCACACGATTAATACACGGAACCAGCGAGAAAAGCGGACCAGCGGAGAGAGCGTGCACGGCAAACGACAGCAGACAGTGAGGGGGGATTTTGGTGGGTTCCAGAGCCTTTATACCACAAATTTCCGTGCCACGAAACCTCTCTATAACGAACTATAGTCCCGAGAGTCGATTTCAAAACTTTCAAAAATAAACCTCTGTACAACGAAGCCCTTCTATAACAAAAAAATGTTTTTTGTTCCATTACAATTTCTTGTTGATGAGCTCTACAGTGACGGCAATCCAATGGCAAAAGACGTAAAATTTTGCATTCGGGAAGTATCAAAAATGCTGCAAAATGACTCCCTTTCCAAGTGAAAAAACTCCGATTTCAAACGCGCGCCTGCCCTTTTTCTGAGGGACCTCTTCAAAACGGAGTGTTTCTAGTCGGCGTTGGAAGCATTTTGCCACATTTTTTGAAACTTCGCGGATGCAAAATGGTACGTTTTTGCCACTGGATCAGTTCCGTCACTGTACTCTATGATGCAGAGTACAAGGGCATTTTTTTTTGATAAGTGCTTTCTACTCTAATGATGATTTTTTTGTATTAAAAAAGCTGTTTTCTGACGACATTTGGAGTAAATTTTGTTAATTTTCAACCGGCTAAATCGTCAAAGTACAATATTCAAATTATAATGAAACTTCCCACAAATTTAGAGCAATCTTATCTAACCCATATGCAAAATTTTTACCTTGTGCTTTGTAGAAAAAACCAAGATTTTTGGTCCAGAAGTTGATCAAAATTTGAAACTTTTTTGTGAATTTTTTCCATCAAAATATATATTATAGAAGGCAAAGCGCATTGTTTTTACAAGCCACAACAACATAGCACCGCAAAAAACCACTCAGTTTGGTTGCACAGACGGATAATTTGCACACACTTACTGTTGGCGATCGCAGCGCACACTCGAACCCCTGGTCACACAGCGGGGTTAAACGGGTTAAAAGAGCAAAACGCTTAGTATTTGGTCACAAATAACGGCTGATTTCTAATCTCCACAATTTTCTGGCACATCAAAATTTAATTTTTTTAAATAAAATAAAAAATTTTTTTTTTTGGATTTTCGAAAAAAAAGTTTTTTTTTTGATATGCCAAAAATCACTGATACTAGCAACTACTGACTAATTTAACCACTACAATCTACAACGGGCCACACCGCAAGCACCGACAACACACCTCTGATTGTCCGAGGGCCGCGGCACGAGCAGGTTTTTCATGGCGCCGAGCGCGTGCAGCGTTTCGGCGGGCGGGGTCTGGGAGCGGTAGTCTGCAAAGTGGCAAATGCCCAGTTTTTGGAAGAGCGATTGCAAACCCTCTGACTCCGTGTGATTGTGGTGTCGACGACGGGTCGAGTGCCGGAGTCGGCTGATCAGGCTGTTCTGATGCGGCATCGTGTAGGTGGGCTCGCTGAAAAGATGTGTAAAAACCCAAAATTAATTCATTTTGCATGCTTTTTCTTAGCGCAAAAACATTTTTAGCGTGGTTTTTTGATGCTAAGATGACATTATAAATGATATTTGAAGATTTTAGAAAATTGACGAAATGTCAAAAATTTTGTGACATTTCGTCCAATTATTCGTTTTACCGGAAATTCTTTGATAGATTTTGAATAAACTTTTTGCAAATTAAAATTACGATTTTTTAAGACATATGAGAAATTTTTAGCCCGCGGTTTGCAGAAATAATCGAGATTTTTACGCCAAAGTTTCAAAAAATCCCATTTTTTTTTTGATTTTTGCTTCTTTCTCTCAAAGATACATAGCTAAAATTTTCAGAGGTTACTTTATGACCTAAACAAAGCTCCCACGCCAATTTTGAACCAAATCCGCGATTTTTTTGTCATGCAAAAAATCAATTTAGCCACCTAAAATTCAAAAAATCTCAAAAAATCTGGCTTACACGACTGGTGGAGGTGCCAAATATATTTTCCACGTGGCCAGCGACCTGCTCTCGGCGCATGAGCAGTAATGCCGCCAGAGGCATTGGATGAGTCGTGCTGCTGGGACTCTTCGTCGGATCAGATGCTTCTGCCGTTGGTGTTGTTGGACTTTCAGGGCGAACCCACTTCCCAATATACCCTAAATTCATTGTGAGTATTTTTACGATGAGACTGTAGTAAATTATATAATTAGTAGTATTTTAAATTGCAAACGAATTTAGCCATATCCAGAAGGGCGTTTTGGCCGAAAAATGGGTAAAAATAAGGGAATATCAGTCTGTCGGGAAAATAATGAAATAATGAGCACTTTGTCGTATCGAAAATCGCATTGCCGCCGGGAGAATGAATTGTGTCGAGGCAAAATCAAATTTCTTTTAACTTCAGCGACGGGATTGGCGAAGCGATGCGTATTTTCCTCATTATTTTCCCGACAAACTGGTAGAAATAGAATTTAGAAAAATAGCATTTTCAATTTTTAGCAAAATTGCTTTTAAGCAGCAATTAGGAAAGCAAAAATTGCAAAAACAAAATTTTGATGATAGTAATAAAAAATTGTAAATTTCAGAATGCCCTCGGGCAATTTTACAAAAAAATGAAATTGGTGTAAAAATAGACATCTCGTATATCCCAGAAACCCTTTTTTTGCATTTTTTGCTCACTCATTTCCCAAGGTATTAGCGTCATAAACCTCCCATCTCCAGCTGCCAACCTCTCAGTCTGTCGGGAAAATAATGTGGGTTTGTCGCAGCTTAAATTTCTCGCCTTGTCGCAGTCGCTAATCTCTAGCCAGGGCTACCCGCCGCAAAGCGATAATGGGCAATTCCAAAGCGCGACAAATCCACATTACTTTCCCGACAGACTGATAAAATACAATTATAAAAAACGCATCACCAAAAAACTTACAGCGGGCAGTGCGAAGAACGAAATCCCCATGAGAGCGCAAAAAGCGCCAACAACTTTGCCGGGCCACGTTGAAGGCGTTACGTCGCCGTAGCCCACCGTCGTCAGCGTGATCACGCCCCACCAAAGGGCGTCGGCGAAGGTGGTGTACTTTTCATTGTAATTCTTTTCGCAAATGTAAACAAGGAAACTGGAGAAAATGAGGCCGAGAAATCCAATGTACAAGGTCGTTAGAAGCTCCTGAAAAAAATTAAAAAATGTTACAGTAACTGATTTTGGAGGTAAAAAGAGGGTTTTAAAATACGATCAATTTAGTTGTTCTCCGATAAATCAGCATTTTTGGAGATTTTTAAGCGATTTTTCGGCAGAGAAATGAAAAAATCTCCGTTTTGCGCTATAGGTTTCTGTTTTCCGCATAACTCAATTTTCTTCCCTCGGATTTTCTTCAAATTTTGCATGAACATTGTGATTAGGCTATGTTCCTATCCCTAAAAATTTCATGCATTGAATATCAGGCACAGCCGAGATATTCAACGTCTTTTGCCGTAGAGGCACCATAGAAAATGACAAGTCAGAAAAAAATTTTTTTTGGCTGTCGCTTTCTAAACTTTTTTGTTTTAAAATGAGAGCAAAATTCTTTTTCAGACATCAGAATTATAATTCCATCACGATGACACATTTTATAGACACTTTTCCCAAATTTTTGGTTCCACCACGAAAACTTTATAAAAAAATGAAAAAAAATTGTCACGAAAATGCATAAAAATACCCAAAAAAGCTCATGACAATCCGAATTTCGCTTTTTTTACGCTTTCTCAAAAATTTTGGGTCCCACCACGAAAACTTTACAAAATGATTTTTGACCCTAAAGACCCCCCAAAACCACCGAAAATCCTCTTTGGACTACGGTAAGCGTATATTTAAAAATTGGTTTTTGACTCTCCCTACCTGTCGATGCGCCCACACCACGGAGCCGAGCAGCTTCCACGTGCCCGCACGCCGGTCGATCCGCAGCATTCGCAGGATTTGAAAGAACCTCAGCCCTCGAATGGCACTCGCCGCAAACACCTGGAACGAAGGCAAATACTCGTAAAAAGCGAAACGGGGGGTTTCGTCAAATTGTCAAACCCAACAAAGGGAAGTATACTATAACCGGAATGGGCTCGAATAAACACTGCTTTTTTCGATTTTTTTTGGGAATTTTTGAGAAAATTTTTTTTTTTAGTTTCAAAAATTCGTGGAAAAAATCAAAATTTTGGCTAAAAAAATGACAAATTTTTTTTTGAGTTGATTGCCTGAGGTGAAATTTTAGAAAAATTTGAAAATTTTTTGAAAAATTGGAAATATCAGTCTGTCGGGAAAATAATGTGGACTTGTCGCAGAAAAATCCCTCATCTTGTCACAATCACGTATCAAATTCCCAGTCGCGGCTATTTCAATTTTCATAAAGTGCATGGACATTTGTCGCGGCCCGCACCGTGCAAAAAAAACCTCTCAGATTTTGCACCGTGCATTCCTCCTTTCCTTCTTTTTTTTTTGGTTTTGCACTGTGCATTTGAAATATCGCTGCGACGTAAGCTTTTCTTGTCGCGGTTTTGCCGACGATTTGCACAGTGACGGCTTTTTTGTGGTTTGCACTGTGCGAAAAGGGAAAAGAAAAAATGCACTGTGCATTGGCGACAAGCATGGGAAAAAGTTCAAAATGCACTGTGCGTTCGCGACAAGCGCCGGAAAAGGTTCAAACCGCACTGTGCATTGGCGACAAGCGCGGGAAAAAGTTCAAATGCACTGTGCGAACGCCGAAAAATGTCTATGCACTTTCTGAAAATACTAAATACCGTTGCAATGGGGTAATCGGCGATTTCAAAGCGCGACAAATCCACATTATTTTCCCGACTAACGGATATCAAAATAATCAAAAAAATCCATCAAAAACCTACTTTTTTCAGTTTAAAAATGCCTCAGGTAATTGCGAAAAAAAAATTTTTTTCTGATTTTTTATTTACTTATTTTTTTGAAATTCCCTCAAAATCTCAAAAATCTCGGATTTCGGAACAAGAACCGCGCTTAAAAATTAAAAATGCCCTGCGGCAATTTCTCACCTGTCCAGTAGCACCCATACACAGCACCAAAATCGAGGCGGTGATGACGATTATATCTGGAAATGGAACGAATTTATAGCCAAGGGTTTTTCGCCCAGATATTTTTTGTTTGCCATATTTCTGTACAAAAATATTTTACGGTAATTTCCGACGAAGAAAATCTCAGTGGATTCCGTAAAAGGGAAGCCAAAATTTTGTCGTAGGTCTTGGAAGCCTATAATCTAAAATTTTGTTAGGTTTCATCTTGAGCGGGAAATTTGAATAATTTCCATTTTTTGGCCAAAAATTTGATGATTTTTCTACTTTTTATAATTTTTTTGCTCTAAAAATCCCGGGATAACCCTAAAGTCCCCTCCAAACTGACCAATAATACAATAGGCAGAGGTGGCGAACCGAATCCGACCCGAGACGCCGCGGTAGCGCGACCGACAGCCCGCCGACCACACCCGGCACACGTACTCCACCGCCAGCCAGAAAACAAAGATGATCTCCTGCAAGAATACAAAAATGTGCATTAGCGAAATGAGTGGCCCCGCTGAAGCGGACCGCGCCGGCTTACAATGTAAAAGAGCACCACCGTCGCCTGCTCTTCGAAGTCGGGCATCGTGGAGAACACACTCAACGCAAGGCACATTAGAACCATAACAAGACTGAAAACTGGTTTTGTTGAGGGCGAAAAAAGTGTAGTACAATTGGGTGGAGTGTTTATGGGTTTAAAATGAGAGATTTTTTTTGGAAATTCGAAAAAAAAATATTTTGGAAATTTGCATAATCTTGAAAATGCAAATTTTTTATATTGAAAATTATATATGTATGATTAAAAATTTTATGTGTATTTTAATGCTTGGGAATTCAAAATTCAAAAAAAAAATTTTTTTTTGAAATTTGCATAACTTTAAATATGCAAATTTTCAATTTTAGAAAAATTTGCATAATTAAATTTTTTTGGGTGTTTTAATCCTTAGAAATTGCAAATTTAAAAAAAAGATATTTTGAAAATTTGCATAACATCTTGAATATGCAAATTTTAATTTGAAAAAATTTGCATAACCACAAAAAAAATTGGATTTATTGATGCTAAAAAAACAAAAATTTCAAAAAAATTTGTCGTAAATTTGCATAGCCTTGAATATGCAAACTTTAATATAAAGAATTAACATAATTCAAAATATTCAAATTTTTATAATTTTTTAAGTTTAACGTGCGAAAAAGCAAAATTATCAAAATATTCGATTGTTGATTTTTTTCGAAATTTGCATGTTTTTCAATATGCAAATTTTTTGTCGAGAAATTTTACCTAATTTTTGAATATATCGCAAAAATCATTTTAAGCTTGAGTTTTTTTAATTTTTTTAAAAAATCCGAAAATTGTAAAAATCCTCCCGCGAAAAAACCCCCAACTCACACTAAAAGATGATAGCTGGCGGCGCGCCAGCCGCGCGGCCGCTCCAAAAAGTTGTGAATGTTGGACTGCATGCGGCGGAACTTCTGGTCGGTGCGATAGTGCTTGTAGACCAACGGCGCCCCCACAATGGACATGTTTCGCTCCTGCAAAAAAGCGCGAAAGTTGGGGGAGATTTGCGGCGAAAGAATGGGAGAATCCATAAAATTAATTATTTTGTTGACCTACCCCATAAGCGGGTGGGATGTCGGCGAAGGTGGTGTGCTTCCCACCCAGCACACCTTGCCCACTCTCCACGTCCGTCTTCTCGGGCTGGCCTGCAAACAACCGAATGAATGTGGGGATTGTTTTAATCGGCACAAAGGGCAGGGATTTTTGAAAAAAAACGCCGGCCCAAGAAAGGGTCTTTTGACATGTTTGCATGGGGCGCTGTCGCGCGAAAAATTTGGCGGTGAGTTCGGTGATGAGTAAAGTAATGCGAAAAGATGTCAAGAATGTCTTGGCAGCCTAGTAATATCAGTCTGTCTGGAAAATAATGAGCACTTGCTTTTCACTATCGGTCTGTCGGGAAAATAACGGCGGATCGTCGCGCCTCGGAATCGCCCATCATCGCTCTGCGACTGCAAGCCGCGGCTTGGGATTTGGTGCGCGATAGCGGCGAGGCGAGACATTTTGATGCGACGATCCGCCGTTATTTTTCCGACAGACTGATAAGTGGACGCCCAAATCGAAGAACTGGCGTCGACTTATTTCTTTTCTCGGCACCAAACTCTGAAATCCGGTAAAATTTTCTAAGTTTTTCGAAATCAGTGCACAAAGTCTTAAGTCTGCACCGAAGACTTAAGTGCTTAAGTCAGCACCGCATTTCGGAATTCGATGCTGAAAAAATTAAGTCGACACCAGTTTTTCGACTTGGGCGTCGACTTTTTTGCACACCGAAAGTCGCGATTTGGGAAAAATTTTTTGTGATATGACCACATTTATATACAGCGACGGACCTGATTCAGTGGAAAAAACGTACCATTTTGCATCCAGGAAGCATCAAAAAATGTGGCAAAATACCTCCCTCCCCAAGTGAAAAAACCTCGTTTTGAAGGGCGCTTTCCTTAACAAAAAGAGTGGGCGCGCTTTTGAAATCAGAGTTTTTTCACTGGGAAGCATTTTCCCACATTTTTGATACTTCCCGGATGCAAAATGCTCCGTCTTTTGCTATTCTTTGACACAAACAATTCGCTGGGGGAAAAGGTGATATTTAGAAGAAATAATATTTTCCTATGTGCCGGAAACAGATACAGATTTCTTCAAGCCCAAAGTTGGAAAAAAATTTTTGAATTTTTACAAACTTTCGACCTAAAAATTGCGGTCTTGAAGAATTCTAATGTAAATTTCTAGATTTTTTACGACTAATCATTTTTTCAAAGTGCGACAGACCTCGCGCCGCGACAAATTCTCGCAATTTTTTTCTCGACTAGTAAAAAAATTATTTATCATATCTGTCGGGAAAATAATATGCACTCCGTCGCATCAAAAATCGCATCGCCGCCATATCATCACGATTTTTTATAGCATCACAAATTTCCAAAAATAAGCTCAAAATTTCCGTATCACTTACCCATTTCGCCCTAAATAACAGCGGCGGTGTGAAGAGCGCGCTTCATACACGAAAATAATTAAAAATCTCGCCCCGGTGTGAATGTTTTTTCGCACCATTCTACACTGTTTCCCACTCCCCCTCATCACCTAGGTAACCCCCCTTCAGCTCTTCGATCGCAGGGGACACGCAATTCCGTTGGGGTGGAAGGAATTTTTGCTGGATGTAATTTAATTTGCGGAGTCGGTGATTTTGAGAGGGAGGTGGGGGAAACGAGGATGTAAAGTTGAGTTAGTTCTTGAAGAAGATTTTTTGGCGAATTTGGCAACTTGGGGAGGGGTAAAAATGTGAAAAAATGTAAAAAATATCACAGCATGCTGAATGCGAATATCATCTTACAGTAACCCAGGTATGCAGCAATGTTTCCATAGCCAAAAAAATGCAAAGAATATTACAGTGACGTACAGCGAGCGGTCTGATTCAGTGACAAAAAACGTACCGGTTTGCATCCGGGAAATATCAAAAATGTGGCAAAATGCTTCCCTCTCCAAGTGAAAAAAAACTTTGTTTTGAAGGGCGCGCCCTATTTTTCTCACAAAAAGAGCAGGCGCGCTTTTGAAATCTGAGTTTTTTTCACTTGGAGAGGGAAGCATTTTGCCACATTTTTTGATATCGCCCGTCATTGCCTCGCGGCGAGTAGCCGCAGCTGGATATTTGGTCCGCGATTGCGGCGAGACATTTTGCAGCGACAAATCCACATTTTTTTCCGACAGACAGATACCTGTCTGTCGGGAAAATAATGAGCTCTGCGCCAATCGCGTCGCTGAACTGAAAAGCAATTTGATTTTCGACACAGTTCATTCTCTCGGCGGCTATGCGTTTTTCGATGTGACTGAGTGCTCATTATTTTCCCGACAGACTGATATGTAAAAAAGTAACCAGAAGATATAAAAAATCAAGTTTTTCTCTGCGGTCTCCACGAAGATATAAGAAAAAAAACTTTTTTTTTCTGTCTGCCTGGCTCTCCTCATTTTTCGTGCTCTCTCGGAAAAAGACAGTGAAAAATCTCTGCTGTTCGTAAAAGGCGGGAGCTAGAATCTTCAGAGATTGATATATTCACTATGAAAAGGCTGTATAAAAAATTTGAAGACATTCAGAGAGGTGCTCTTTATGTAGCTCATATTTTTCGGCAAAAATTCGGTAAAAAATCTACTTTTTCCCCAAAAATAGCTCGTTTCCCACAAAACACCCCAAGAATCCCGACCCAAACAACTGCGTTCTATTCCGAAAACTACACGAGATAAATGCCCAGCTGAGCAAAATCGGGTTAAATGCCAGAAAATTAATTATTTATGTGCAATTTGGGGCTAAAAATTCCCTTTTCCCAATTGCAATTTTTCACCTGTCCCGGCGCAAAAATGACTCAATTATGGCTTGAATGCCTCAGAATGAAAGGAAATGGAGGGAAATTGTAGCAAACCCACTTACAAACTGATATGTCATGCTTTTTTTGGGAGATGAAAATGATAGAAGACACAAGTTTAGGTGTGTATTATTACATTGTAATCGACTGTTTTATGTGATGAATGGATGAGAAAAGTGCAAAAAAATGTTAGTCGTTCTATTGTAGGACAAAAAAATTATGGCGCGTGATTTCTGCGGGTTTTTGGGGCAGATGCGCAGGCGCTGAGAGTTAGCTGAAAAACGTAGGGCGCAGCGCGGAAAAATACAGTGACGGACCTGATCCAGTGGCAAAAAACGTACCATTTTGCATCCGGGAAGTTTCAACAAATGTGACAAAATGCTTCCGTCTCCAAGTGAAAAAAACTTCTTTTTGAAGGGAGCGCCCTTTTCCCTCACAAAAAGAGCGGATGCACGGCAACCCGAAGTGTTTCCTGGCTCCTTTCGACACTTCGCCCATTTTGTATCGGTTGAAATCAAACAAAATGTCACAAAAGAATTTTTCGTGGGGTTTTCCGACCGAAAAATATTTTTCTCGGAATTATTTTATTTCTTTTGTCAATTTTGATACTTCGTTTGGACGAAACTCAAAAGTGGGCGGGAAACATGTTTCTTCTATTTCGGGTTGCCGTGGGATGCGCTTTTGAAATCTGAGTTTTTTCACATGGGGAGGGAGGTATTTTGCCACATTTTTTGTTACTTCCCGGAGGCAAGATAATATGTTTTTTTCCATTGGGTCAGGTCCCCTACAGTAAACAAATCACGCTCGCAGTTTGACAGCGCCTTCGCCCTGGGCTCCTGGGGCGAAGGCTGTGCCTGAAAGTTATCTAGAAAAGGATAGGGCGCAGCACGGAAAATAAAAAAATCGTTGCGCGGGCGCAGCTCGCAGCTTGGGCGCAGCTCGCGATTCAGCCGTAGCCTGCACGTTTTTCGAGTCCGGGAGTAGCTCGAAAAACACGTTGAAACGGGCCGAGCTGCGCGAAGATTTAGTCCGAGCTTCGCGCTATAATCTTCAGTTAACTCTGAAAAAAACTAAAAATTCCAGGTATGTTTTAGAATGCTGAAAGAAATATTGGTTACAAGTTTCACAGAAATCTGACCATCAAGCTCATCGCAAACGCGGTTTTCTCTCCAAAAACTGCTTACCATTGTACTCACTGCTGAACAGAACCTTCCGATCATTGAGCGGCGCCGACGCCGGCGCCGGCGGCACATCCGCATCCATGCTGCGGCTGTGGCTCAGAAAGACGGACCTTGAGGTGGGCTGTTGCGAGTTGGAGGTCTGTTTGCGGCGCAGCGACTCCGCCGACACACTGCTGAGGTTGTTGAGGGCGCGAGCGGGGATCTGCCGCAGAGGCGGCGGACGGGGACGTCTGGAGGAGGGCTCCCGAGTCGATGCCACCGACGACGACGTTCCTTCACAGCCACTTTGTTTGAGCTGAAAAACGGGATTTTTTGGAGGTTTTAAAGGTATCCGAAAGTATCCAAAAAGCAAAAAAATGTCTGTTCTTGACTTATCAACGCTAAAATTAATTGTTTCCCCCTTTTTATAGCTCGTACAAAATGTCTCGCAATGACTTTCAACAGCCTAAAAGTGGGGATTGGCGTGCAGACTGAGTATTACAGGTGTAATAAAAAAAGTGGCCAAAAACAAGGAGTCGGCTGCACAGAGGGGAGAGCAGTAAATACTGACACATTACCCGACCCCTGGGAGTTGTAATCAATGAATAATAGGGATTTATACAATTCAGAATATTATTAGTTTTGCATGCTTACTCTATCGAGGCTACAAATCAACTTCTGTAAATTTTGACTCTCTTGAAAGTACAGCGAGGGACCTGATCCAGCGGCAAAAAAGGTATCATTTTGCACCCGGGAAGTATCAAAAATGTGGCAAAGTAACTCCCGTTCCAAGTGAAAAAAATGTGGCAAAATGCTTCCAAGTGAAAAAACTTTGTTTTGAAGGACGCGCCCTTTTATCAAAAAGAGCGGGCAGGCTTTTGAAATCGGAGTTTTTTCCCTTATAGAGGGAGGTATTTTGCCACATTTTTTGATGCTTCCCGGATGCAAAATGTGACGTTTTTTGCAAGTGGATCAGGTCCCCCACTGTAGATGGCTATTCAAAAACCCGGACGGGCTACCAAAGCGTCAGAATTTAACCACTGTACAACTGAGATATTCAACAATCTTTGCAAACGAGAGATTATGTCAGATGAGGAGAGACGGTCAGAAAAGAAATGTAATTTATCACGGTAAAAAATTCTTTTGCCAAACTTTAATCATCGTTTTTCAACGATTAGAATAAGCATTCTTAATAATCATTTTTTTCTCTGTCCGCTCTCCGCATTTCACGTACTCTCTCGTCGGCAAAGATTGCTGAATAACTCGGCCGCAACTGCAAAGTTCGAGCTAAAATTTTCAGGAACTGTTAAGTAACCTATTCGCAATATTTGTGCCAAATTTACTCAAAATCGAAACAATACGCCTCGAGAAATTTCCGTTTTTTTACCGCTTCACCCAACCCAGAACAATATCAGCACCGCTCTCCAAAAGCCCGCCCCCAATTACTAATTTTCCCCTGCCGACAGCCCCGAGGTCCGAACAATCGTCCAACACAAACCACCAACAATTTGCGGCCCCGTATATCGGATATATTGGCCGTATATCGGATATATTGGCGGGATTAACCCAATATCAGCCAAAGTACGCGGAGAAAAGTTAAGTCTTGGGGCGAGTTGAGAATGCGTGTCCATGCAGAACCTCTCCGATTTTGGCAGCACGCAACTCTCGCAAATTGCCTGAGGCGGTAATCGGATTCCGTGCAGGTAAGACATTTAGTGGGCCCGCAAATTGGCCAAAATTAATACGGATTTTGGGCCAGGTGTAAATAAAAAAGTGCATCCTACAAAGGCGAGTAATCAGCTGCGATGTGGAGGGAAAATAAAAGATATTTTTTAGGCAATGTCTCAAAATATTTATATCGAAAAATGGACTTTTTCAAAAAATTTAAAAAAATTTTAAAATGATCGCTATTTGAAAAGCAGCTTGCGAAAAACTTCCAAATTTGGAAAGGTGCCCAAAAATGGCATGAATTTTGATCTCTCAAAATTTGAGCATACAACTTGCAGGCACGGCTGAGATATTCAAAGGTTTTTGGAGACGAGAGACTATGGAAAATGAGGAGAGACGGTCAGAGAAAAAGTCATTTTTCAGTCTTCTCATTTTTTCTACGTTCAGAAATTTAATTTTTGTTGGAGATTTTGATCTCGAGAGGACAAACGAAAAAGATCTTTGTCATAAAAGCATATTTTTTTTAAAATTTTGTTGAATTTTCGACAACCCTTGACGTTAAAACGCTCAATTCCTTGTGCAATTGGAGAGCAAAAAATCCCAAATACGTGGCAAACAATTCTAGGCTAATCCGAACTCAAGATATTGTACAGGGTAGGCCACTCAAACTGACAAGTTGTTTCTTTGAATTTCTCCGCGGAGAGTCCGCCGATTTTTCAAAAATTTAGATTTCTCTGGAGCCGAGACCCGCCATTTTCTTTGCCACTCTGTCGGGAAAATAATGAGCACAATGTCGCGACGCCGACTGCGTTGCTGGGGTGAAAAATTCGATTTTTCCGCGACACAATTCAATCTTTCGATGCGACAGAGTGCTCATTATTTTCCCGACAGAATGATAACTGTCACTCTCCAAAATCACCAAACCTTTTTTTGTATTGGAAATCAAAAAACTTTTTGAATTTTTTGTACGGCTTTTGAAAGAGAGAGAGAGAGAGAGAGAGTACACGAAACGCGGAGTTCGGCCAGAGATGAAACGCTCTAAATTTGTGCCAAATTTTATCAAAAACTGGATGTCACTCTGGAGGTACTTCCCATGTGAACTTTCTCTCCGCACAATGCGAAAACATGTCAAGACTTTTTGGCCCGCCTAGTAGAGCATCTTCAAACAAAATTTTTTTTTACTGAGAAATAAAGCCTGCAGTAAAAAAGATGGCACGTTCACCACCGTAAATACTGATGTATTTACACATGGGCGAAGTGCAGGATCCGGACGTCAAGGAATGAGCTGCTTATTGCGATTAAAGGTGGAAGCCCCTCTTTTGGCTCGGAGGCAATCACTTTGCATAAAGGATTTTTAGCCCCTCAGGGTCTTCGTAGAAACCAATAATGTAAAATACATTAAAACTTTTAAGATTTCCCACTTTTTGATGGTTTCAAACAACATTTTTCCACCTGAAACAGAATGCCAAAAAATGGCGGGAAAATAAATTTTTGAATTTTTTATTCAAAAACAACTGCAAGTCATGGGAAAATTACAATCTTTACTAGGAAAAATAATTTGGGAAAGTTTTGAGCTCACAAAATACTAAAAATAATCAAGAATTTGGATGAAGTTTGCTCTACTATGGCCCGAAAACAATTACTTTCGTGCGAGAAAGTCCAAACAAAGCAATCTCAGGGTACACGAATATTTTTTTGGGTATCGGTCTGTCAACAAAATTTCAATTTTTTGGAAAAAAAAATTTCAAAAAATTATGCAAATTTTTTGAAAAAATTATTTTGAATATACATTTTTAAATCGAAAAATTTGCATATTTAAGTAAACCCGAAAAATTTTTTTGAAATTTCAAAAAATTTAAATATGCAAATTTTTGAAAAAATAAATTTGCATATTCAAATTTCAAAAATTTGCATATTTTAAAAAAGTCATGAGGATCAAGAAGTTTGCGAAATCAAAAAAAATATATTTAAAAAAATTATGCAAATTTCCACCCCAAAAAAGTTGAATATTCAAATATTCAAAGCCCCCGAAAAAATTTCGGTCTTGCAACATTTGTACCTTGTGGTCTAATTTCTTCCTCTCAATTAGTTTTTCTGACCGAAGAAGCCCTCTAAAGCAATGTCCACGCGGCCGTGAAATGTCTACGGTTGAGACAATTGAATACGAGAGTAGCTCCGTCCTTTCAGGGTTGCCCGGCTACTCGAATGTGCCCGAACATTGCAAACTCCAAGAAAACAAATTTGCATATAAAAAAATACAAAAATATTCGGTTAAAGTGCAGACTTTTTTCGTCTCCAAAAAATTCAAACCCGACCAAACAACACTGTATACGTATATCTGCTGGTTCCCACTACAAACCCGCCAAATATCGTGGGGAAAAAAGCGGCGCCAAAACAGCTCAAACCGCCCTTAATCGCATATTATTTAATAATATTTGCCCCGTAATCGGAATCCCAAGACAATGCAAAACAGAGGAGATTGGGGCGCCACAAATCCGCCGCCGAAGGGCTTGCGGATTAACGCGGCCCGAAGAGAGTGAAATCTCGCAAATTTTGAAAGTAAACCGAGATTATCAGTCTGTCCGGAAAATATTGAGCGCAATTTCGATCGCGTCGCTGAAGTGAAAAGCAATTCGATTTTGTCGCGACACAATTAATTTTTTTCGGCGGCGATGCGATTTTCGATGCGACAGAGTGCTCATTATTTTCCCGACAGACTGATAAATACTTTATTTTTGCTATTAACGAGACAAAAAATGCTGAGAAGACATATTTTTCGCAGATCGATCCATACTTGGCCTAGTGCATGTTGAAGAACCCAGACAGTGCAATAAGAATATGGCTTCCAAATGTGTTTCAGGGCCCTGAGGGCAGAGTTATGGCTAATCAAAGTTCACGCAAAAAGCCCACCGACAAGGGAAGTACTCCAAGTGCGACGCTCAGATTTTGATGAAACTTGGCACAAATTTAGAACAATTTTTTCTAAGGTATATACGAGAATCGTAGCTCGCGCTTTGCAGAAACAACCGGGATTTTTAGATCGAAAGTCGACGAAAATTTAGGACTTTTTCCCGAATTTCGGCACGAAAAGTTTCATGCCTATTTCAACCGCAAACGATAATGTTTCTACAAAAAATCAAATTTTTCCGCGCGAAACTGCCAAAGTTATGGCCAAAAAGCGCTTTTCTCTCTGACCGCTCTTCACGTTTAGCGTTCTCTCTCGGGGTCAAAGATCGTTCAGTATCTCGGCGGCGCCCGCAAAGCGCGAGCTAAAACTTTCAGGCATTGATATTTAGTCCATGCCCGACGTGTGTGCAAAATTTAAAGAAAATCTGAGCGTCGCACTTGGAGTACTTCCCCTGTGAAATGCACTAGGTCACCAGTAAGGATCGATATTCTCACAAGGGAAGTCAGAAAAATGTGACTTCCCTTGTAAGAATATACGTCTTTTTGGGCCATTTCCACCAAGTATGACAAAATCAAAAGCGTCCTGCGAATCCTCAGGACTGTTTGCCGCAAGAAATAGAACATTTAAAATCCCAACGCGAATGAGTCACGGATGGCATTTCGAAGAGTCAATGAAGTGAGTGTAAACATACGCAGAAATCTACGTCGTTGTTTGCACATGGCCACATCATCCGTTGTCGAGACGCTTTTCGAGGATTAAGCGAATGCCCTCTTCTTCCTGCTTCCCTTTCATTAATATTCGTGTAAATGATGTGTAAATCAAAAGCTATTTAACATAACAATTTCAGTGATGGGGTGGCAATACAGAGGGCTTTAAAAAGGAGATTTTGACTACAGAAAATGAGGAAATCGCCTTATACGGGGAGGTTTTGAGAAAAAGGTGTTCAAAGAAGTGAGATTTTCGTAAAAAAGCAATTTCACAAAATTGAACTCACGCAATTTTTTCCAAATTTAGCTTTTATCAGCTATCTAGGCCAGTTATCTTTCCCTGGAAATTTTAGCTCGCGATCTTTAAGCATCGCGAGATAAGTCTCTGCCACCGACTTATCGATCGTGTGCCGAACGTGACGATTCGAGGCCGAACCAAGCTGAAAGACGTGATTCAAGAAGCTCGAAAGAGGAAGTGGAAATTTGCGAAGAAGATTGTGGAAGGAGACCAGGAAAGACGGGAAGCACGGCTTCTGAACTGGAAGCCCGATACCAAAAGGCCGCTGGGAAGACCAAGAACGCGCTGGGAAGACGACTTTATGAACTCCTACAAGTTGAACATGGTGGGACAGAACTGGAGAACCGACGTGGCATCCCCATCTTGGCCCCGAATCATGGCCCGTTTCTCTACTTTTGTTAGATGATTAGCGGAAATAAATTGAATTGAATTGATCTTTAAGCACCGCCGAGATATTCAACAATTTTTGCCGACCAGACACTATGGGAAATGAGGAGAGACAATAAGAACAAAACTTTTGCACCGTATCTTTCCCAGAGAAGATTTACTGCCAGAAACAAGATGGTACGGTCCTGATTCAAATAAAAATGAGCTTCCAAAAAACTTCGAAAAAACTGTGATGTCGGGAGAATTGGCAACAGGTATAATCTACCTAGTATTCAGTCAGTCTGTCGGGAAAATAAGGCGCATGTTGAATCGCCGCGGAGAAAAAGAGGTATACTCCCGGACATAAATTTCTGACCATCCATATCTCAAGTGAATATAACGCAATCACTTCGAACCTTGGCATGTATACTAGTCATGGCAGGCAGAATCTGCCACATAAAATTGTTTTTCGTGCCTCTGTCTTTAGGCGAGTTATGCAGGTTTTCCAAAAATTGGTGGACAAAACTTTCTGATCACCTAAAATAACTAAAGTTTTCTCAGTTACCTTGAGTAAGTAACATGGTTCAGTTATCCTAAAACACTATTTAGGGACCTACAACGACGGTGAGTATGCTTTTTACCACCAGATTCGGCGTGTGCCCTCAAGCAACTCGTATTCTCGCAGCGCTCTTTTTCTCGTTATTTTCCCGACAGTCTGATATTCAAAACGCGTCCTACGGATATTTATCAAATTTTGCAGGGACGCTAGGTGCAGGCAATACCTCAATTTTTGAGAATTTTATCTAGCTTAAAACATGCTGACAAACTACCAAAAACTAAGGTCCAAAGACTTGATCCTCTCATGCAATGACAAAACCAACGAAACCCCTCGGTTTAAAATACTGTCCACGCAGCATCGTGCTTATAAATATAAACAACGGTGACCTGTCCCACCGTAATGACGCAAAAAGCCCAAACTAAAAAAAGAATCTGGGAAATTTCTCAAGAAATTACGAAACAGAAACGAAAGACCATAAAGAGCAAGCTCTCAAAAAGAGTTTCGCCCAAAAACTTATTTTGTAATCTCATAAATATGTGAGGGGATTACGCATAGTCTGCAAAAAAGAGGAGTCGTGCGTTACGGTAAGCGTATTTCGAGAGAACAATCCAGAAGGGCTACGGATAAATTGTTATCGCTTTGAAATAGGGCTTAAACAGTTTACAGTAGAAACTCTGTAGAACGAACAGCTTCTATAAAAAAAAATCGAATGCACTGTGCAAAAGCGAAAAATTATCTATGTACTTTATGAAAATGCTAATATCAGTCTGAGGAGACTGCAGACAGTCAGAGAAACGAAGTTTCCCTAAACGAAAAGCGACGAAAGGTTTGATGGCTTTTCCTGCTATATATTCCTGCGGTAACAAACTCTAAATGATAACTGGTCTCATCTAAGTCTCCCAGCAATGCTCATTATTTTCCCGACAGGCTAATGGATAACCAAGATAAAAAATGAACTTTTTTGGACCATAAAACTCTGATTTATCACCAAATCCTCACAGCGACCATGTCATCATTATTTTCCCGACAGACTGATAGTATTATCACGGATAAATTTTCTTTGACTTTGCGGTTCGCTGTAATGAGGTTGGATTCTTTTTTTTTTTAATTTTTATCTCGCAAAACCGCAAAAAAAAATCTGTCAATAAAGATTACTGTAATATTCAAAAAATAAATCGGTGATCCTCGCTACCAAAATTTGATGTTTTGCGTTGCCCGAAAATGACAAAAAAAACCCCAAATTTTGGCTAGCGCTTTGCAGACGCAGCCGAGATATTCAACGATATTTGCGCTCAATTTCACTGAGAGAGCACTGGAAACGCGGATAGCGGATAGAGATAAATTCATATTTTGGCCGTATCTTTGCCAGTTTCGCATTGAAAAAATTGATTTTTTGTGGAAATATTACCCTCTAGGGTAGAAATCACCATGAAAAATTTTAGGGTAAAATTCGCAAAAAAAAATTTTACTTTTTTCCAACTTTCGACATAAAAATCTCGGTCGTTTTTGCAAAATGAAAGCTAGAAATTTGGCGTCGGTCTTAGAAAAAATGAATTTAAATTTGTGCCAAGTTTCATCAAAATCTGAGCGTCGCACTTTGCGTCCTTCCCTTCCGAAGCCAACTTTATTTTTTCAGAGACAAAATTTTCAGACGTCAAACAAAATTTTCGCACTTTCCCCTGAACCGGCCCCAAAAAATAATTTGTTTGAGTTTCGGCAATCCGAGACCGCCGTCAAACCGCTTAACACGCCTAACATCAACAAATACCCTCCGGAGAAACAAGCGGGAATAATGGGCTTTTGGGGGAATGTAATTTCAAGGGCTCCAGAAACGTTCTTGTTTGACAATTTGGGCTGCCAAATTGCTAATATTGGTCTGTCGGGAAAATAATGAGCACTCGACATTAGTAGCGGCGAAAATCGCATCAAAAATGAATTGTGTCGCAGCGATTTCACGTTCAAAATGCACTGTGCGAAAGCGAAAAAATGTCCATGCACTTTATGAAAAAAGTGATATCAATCTGTCGGGAAAATAATGAGATTTCAAGGCGGGAACAATCCACATTATTTTCCCGACAGACGGATATCAAGAAAATCAAAAAAATTCCAACAAAAACTTAAAATCGAAAAAATGTCCATGCACTTTATGAAAAAACTAATATCAGTCTGTCGGGAAAATAATGAGCACTCTACCCGCCGAGAAAATGAATTGTGTCGCAGCAAAATAAAACTGCTTTTTAAGCGAAAATATGCCCATTATTTTCCCGACAGACTGATAAATAGGAAGTTTTTGGGAGTAGAATTTGTACCCTGAACCCTTATTACACGCTCTCACATAATATTTAGAATGTACGTCGCTTCCGTGACGTGCTGCAAATGCGTATATGAAAACAGGTCGTCACGACGAAACCAAACTAACCCAACACCTCATGCAAATGGGAAGACCTATAAAAACATTGTTTAACATGTTCGATTGTGACGACTGTGAGAGGTAGCAAAAAGACTATGTAGTGTTTACAATACATTCAACGGTCTGAGAGAACATATGAAAAAAGGAGAGTCTGCTAAGACCGCTGAATATATCAGCTGCCGCTGAAAAGCATAAGTTACAAGAGTCAGCGTTCCATCAACTTTTGTCACACACTGGTGTGACCGCATGGTGTAAATATTAGCAGTTTCACAAAAAACGAAGTGTCATAACTGACAACAGAAATAAAATAGTTTCGAGAAAAATGTTTTTCCACCGAAAAACCAGACGAAAAATTCTGTTGTGACATTTCATGTGAATCCGATCGATACTGAGTGCGCAAAGTGCCAAAACGAGGCGGGAGACTCCCTGGGTTGCCGTGCAACGTAAGTTTTTCTCAGCTGTGCCGCTGCGGCTCTGCTCAAAAATGTGCACAGTGCAATCGGCTTTTTTGAGGTTTGCACGGTGCGAAAAGGCAAAAATCCACAGTGTGTTGGCGACAAAAATTTGAGGTGCACCGTGCAAAAGCAAAAAAATGTCGAGGCACTTTGTGAAAAAGCTAATAGGCGGACTTAAAATCTTGACATGTTTTCGCACTGTGCGGATGCATTCACTCGGCTTCGTGACAATTTTTCGCACGATGGCACACTGTGCGACCAAGTCATGACTTTTTGGCCTGCCTGTGGGGGTGTCTGGAAAATAATGAGCACTCGGTCGCATCAAAAATCATACACCAACCGCGAAAATGAGTGTCGAGGCAAAATCGAATTGCTTGTCACTTCAGTGACGCGATTGGCGCAGCGACATTGCGCTCATTATTTTCCCGACAGACTTAATTTTTTAGGGAGCATTAATTTTCCTCCTCGACTTACCATCTCCTCTCACTCAGCTTGCCGACCTTCGCCAAACACCTCTAGCCCGCTCCGTTGCACAATTTCGGAACACCTTCCCAACTTTGAGCTCCTCCAAAAGCCCGCAAACCTTTTCAGCTGCCAAATTTAATTCCACTCCTTCCCCAATGCACCTCAAACAACATTAAACCCCCCGGGACCGACATATAATCGAAGAAAAAACACCCGCAGATTTCTTGAGTAGACGCGGCACTACCTTGGTGATAAATGGGCGTTGCGTGATCGCATAAAAATTAGTGGCATTTCCGCGGCGAATTGGCTTTTTTGGAGATTTTATACATAATGTGCACAACATATCCGCTAATGGGATGGGTGAACAGTGGCGGAAAAATGGACTGGAAAATAACCGATATTTCAGAAAAAGAGGAAGTTGTGGGAATTTCTCGAGGGCCTCAGATTCAACTGAGATAGCGACATCGTACGGTGGTGGAGGTGATCCAAAAAACGTACCATTTTGCATCCGGGAAGTATCAAAAATGTGGCAAAATGCTTCCCTCTCCAAGTGAAAAAACCTCGTTTTGAAAGGCGCTTTCCCTCACAAAAAGAGCGGGCGCGCTTTTGAAATCGGAGCTTTTTTTCTTGGAGGTGTTTTGCCACATTTTTTGATACCTCCCGAATGCAAAATGGTACGTAAAGGATAATATTTCTACAAAAAATGAAATTTTTCCGTACGAAACTGCCAAAGCGTTTTTCCCTCTGACCGCTCTCCTCGTTTAGCGTGCTCTCTCGGCGGCAAAAATCGTTCGGTATCTCGGCGGCGCCTGCAAAGCGCGAGCTAAAACTTTCAGAAATTGATATTTAGTCCATACCCGACGTGTGTGCAAAATTTAAAGAAAATCTGAGCGTCGCACTTGGAGTACTTCCCCTGTTAAAAGCGAAAAAATGTCGGGAAAATAATAAGCACTCCGTCGCATCGAAATCGCATTTCCGCAGAGAAATGAATTTTGTCGCGGAGAAAAACATGTTGCTTTTCACTTCAGCGATGCGATCGGCGCAGCTTCTGTGCATTATTTTCCCGACACACTAACGGATAAACACGATAAAAAAGCAATTTTTTCGACCATAAAGCCCTGATTTCTCATCAAATCCTCCATGTGCCAACCCCATGTCCCTGCGCTTACCTTGACGATGACATCGCTGGCGGGGAACTGCATGGGTTGTTGCATGCCTCACAGCTCCGGAATTAGCGACACCACGCTCTCATTCCGCATTTAATTTGGGCATTTTTTGTATCCGCTTTTCGCTCTCGCCCCTCTTCCACAAATTGCCTTACGATCCGCCCCGTGAAAGCAATGAGGCGCTTCGCAGCAGCGAAACAGACGCCGTGCCGGCACGGAGAAAGGAAGATGGGAAAAATTGAAGACGACGAAAAAAAAATGTTTTTCATTTTTGTCGCCGAACAATTCCTGGGCCAGCCCTAAATTAATAAAGAACCGCTGACTTTCGAGGACTTTCCGCCGAATTTACCCGACTCCAGCGCCCGCTGGGAATTGCGTGGAGGAATGGGAGGAGGGGAGGGATTCACCGAATTCCTCGCCGCCCCGGCACTTTTCATATGCCACAGCTTGCGATGGAAACGTTTCTAATTGAAATTGTCCCAATGAATTAACTATCATCAGCGAAACATAGCAGACGAAAGCAATTTTATACTTGGTGAGAATGGTCAGAAAGTTAGTATTTTTAGAAATGATGTTGTAAAATTGAAGCAATATATCGAAGATGCCCCATTTGACTGTATATAAATTAATCGCTTTTTAAAATTTCAAAAAACAAAATGAGCTTTCGCTTTTACCTCTTTAATTACATAGTAAAAGAGTTGAATACTTACATCCTGCACCAATTGCTCGTAGTCTTTGGCGCCTCGGAAAGTGACGGACGCCAAGGTGCTGGAATCCCCGCTATCCGCGTCCAACGCGCTGAGCTCGAGGCGGAATTGCGGTGTTGTGGAGGAAGTGGGGGCGTTTGCGTAATTGAACAGCAGATACCGCTCGGAATCGGAACTGTCATCGTCTTCTTCTCGTTCGCCAATCGGCTCGTCCTCCTCGATTGACGAATCTGAAAATTTTTTGGATGACTTTTTTCAACTGTAGAGTTAAAATAATGAAAAGTTTTTTTGTTTTTTTGATATGCAAATTTCTTGAAAAAAAATTTCAATATGCAAGTTTTGAATTTTGGAACTTTGAAAATAAAAATTTTCCTTACTTTTAGCAAACTTTTGTAAAAAACGAAAAAAAATTTGACTATGCAAATTCCCAAAATTTGCAGGAATAATTATGCAAATTTTGCAAAAAAGTTGAATATGCAATTTTTTTCAAGACGATTTAAATCAATTTTTTAGCCTCAAAAAATGGTTGAAGTAAAATTTTTTTTTTTATTTCCAAAATTTGCATACATATTATGCAAATTTCTTTAAATTCTTTGAATATGTATGCAAATTTTTAATTTTATATAATAAAAAATTGCTATGGTCTTACAGAAATTTGAAAAAACAAAACAATTTTGCCTATGGAAATTCCCAAAAACTTTTATGAATAATTATGCAAATTTTTTAGAAAAAATTGAATATGCAAATTTTTACCAAAAATCTTATTTTTCAAGACAATTTAAAATATCAAATTTTTTGGTCTCAAAAAAAAGTTTAAACATAAAAAATTTTTGAAAATTTTCAAAATTTGCATATTTCATGAATAATGAAATTTTCCCCAAAAAATAAATAAGAAAATCTCGCCTTTTTCCCGATGACTTTCCATTCCTTGACCTGAATTCGAAGAAATTGAGCAAAAAGCCAATGTTATTCATTGGGCTGCATAATAATCTGCAAAGCGACTACGACGGATTAGCGCGGCCAAATCTTTACCTTTTCCGACAAATCTCGACGAGTAAGTAAGTGGCGCGGGTGTGTTAAAAGGGCAGCTCAACAATTACTGAGGGATGAGTGAGTTCTTTGGTAAAATACGTGGAGATAAACGCTCGGTTTTATTATCAATCGGTCGGGAAAATAATGAGCACTTTGTCGCAAATAATGAGTACCAGTTGTATCGCTGAAGTGAAAAAAATCTGATTTTTCCACGACACAATTCATTTTCTCGGCAACGATACGACTTTCGCCGCGACATTTTTGTTTAGGCTTTTTTGAAATCTATAATTTTTTTACATTGCGGTTAGATGAGACCAGTTATCATTTAGAGTTGGTTACCGAAGGAACACGAGGAAAAACCCTCAAACCGTTCGTCGCTTTTCGTTTAGGGAAACTTCATTTCTCTGACTGTCTGCAGCCTCCCAAAACCTGTGATCTTATATCAGTCTGTCGGGAAAGTAATGAGCACTCTGTCGGGGCGAAAATCGCATCGCCGCTGAGAAAATGAACTGTGTCGTGGAGAAAATCAAATTGCTTTTCACCTCAAAAAAAAACGATCGACGCAGCGACATTGCGCTCATTATCCCCGACAGAATGATATTACTATAAAACCAAAAATCCTGAATGTCCAAAAAACCCCGCCAAAATCTTTTGTCTCAAGAACATCCACACCTTCTTCCGCGGCCTACAAATCCAATCCCATTGAAGACAACGAGGAAAAAACAAGACAATATCTCCGGACTCCAACATGACCGCCTTTTTATGACACCAATAATAGACCTTGAAGGGGGATTTCCCCGTCCGCATTCACTTCCACAGCGCACGCTATGGGCTTTGGGATTGTTTCGAGAACGGAGGTATAATACGCAATTTGGGTAAAAACGAATTAGCAAGGGAGATAAGAAGTAGTGGAGGTTGTAAAGTGAATGCTGGAAAACTTGCTGGAACCGGACGTTTTTCCTTTTTTTTGTAAAAGTTTGAGACTTTATAGAGGAAAAAATGGTGAAAATTACTATAGTGACATTACAAACATGCCTAAAAAACATTTCTCAAAGTTTCTAAAATTTAACGAAATGTCAAAAAATTTTGTGACATTTCGTCACATAGTTTATTTTTACTTATAAAGCGAAGTAAAATTGTAAAAATAATAAAGATTTTTCGTCGTCAATACCGTCGAAACCTCCTAAATCCATTTTTAACCAAAAAGTTTTAAAAATTACGTGGACAACTTGCGGGAAACCGGATGCTTTTCATTATTTTTTTATTTTTTTTTGAAAAATTGATGTATCTTTTGGAGGCAAAAATGATTAAAATAACTGTAGTGATATACAAACATGTATCAAAAACGTTTCTCAAAGTTTCTAAGATTTGACGAAATGTCAAAAATTTTGTGACATTTCTTCACATGGGAAAAGCAATGTAAAATTGTAAAAACAATAAAAAATGAATACGATTTTCGAAATCAACACCATCTAAATCCAATATTTACACTATTCTTCAAAAAAATTCAAAAATTACATTTTTACTTTTCTCTGTAATTTCGGCATAAAGGTTACATTCCTATTTATACAGTAGAGAGAAATGTTTCCACCAAAAATAAAACTTTTCTACACTAAACTGGCAAAGATATGGCCAAAAATCTTTTTTTTTTCTCTGACCGCTCTCCGCACTTGGCGTACTCTCTCGGCCGCAAAGATCGCTGAATATCTCGGCTGCGCGTGCAAAACGAGAGCTAAAATTTTCGGGAAGTTATAACTGAGCTAGGCCAAAAGATTCTGAAAAAGATTATCTCACTGCAAAGCATCTCATAAAACTACACCACATTACAAAAATCCTCCCACAATGCTTGTTACAACTATGTAGATTTGCCTCAACTACATAACCAAGCAATAACCACTCATTCCAAAAAATTCTCATCTATCTTGAGCAAAACTTTTGCTATTTTTGGGCATTACAAATTGTAAAAAAGTGTAACCCAATTGTAGTGTGGCTAATGTCGCAGAGCTAATAAAATAAAAGGTTAATATTTTTTGGTGCAAAAATGGGAGCAAATTTATCGGCCTGTCGGGAAAATAATGAGCATTATCTTGCCGCGACACAATTCATTTTCTCGGCGGCGATGCGATTTTCGATGCGACAGTGTGCTCATTATTTTCCCCACGGACTGAAGAAAGCAATTTGACAGCCGAACGAAGCGATTTGTACAAAGAAGGTCCCAAGTATCATTATACGTGTTGAAACCGGTCGAAAAATTTTGCTTTCCCCCCAAAATTTACATTTAATTAAACTTTCGTACAACCTTTTGGCGAAAAGTACAATATTCGTTTGTGTTTTCTCTACTTCGTAGACAAAATTAATTGAATTCCGAAAACCCGTTTCGTGACGTGGTCGTATTGCTCAAGTCCTTAGGTATGGGAATTTTATTACTCGCCGGGATATATTACATAAAATAAATGCATTTTGGGTGTGAGAACACGTGGAGGTGGGGCAATCTGTACATATAATAAATAGTATTGTGCGTCACTTCCAAGAGAACGGCATCTATTAACGCAGACAACGGAAGAGATCAAAGGCCAAGAAGTGGTTTCCCTCTACAGTGGCGGACCTGATCTATTGGTAAAAAACTTAGTCTGTCTGGAAAATAGTAAGCACTGTTGGGAGACTTAGATGAGACCAGTTATCATTTAGACTTGGTTACCGCATGAATAGCAAGAAAAGCCATCAAACCTTTCGTCGCTTTTCGTTTAGGGAAACTTCGTTTCTCTGACTGTCTGCAGTCTCCTCAGACCTGTGATCATATACTAGTCCTTCCGGAAAGTCGCCGGACTGATTTTTGGTGTTAACACTGTGCGAAAAAGTGAGGGTGCGAGCAACAGAAAAAAACCCTATTGCACGGTGCAAAAAACTGGAAATTGCACAGTGCGAAGTGAAATTTATTTTGGTTGTCGCCGATTTCATTCCCGCGACTTTTCGGAAGTACGAAAACTCCAGTGACTTTACAAACGGACTATTATAAACTCTTTCCGAAACATGAAAAGTAATCAGAAACCTTCATTTAGAGGAAGTGAGCTCGCCAAAGCCGCCGCTGACCTCATCCAATACCCGCCAAATCGTCTTATTTGGGATAACAAACCCGACCAGCTTCCAGAAACTTCTCCCAGCCCCTGAAAAACTAATTTTTTAACTCACTAATGCCTCAAAAAATTAGTGACCTCAAAATTCCCGCTCCCGCATCACAAAATAAAATCCGTGCACAGGGCCTAATGAGTGTGCTGGACGAATCGTACGCCCGCAGAGGGCCCGCCTGGAAGAGGGCACACGTTTTTAATTGTTCCCCGGATAAACGCGCCCCTCAGGTGCGGCGATTCGCGGGTCGGAATGACGCGCGTCTGGCTCGTTAAAACACCGCCCGCTAATTTCGGTATTCATAATTGCCGGAGGGGAAGAAGGAGGGAAATTGAGAAAAGGGCGATGGGAAAATGCAAAGAAAATAGTTTTCGGCTGGTTAGCAAGGAGAGGGTTGGTGAGTTCAGGACGAATTGGGCCCGCCGGGTTCACAGGCAAAGCGTTCTTTGGAATGGAGTCTTATTAGTCCGTTCGTAAAGTCGCGGGAAAGATCTTTGGCGTTGTGCGGAAAAAGTCAGGGTGCTAGCGACAACCCGAAAAAACTATTTCACGGTGCAAAAAGCAGGAAATTGCACAGTACAAAGTGAAGTTTTGGTTTCGCACACGCACTGTGCGAAAACAAAAATTTGTTTTGTACTGTGCAATTTCTGGATTTCGAGAAAACGTGCACGGTGCGAAAGCTAAAAGTGCACGGTGCAAATTTGGGCTGCTTGCACCGTTTTTTCTTGTGGAGAAAAGTCTACGCACTTTATGAAAATACTAGTAGGTAGTTTTTAAAGTCGCCGGAGTGACTTTTGGCGTTTGCAGTGTGCAGAAAAAGTAAATGGTTGCACAGTGCAAAGTGAAATTTTGTTTTCGCACAGTGCATGTCGCCGAGATCTCTCCAGTGACTTTACGAACGGACTAGTTTGCTGAGCGTGGCAGTTGAAAGGTAAAATACGTGGAGGTATCGTTTTGTGTAGCCTTAAAGTCTCAAGGGCAAGCCACAAACTTGTATCGACAACAAATCTCGGCTCCTCATTGCTGAAAACTTGATAATCTCAAAAAACCAAAAACTATCGTCCTTTACACACGTTCCAGAAACTACTCAGTTTTTCTACTTTAAAAAAAAATATTAGTAAAAATACGAAACAAAAAAAGTAAACCTTTTTTCGCACCGCACATTGCAAGCTGCCCTTGAAAATAACGTCGCAAAATCTTAGCTCATGCTTTGCGAGAACAGCCGAGATATTCAACGATTAGTTTTTTAGAGAGCACCTAGAATGAGAATATCTCCGGAGAGTCGCCGAGACGTGAAATGTTCTTTATCTACTCTCAGTTTGTCGGGAAAATAATGAGTGTTGGTGCGCCGTTTGCTAAAATGAGAAGCAATTTGATTTTGTTGTAACACAATTCATTTTCTCGGCAGCGATGCGATTTTCGATACGACAGAGTGCTCATTATTTTCCCGACAGACTGATAAGAGCGTTGAAGCCTAAAAAAATGACAAAAAATAGTAAGTTTTTATCGAAATTTCGGCCTAGATCCCCAGTTTTTAATTTAAAAGCAATTTTCAACTTTACCACCAAGCGTGTCAGCAAAAACACTCATCAAGCCTGAAGTGAACGCCCACAATTGGGGCCAAAGATCGCTGAAACCCGCAATATAAGCGGTTTCCCCCACCCGAAACTCCCCAAAGGCCCTCGAAAAGCGCAATGAAAAAGGCGACGTTTGCAAGAAAATCCCCATCTTGGCAATATGAGGAAACTGCTACGTAATGCGCCCTGACCTTTTCGCTTCGACTTCAAGACACTTCCTAAGCGCGCCCTGAAGCGGAAAAACAAGCGGGCAATAAAACCGCCTGAGGGCTTGCATTCAAATTTTCGTGAATTATTCATTCTTCGCGTTCAAAATTTGTACGCGCTTTTCCGAGTAATTCGCCGGTAATTTTAGATTTGTACAATTGTTACGAAGTAGTTTGTAATTACATATTTATGTGAAATTGTAGCAGAAGAAACGTTGTAAAAGGTTCAGAAAAGCAATTCAAAAGTAGTTTTAAGGGGTTAATCGGTGAAAATACTAAAAAAAATCGTTAAAAAATTAGTTAATATCACTTGAAAAATAGATAATCAAAATTTTGACGGTTGGACGAAATGTCAAAATTTTTGTGACATTTCGTCATATTTTTGAAGTGGTTAAAAAATTGTTTGAAAACGTTAAATAAAGAAGAAAAAGTGTAAAAAAAATGTGAAAATCACTGGTAATAATGAAATTTAGGTTTCAACGAAATGTCAAAATTTTTGTGACATTTCGTCATATTTTTGAAGTGATTAAAAAAATGTTTGAAAACGTTAAATAAAAAAGAAAAAGTGCAAAAAAATTGTGAAAATCACTGGTAATAATAAAATTTAGGGTTCGACGAAATGTCAAAATTTTTGTGACATTTTGTCATATTTTTGATGTAGTCAAAAAATTGTTTGAAAACGTTGAAATAAAGAAGAAAAAGTGTACAAAAGAGTGAAAATCACTGGTAATAATGAAATTTCGGGTTCGACGAAATGTCAAAATTAAAAAATTTTTGTGACATTTCGTCAAATTTTTATTTTAAGGAGCAATGGCCATAAACTTTGATGAAACTTGTTATAGATTTAAATTGGAATTTTGTAAGACATGTCTTAGCTTTTGCTTTGCAGAAAGCATTAAAATTTTTAGGTTAAAAAAATAAAAAAAAAAAAATTAAAAATTAAAATAATAAAAAAAGTATGCAAAGATTCCCATAAAACGCTGTCTAGAATCTTGTAGGCGACATAAAAAAGTTTATTAAAATTTTTTATCAACCCTTTTTCAAAATGCAAAATTTTTTGATGACTCCAAAAATAACCGCCCAGATTCTCCCAGTAATCTCCCTTCTCCTCCATTTTCGAATGCCCCAAAAAAACCCCCACCACTTAAGTGATTCATTTGTCTTCGCAAATCCTCGGCCCGTCTTTCGAGAACTGCGTTAACAACGGTTGCTTCGGCAATGTCCAAGGCCCAAGGAATTAGCCAATTACACTACAAAGGAGACAAAAATTGGTGCAAAAAAATTTGGAAGTCATGAGACAGAATTTTGGAAAAATGATTATGGCAAATTTTTTTTTAAATTTTAAAAATTATTAAAAAATTAAAAAATCTGAAAAAATAAAAAAAAAATTAAAATAAAAAAAAATTTTTGTAAGAATAAAAAAATAGTTTTTTTTCGTATTTTTTCACCTTTTAAATTCTTATTCAAATTTTTAAAGGCCAAAAAAATTAATTTTTACAAAAAATCTAAAAAAAATTCAAAAATTTTTATCGAAAATTATGCTAATTTTTTTAAAAATTTATTTTCTGAAACCCCTCAAAATTTTATTTCGATTATTTCCCTTCGCATCGGTTGCTCACTCCGCGCCAAATTTGATGTCAAACTCTACAAGTACGGAGACTTCGACGCTGAGTCAGACCCGTCAAAGCAGCAAAAACATCAACCAAAGGGTTCTCATCACCGTCAATGTGGTCGTAGCGCTGGTCACAGCGTTTCATTTGGGGTTTAGAGTAAGTTTCGAGGGGTGTTATTGCATTTGGGGACGTGGAAAGGGATTTCTGAAGAATTTGACGAAATGTCAAAAATTTGTGACATTTCGTTCAATTCTTGTTTTTGCGGGTGCGGCTTGCAGAAAACAGGCGAACATCGTCAAAGGTTCATCTCTGGCCATTTTTTGACTATTTTTACAATCTTATGCAAATTTTTCAAAGCTATACAAATTTTTCAAAATTATGCGATTTTTCCAAAAACCTCAAACCTCCAAAAAAATTATTTGGGGCTCGGGATGAGTTTTGAGGGGCCTTATAGTGTTCAAGAATTGAAATAAACGATTTCTGGACAATATGACGAAATGTCAAAAATTTGTGACATTTCGTCCAATTCTTGTTTTTGCGGCTGCGACTTGCAAAAAATAGCCGAAAGTCATCAAAAGTTTATATCTAGCCTTTTTTTTTGACAATTTTTACACTTCCATGCAAATTTTCAAAAAATCTCAAATTTCCGAAAAATCAAAACTTTTGCCAATTCCAATATTTTTTAGCTTATCTACGCCGATTTCATTGGATTTGGCCCCATTTTTCAACAGACAGAAGATCTGCACAACAAGACCTCGTACAACTTTTTTCTCGAGCATTTCTCCCGTCCTGAATCACCTCTCTACACGAACATCACCTGTATTCTCGGCGCAGTAATTATTGTCGCATTCTCAACAAAATTCGCCAAGCTTTCGCTGCGATATTGCCTCATTTGGGCAATTGCGGCTTCCGTTGTTGGAGTTCCATTTGCGATTTCGACTTTTATCTGGCAACTTCATTGGCTCCAGACCGCCGGATTGTGTTTGTCGGACTTGGCGTTGGTCATTTCGGTCTGCTTTCAAATCTGCATTGTCCAGGATTTGTCTAACAACAAGTTCAAGAAGATATTTACATTCTTCACAGGTCAGTTTGGGATTTTTTGAAATTTTCAACGCAAATTGTAGTAAAACATCTTAGAAAAGTAATCTTTTAGTGTATGTTAATTTTTTAGGAACTGTCGACATTTTATACGATGAAACATGTTTGGTCGTATAAAATGTCCTTTCCGTTTTTTGGCCGAAATAATGAAAAAACGTCCATAAATGACGATGGTTACACTGTTTTGACTTTTTTTTGTGAAAGGTGACATTTTATACGATAAAATATGTTCCATCGTATTAAATGTCCACAATTTTTAGGTCATATTTTTGAATTTTGAAAAAAAAGTTTGTAAAAATCGATTTTTTTCAAAAAAAAATGTTTTCAAAAATAACAAAAGGAAATTTCTTAGGGAAGGTGACGTTTTATACGATAAAACATGTTCCAAAAATTCAAATTTTGTAAACCCTTTTTTCAGGACTTTTCTTCGCCCTAGGCACTTTTGTCTCTTGCATTGTCTGCCTAGTTACCGTCGACTTCCCTAAGATACGTCTGACAGTCTATCTGGGCATATTTTTGTTCTCAATCCCCGCTATAGTCGGCCTTCTCGTCATTCCGGACAGCTTATTCTTTCACATTGAACAGGACGAAAAATTGAATGTGCTGGATCTGCTTTCAACGTCGTTGAGCACCGAGAACCCGAGTCTTCAACGGTCCTACGAGTTTTATCACGACTCGAAAATGTCGGCAGAGGATGGGAAATTAATTTATACGAGAGCTGTGGCAAAGGTAAGAGGAGAAGAAAAATCTTAATTAAAAAATTTTTTTTTTGTAAAATACGAACTCCATAATCCGCAATTCATTTATTTTCAGTGCGCTTATGACGGGTTTCTCTACGTTTGGCTGGACAAGAATGGGCGTACCGTGGCGCTTCTGGCAATTACGACCAATGTCCTGGGCGCAGTCTGCGATCATATGTTTTCGCTGAGGTGGTACATTCATCAGGCTTATATAGTAAGTATTTGATGATAGAAAATATTTTAGCCAGTTAAAATACGATTCTTAATTTGTAGGCAATTTGACGAAATGTCAAAATTTTTGTGACATTTCGTCCAATTTTTATTTCGGTTCGCAATAGTTGAAATTTTGGATTTTAAATATTACTATTGTAATTTGGGAAGGTTAAAATACGGGCATACCGAATTTTTAGTTCATACGGAATGTCAAAAATTTTTTGTGACATTTCGTCAAATTTTTAGGTTTGTTCAAAATAGTAACAGTATTTGGTTTTAAATATTCATTTTATAATTTCACAGTATTGTAGCACCGTTTTTCGTAATTTTTCGATTTGACGAAGTGTCAAAAAATTTTTGACATTCCGTCAAATTTTTTGACATTTCGTCAAATTTTTATTTTTTTCTCAAGTCTTGCCGCAATTTATGTTTTTCAAATTTTTTCAGCCGTTTCAGACCGAGGACAGCTATACGGCGCTGTTTACAATCACATTTGCCTTTCTTCTCGGCAGTTTATTGGCCATCCCGGTTGCTTTATTGTTGTCCAGAAGATGCATGTTTGTCAGTGCATGCGTGGTTCTGCTGTTCTGCGAGATTGGGCATGCGATCACAACAACGGAGAGTATGAGACAGGAGGTTGGATGTAAGTTTGAATAAATGGGAGTTAGAAAAATTAAAATTAAAAAATTTGAAAAAAAAAATTTTTGATTTTTTTTTATTTTTTTTGATAAAAAAAAATATTTTTTTGACGGCTAGATTACGATATTCCAACAAAAAATCAATTTTTCTCCCCAAGTTCTACCGTGAATTAGTCAAAAAAATATTTTTTCTCTGACCGTCTCTCTTCATTTTACATGATCTCTCGTCCACAAAGCTTGGTGAATATCTCGGCCGTCCTTGCAAATCATGAGCTGAAATTTTCAGAAGTCAAAATATATTCTATACAGCGTAGCTACGCGAAATTTCAAGGTAATCCGACCTGTGAATTTTCAGAAAATTAGATTTAAAGAAAAATTTTGAAACCAAAAAAAAATTTTTTCAAAATGATGATTTTTATTCTGTTTCAGTCGATATAAGCTATCGGATGGGAGTGTTCCTTCGAGTTCTGCAGACGATAATCTCCGGCGCCACCTTCAGCACACATGCCTGGACAATTGGCGCTGAGTTGGCGCCACGAAACATCCAGGTTTTGGTGACTTCGATGGGAATTTCGTGCAGATTCTTTGCCTCGGAAGCCTTTATTTTACTCCATGTGGCGTCAAGTGTGAGTTGAGATTTTTTTTTTTGAAATGATTGTGGGAAAATTACAGTAAAAAAAACCCGAAAAAATTGTTAAAAATTGGAGTTTTCGACAAATTGCCTAAGGCGATTAGGCAAAAATTTTGACTGCTTCTTCTGTAGGGGTCATAAATCAATTCCTGACGATTTTAGCTCTTGCTTTGCAAAGGTAGATGAGAAATTCAACGATCTTTGCAGACGAGAGACTATAGAGAATGAGGAGAGACGGTCAGAGAAATTTCTTTTTTTCCCTTTCTCTTTGTGAATTTTGCCTGGAAAAAAATTTTTTAGAAAAATTTAATAAAATTATAAGTTTTTAATATTTTTTAGCTCAACTTTGACTTTTTAGAAAAATTTTTAAAAGTTTTACGATCAAAAAAATTTTTTTGGCGTGGTTTTTGCGATTTTTGTGCGGAAATTTTTCATTTTTTGAATTTGATAAATTGAAAAATAAAAATTTCAAAAAAAAAACATTTTTTAATTTCGAAAAAAAATATTTTTTTAATTTCGAAAAAAAAATATTTTTTTTTAATGTCAAAAAAAAATATTTTAATTTCAAAAAAAAAATTTTTTTCCCTTCAAAAAAATTTTTCGAAATTTTCAGGCTTCCAAGACCTTCATAATGAGCCCGTTGATCTGTATCGTTCTCATCGTCGGCGCCATTATCATCTCGTTCTACATGCCTAAAGGCAATGGCTTCTTCAACATGTATTCGTGGTGGATGAACATGTCCGAAGACATCCATGCCCTGCGGCATTTCAACCAGAACAAACAGCAGCTGTGTACGAACTACAACTACAGCGACGCGCTGTTGAACCGATGCAGAAGGGCGCATATGCGAGTGGTGGAGAGTGTGGTTGGGAGCAAGTCGAGCAGTATGGTTTCGAAGAGTGAAAAGTCAGAAAAAGTGAATTGAACTTGTGAATAAACGTTTTGAACAGGCACTGAATAAATAATTTTTTGGCGCGAATTTGAATATTTAAAATTTTTTATTTTCAATAAATTTTTTTTACCAAAAAATCAATTTTTTCAATTTTATTTTGATTTTTCTCTGATTTTTTGCGAATTTCTCGATTTTCCCGCATATCGTATAAAATGTCTCTCGCAGATTGTCGGGCGCGAGCTGCGGGTGCAAGATTGCGAAATCCAAGATTTTGTCTTCACCATAGAATTCCAAACGCTACAGAAATGGAACCAGCGCATCATGGACGCCGTCTGATCGACGTCTCAGAGCTTCAAGCAGCCTTCGACTCACGCATCATAATTGAGCCACCTCCACGTCGTGATGTAAGTCTTTTTAGTTGAATTTTTGATGGGTTTAGGTAATGTTCACCACAGTATTGCGTTGAATTACACATTGACTTTGGTGACTGAGAATCTGAAGCTTTTCGGACATGTTTGGATGAGATTTTGACGGATTTTTATGTTATACTTGGCATCTGAAAGTTTCGGATGTCAAATATCTCCAGATTGCTCAAAATTGATTAAAATTTTGCTGAAGAGCTAAAGGAAGGTGTAGTTAGTTAGATAATAACATTTTTCTCCATATTCGGGCAGTGTTTTATGCACCTTCGGTCAAAAGTTTTGATGCTCATGGATAATGTCGCAAAAGCGTTTAATGGACAAAATTCCGATCGAACCGTATCAAAACTGTTTCTATACCTTCTTAGCCACGTTTTGCGGCCAGAAGCGGGCAGGAAAACATAGCATTCCCTACATCTGCACCTTATTTCAGCCAGACCACCAGAATAAATACGATGTCCGCAGATTGCCTTGGAGCCAACCGCCGAACCGTCGAGTGACCTTCAGCCCCGAGCTGGTGCTAGAAGAAACTGACGCCGTGCAAGAGAACGAAGAATCTGCAGAAAATTCGGAACCTCCGCAATACGAAATTGAGAAGATTATCAACACCAGAACCAGGAGAGGAAAGGCGGAGGTGTTGGTGAAGTGGGTCGGATATCCGTGGACAATGTGCTCGTGGATTCCGCTGAGCAATGTGCCAAGTGGAGAGCGCGATTTTGCCGTAAGTCTTTTGTTTTTCTTTTGGAATTTAGGCGCAATATTGTAGTAGAGAGAGGTGGTCCAAAAAACCTGATGTTATCGATTTTTCTTCGATCCGTTCCGACGGTTTCGGGTATGAAAAGAGAGATTATGAATTTCTACATCTACTGGAACTGTTTTTGACGTTGGATGTTGTTGTAGATTTGGTAATCTGGAGCAATTTTTCAGTTGCATGAGTTCAGACGTCGACTTGTTATCGCGGCCCGAATCAAATCCCTCATCTTTGACGAGCACAAAAAACGCGCCCAATTCATGGCCCGAAAGCAGATCCATCTGGATCCGCGAATTGTCGAAGACGTCTTCCATCGCTACCAACATCCCTACGTCCCTCTCTACGGGAATCCCGAAGCCAACTTGCTGTTCCAACGTCGCTGCATGAAATGGGAGACGGAAATGAACCTGATCAACCTGTCCAAAGGCATCGCCCCGCTCTACGTGGAGAACTGGGTGGACGACGAGGCGGCGCCGGACGATTTCTTCTTCTGCACGGAGTACATTTACCACACATCCGCCGAAGGCATCGTCCAGTCGAACATGAGCAACAAACGGTGCGACAAACAGCGGCATTGCTGCAAGAATTTCCTCAACAAACAACGATATTTGCACCCCAACTTCTTCGAGCATCATCTGTACGAGTGCACGCCCAGATGCGAGTGCGGGCCGAAGTGCAGAAATCGAGTCACTCAGGTGGGATGGATAATATAAATTTTGGTGGATTTTGGGAAAATTGTTGGTGGAATTGAACTGATATAGCAAGTTGAAGGTGTATTAGTCCCCAAAATGAGGCTTAGAGAAGTTTAGGCTGTCTGGGAAAAGAGTAGACAGCAGAAGTTTTGCCTAGTATAATATAGAGATGACTTTATTTTTAATGATTTTTTGGAAAGATGATAGAAGAAATGGTGGTATTATGGCAAAGAAAGGCTTTAGAGACCTTCATGAGGTTTGAAAATGCATCAGTGAGTCAGAAATTGACCTAGTGTAATATAGAGAAAATGCAATTTTTTGATGATTTTTGGTAATAATAGTGGCGAAATGAAACCAATATGAGACGTGGAGAATATGAAAAGGCAAAAAATGTGGTCTAGAGTTTTTTTCGAGAGGTTTTTGGAATGTCAAGGAGGGCAAAAGTTGACCTAGTATAATATAAAGAAAAGCTTGAAAATTTATGAAATAATCTCCGTAGACGGCTGTTATAACCTCTAGAACTAATATAACTGAAAAATAATATTTTTATTATATTGATTTATGGTAAAAAAATAAAAATTTTTAAAAATTTCCCAAAATTTACAATTTTGTATTTTTTAAAATTTTTTTTGTCAATTATAATATAATATGCTTCCAGAAAGGGCGTCAAGTCCCGCTGGTCCTGTTCCGCACCGTGGAGCGCGGCTGGAGTGTTCGCGCCGCCGTCGACATGCCCCGCGGCACATTTGTCTCCGAATATTTTGGCGAAATCATCAGCCCCGAGGAAGCGAAGAACCGCGAAATCAGCAGCTACATGTTCGACATCCACTTTGTCATTGTGCTGGAAGGCGAGAAGAAGAAGCCGAAGAAGCGAAGAAGAAGAGGAAAGAAGAAGGGAAAGGGACGGAAGAAGGGCAAGGATGGAAATGCCGAAATGGACAAGAAGAATGAAGCAGAACCTCAAGAAGAGAGCCAAGAAATTCTGGAAAAGCAGGCAGCAGAAGAGGATATGGATGTTCAGATCATTGAAGAGGGAAATCAGCCAACAAGAGAAGGTTCTTGTGACTGTTTGAAGGAGATTGGTGAGTTTTTTTGGGGATTTTTGATGGAATTTTGATTTTTTTTGGGATTTTTGATGGAATTTTGATTTTTTTTCGGGGGATTTTTATGGAATTTGATTTTTTTTTGGGATTTTTGATGAAATTTTGATTTTTTTTTTGGATTTTTGATGAAATTTTGATTTTTTTTGGATTTTTTGATGGAATTTGATTTTTTTTTGGGATTTTTGATGGAATATGCATTTTTTTGGGATTTTTGATGAAATTTTGATTTTTTTTGGTATTTTTGATGGAATTTTGATTTTTTTGGGGATTCTTGATGGTTTTATTGAATGAAAAGGTAGTTCAGATATTCATTGTTGTGTATGGATGAAATTGGAAGCTAGGTAAATGAGAGATCAGGCAAAAACATAAAATTTTACGGAAAATTTTGAGATTTCTTGGGGTTTTGACCAAATTTTGATTTTATTTGGGATTAATGGTGGTTTTTATTGAATGAAAAAGTATCCCAGGTACTCCTTGTTAAGTATGGGTTAAATTGCCAGTTCAAAGGAATGAAGGTTACGGCAAAAATTGCTGATTTTTGATAGGTTTTGAGTATTGATTGCCCATTTTTTCTTTCTTTTAGCATCAGCCAGCTAATTTATAAATTTTAGATGATCCAGAGATTGCCAAGCCATTCGATGTCAACCCGTTGGTCGCAAACAATACGACAGATCCTCTGCAAATGGAGATGAGTGAGGATTCCAAGTCCACTGTCTCCACTATCATTGACGTCGTCACTGTTTCGGACGACCAGAACAACGAAAAAACCTCTCCACAAGGTCTGGTCGCCTATTCCATCAGCTCTGATTCGGCGAATGAGAAGGACGAAGAGCCAAGAATTGATGATAAAGTCGACGAGAACTGTGGATTTGAACCTGAGTTAGTCGAAGATGATCAGATGGATGTTGATAAAGAAAAGGACGAAGAAACCGCTGAAGGCCATATTAATTGTAAGCTTTTTTGAGGGAATTCGAGAAAATAATTGCTAATTTTCAGCGTCGATGAACAGCACCGCCGACTCGGGCGTCCCCGACCTTGTAATCGACGCCAAGACCTTCGGAAATGAAGCAAGGTTTTTCAACAACTCCTGCGATCCAAATATGATGGCTTTCCGCGTCTACAGTAACCCATATGACTCTAGAATCTTCCGGATTTGCTTCTTCACCACCAAGGATGTCCGCAGAGGTAGGCTTGTCTTCATTCAGTAGTGACATTTTATACGATGAGAAATGTTTCGTCGTATAAAATGTCAATTGGGGTTTTAAAAAGTGGAAAATACCTCAAATCGTGTCAACCAAGCTTTTTAGAGATATTGTTAGAAATGAGGACATTTTATACTATGAAACATGTTTGGTCGTAAAAAATGTGTATAATTTTTCGGTCATATCTTTGAACGTTTTGCTTGGAAAAAGTCGATTTTTTTGCAAAGAAGCAAAGCATTCAAAGATATAACCAAAAAATTATAGACATTTTATACGACCAAACATGTTTCATAGTATAAGATGTCCTCTTTTCTAACAAAATCTCTAAAAAGCTTGGTTGACACGGTTTGAGGTCCTTTTTCATAATTTTTGTAAAAAAATTTCGAAAATTCTAATCAGTATTTTAGGTGAAGAACTGACCTTCAACTACTACGTGGGCAAGTTGGACAACTTAAACAACTCCCAGTGGACGCTCAATTGCCTCTGCATGCATACGGATTGCGTCGGACGAATCGGATAAACCAATTTAACCAATTTTTCATTTCAAATGACTATTTTATTTCATATTATTTTTTTGACGAATAAATTTCCTCCAGAAAAGCGCGTTGACCCTTGTGGAAGTTGTTTCTCTAGAGTGAACGCAAAGAACTCCGGAAAAAGTTGCTTATTTTGGCCACAACAAAGGTACTCCGCGAACTGCGCCCAAGCTTGGGCACTAATGTTTGGAAAAAACGCTTTGACCTAGCTGGCACTGGATTACTATAATAGCTCTATAGTTTTAAGGGTCCCTTCGAAGGCTGTGACGACTCATGTAGTTCCATATGGGGGCAATAAGTTTAGTTCCGGACATGTTTCATCGTATAAAGTGTAAAATCACAGGCTGCAGCCGTTTTTGAAGGGTAAGGCGGTACGTAAAAAAGAAGGTACCTCACTAACTAAATCCACTGTCCGGGCATTGAGAACGATGAATTGAGCGTGCACGCTAAATTTGGGCTAATTCCGACCAGTTTCCGCAAAGTTATAAGTTGTGGCCGAAATAAGGAACTTTTACCGTAGTTTCTTTAGAGTAAGCTCAAAGAACTCCTCTGCAATTCATTGCTGTGACATCAAAGATCTTGATTTGTAAAGATCAGAACATCAAAGTTACACTGCGTCGATTGATGTCTAGTTACTCAAAGTTACGTTTTCATGGGTTCAAAAAGTCCATAGATGAGAGCGAGCAAGTCGTTGGAATTCGTGAAGTCACAAACTTCACACACGCGGGTTCATCCCGATCACTGATCAGATCTGCGTCAAATTGAAGGTCAATGTCGACGTATTTATTAATTAAAAGGGGAAATACCCCGAGTGTGACAGATTTTGATGAAGCTTGCGCAAATTGGAGTAAATTCTTTAAAGACGTTTACGAGACATCTAGCTCGATTGCTCAATATCCCGTGGATAGCAGGAGAAGAATTTTTCCGGAACTGTTATGTGACCTATGCTCGATGTGCGTCGAACTCTGTCAACGAAATGTTTTGACAACGTATGTTGTTCTTTGCATTGCCAATATCGCAAAGTCAATATTTTTGATCACGACGGCGATTTGTTGTTTTGAGGAAGTAAATCTCAGAAGAGTCTATTACTGATAAGAACGGGAAGTATGACAGGGAAAAAATAATTAAATAGGATTTGGTTATCAGCTTGAAAAATGTAAAGATAAGACAAATCTGATCTTTACATTGACCGAAAATAGGGACGGCCTCAACTTTGTATGGTGTTGTACAGTGTCAAGACCTTGGTATAGGTCAGGTAATAAGGGTCCCTAATCTAGTTCTACCTAGGATCCCAAGCCCTATGCGAATACAACGACAACGACTATACAAACGGCAATACAACTAATTATGCCCTAGGCAACAAATTCACAAATGAACTCACAATGCTTGACTCCAACAACGCAAGAGACCATAGACACAATACTAATAGACTAGTCGATAATACAATTTATTCCAAACATCAACCGGGAAAACAAACACAAAAATAATCATAATAATTGGCGATTTCTCTTCCTTTTATACCAATTTGTCGGTCATTCCGTGGGAATATGCAAATTCGCACGCGAAGTCGTGACAACAGGCATTTGATCGGAATCGTCAGAATTTTCAGTGGCTAAATTTTTTCGTCCGGTTTTATCAAAATCTGAGCGTCGCACTCTTTGAAATGACCATGTGATTATATATCTATGTCATCATGACCAAAGATCTTTGATGTTGCGAACATCAAAGCACCTTGTCGCCTCCATTTCAAACTCCACCCATCTATCAACAACCGTTTCCATGGCCAAACTCCATAGTCCACGGTAGTCGATTCATCCGCTGCTCTGTCCGTTGGATTCTTATCATTCGATAGGTGGGAAGCGCCGCCCACTGGGAAGTTAGCCATAGAATGCGGATGATAAGAAGGCGCATGATTTTTGCTCGTACAAAAAGTCTCAGCGTTTGTTTCGTTGCCCTTTTATCTGAATGGAGTTTCTACGTTGAGGACGTTGATTTTCGATTTTTTTTTTGATTTTGAGTCATCAGAGGAGCTTTATCAGTCTGTCTGGAAAATAATGAGCACTTTGTCGCATCGAAAATCGCATCGCCACCGAGAAAATCAATTGTATCGCGATAAAACCAAATTTCTTTTCACTTCAGCGGCGTCGGTACAGCGTGCTCATTATTTTCCCGACAGACTGATACGTCCAGGACGGTGATTTTTCATTATTTTTTTTGATCTTTGAGATGACCAGTTCTGAAAAAGGACCTCAAACCGTGCCAACCAAGCTTTTTAGAGATATTGTTAGAAAAGAGGACATCTTATACTATGAAACATATTTGGTCGTATAAAATGTCTATAATTTTTTGGTTGTATCTTTGAATGCTTTGCTTCTCTGCAAAAAATCGACTTTTTCCAAGCAAAAAGTTCAAAGATACGACCGAAAAATTATACACATTTTATACGACCAAACATGTTTCATAGTATAAAATGTCCTCATTTCTAAAAATATCTCTAAAAAGCTTGGTTGACACGATTTGAGGTATTTTTTCACACTTTAAAAGCGCAACTACCGTCATTTCACGACGAAAATTTTCTCATCGTATAAAATGTCACTACTAACGAGAAAACGAGATTTTTTGTCGACACAAGCTTTTGTGATTCGTGCTTGAGGCACTAAAGCTAAAAAACGACAAAAAAGGTGGCTAAATCAAAACGTGTATTCAAAATTATCTTATCAACCCGACTACAAGAAGGTCTATTTGTTTTGTTTAGGACCTGGTCGTCTTGTGACTGAAAATTGGATCTTTTCGTAAAGCCCCCGGTTTTGATAACGACATAAACCTTGTGTTTGCCCAGTTTCTGACTTGTATTTACGGGAGCTCGCCAATTGGGGAAAGAAAGAGCCTCACTTCCTGTTCAAATCCCGATTTCTCCGGCAGAGCTCGTAAACGAAGTTTTTTATCCATCTGTCGGGAAAATAATGATCAGGCTCAGATTGTCGATGACCATATGTAGCCGACTGCTCTTCGCATAGTTAAAACTCGAAAAACTGTCGCTGGGGTGAAAGCAATTTGATTTTGCAGTGACGCAATCATTTTCTCGGCAGCGATACGTTTTCAATGCAACGGAGCGCTCGTTATTTTCCCGACAGACTGGTGGGGAACACAGAATTCCATAAAAAATTTTTATTTTGTTCCATTTTGCATGAGCGTTCTGAACCAGCCCCAATCAATCCATGAAAGGTTTAGCCCACGCCTTCGGCAAATACAGTGAGAGACCGGATCCAATGGCAAAAAACGTCTCATTTTGCATCCCGGAAGGGACCAAAATGTCTCCAAACCCTTCCCTTCTCTAAGCTAAAAAACCCCCACTTTGAAAAGCCCGCCTTGAAGGAAAGGGCGCGCTTTTCAAAGCGGAGTTTTTTAGCTTAGAAGGGAAGAATTTGGAGTCATTTTGGTCCCTTCCAGGATGCAAAAGGACACGTTTTTTGCTATTGGATCAGGTCCCTCAATGTAAGGTATCCAACAATGATTGTATTTGACTACCCATTGATATCCGTACAGTGAGGGACCTGATCCAATGGCAAAAAACGTCTCATTTTTCATCCGGGAAGTATCAAAAATGTGGCAAAATAACTCCCGTTCCAAGTGAAAAAATGTGGCAAAATGCTTCCTTCTCCAAGCGAAAAAACTTTGTTTTGAAGGGTTTGGAGACGTTTTGGTCCCTTCCGGGATGCAAACTGGGACGTTTTTTGCCACTGGATCCGGTCCCTCACTGTACAATCAATTTTTCTGCCGATTCGTTTTGAAGTGAAGAGTTCCTTGTGTTCTATCAAAATATATGCAAAATTAATGAGCTATCCGTCTACCCTCTGAACATAATACTTCAATAATCAATTCCCATCGCTTGATAGCACTCATTTGATTTTTTGAATAATTATTTTCTCTCCTGCAAGCATTGATTTAGTGAAAAATTGAAAAATTCAGTGTAATGTCTATTAGGATTTTCATAAAGTGCATGGAAATTTTTTCGCTTTCGCACAGTGCAAAACTGAAAAAAAACCGTTTACACTGTGCAGATTCTCGGCGCCGAATTATTGCACAGTGCAGTCAATTTTTTCGTTTTTCGCACTGTGCAATCGATTTTTCTGCTTGCACTGTGCAAAACAGGCTCGCCAAAATTGCACAGTGCAATAAAATCTAGCAAAAAAAACCCATTTTGCGTCATGCATCGACGAGATGCGTCGCTGCGATTTTTGCTCTACTTGCACAGTGCAAACGGCATTTTTGTGTTTTGCACTGTGCGAAAAAAGAAAAATGCACTGTGCGTTGACGACAAGTGTTGGAAAAGTTCAAAATGCACTGTGCGAAAGCGAAAAAGATGTTCATGCACTTTTCGAAAATACTCATATCATTTTAGGACAACAAATTTTTTAGTTATCATTTTTGTAAAAAATCGATTTTTTCGCGATAAAATATGTAATCCGTAAAAAAATTTTAAGCGATTTCTCGTAAAAAAAATTTTTGATTTGTTAAATTCGCTACTGTCAGTTCCAGAAATGGCAACCGTCGAAGACTTCAACGCAAAACCGATGGAAGATTTTTCGAACGACGACCACCATTTGCTCTCGCTGCTGACTCGGAAATCCGAAAGATTCCAAGAGATTAAAAAATTCCACGACGTTCAAAACGTAAGAACGGGGCTTTTGAAAATCATTTGTAATCATTTATTTATAAGTCTGTCGGGAAAATAATGGGAAAAAGTTCCTTATTTTGGCCACAACAAAGGTACTCCGCAAACTGCGCCCAAGCTTGGGGCACTAAAGTTAGGAAAAAACGCTTCGACCTAGCTGGCACTGAATTACTATAATAGCTTTATAGTTTTAAGGGTACCTACGAAGGCTGTGACGACTCATTTAGTTCCATACGGAGGCAATAAGTTTAGTTCCGGACATGTTTCATCGTATAAAGTGTAAAATCACAGGCTGCAGGCGTTTTTGAAGGGTAAGGTGGTACGTAAAAAAGAAGGTACCTCACTAACCAAATCCACTGTCCGGGTATTGACAACGATGAATTGAGCGTGCACGCTAAATTTGGGCTAATTCCGACCAGTTTCCGCAAAGTTATAAGTTGTGGCCAAAATAAGGAACTTTTACCAAATAATGAGCACATTGTCTCTGCGCCGATCGCATCGCTGAAGTGGAAAAATTTTTTATTTTTCCTTGACACAATTCATTTTCTCGGCCGCGATGCGATTTTCGATGCGACATAATGCTCATTATTTTCCCGACAGACTGATGCAATAGCGAAAATTCAATTGACAAGGGAAGTACTTGAAGTGTGACGCTCAGATTTTGATGAAACTTGGCACAAATTTAGAATAATTTTTTCTAAGATATATGCGGGAATCCTAGCTCGCGCTTTGCAGAAACAACCGAGATTTTTAGATCGAAAGTCGGCGAAAATTTGGGACTTTTTGCCGAATTTCGGCACGAAAAGTTTCATGCCTATTTCAACCGTAAAGAATAATGTTTCTACAAAAAATCAAATTTTTCCGCACGAAACTGCCAAAGTTATGGCCAAAAAGCGGTTTTCTCTCTGACCGCTCTCCACGTTGAGCGTGCTCTCTCGGCGGCAAAAAACGTTCAATATCTCGGCGGCGCCCGCAAAGCGCGAGCTAAAACTTTCAGGAATTGATATTTAGTCCATACCCGATGTGTGTGCAAAATTTAAAGAAAATCTGAGCGTCACACTTGAAGTACTTCCCCTGTGAATAAATAAAATTTTCAGATCTCCAAAACAATGCTCGCGGACGATGACAGCTTTATGTCAGTGGTCTACAAAGTCGAGGTGACCTTCAAAAACGGGCAACGAACCGATTACTGTCTCAAAGTCCCGACCTGTGAGAAAATCGAAAAAGTCGCGGTGAGGATTTGCAAATTAAGTACTCTTTTTTTTACGCTAAGGGTTTCATGCAAGCCGGCGCAAATTTAGATCGCACTTTGCCAAGACATATACGAGGCGTCCATTTTGAGCTTTGCAGAAAAAACAGAGATTTTTAGGTCGAAAGTTGGAAAAATATGACACTTTTTTTGTGAATTTTAGCATAAGAATTTCTATTACTTCTTCTATACTAATGCTTCCACAAAAAAAAAGAATTCTTTCCACGTGAAACTGGCCAAGATATGGCCAAAAATTGTTTTTATCCTTGATCGATATCCGCTCACTCTCTCGGCCGCAAAGATTGTAGAATATCTCGGTTGCCCCTGCAAAACGAGAGCTAAAATTTTCAGGAATTGATATTTGGCCAAAATTGTGTGAAAAATTTTGAAAAAATCTGAGCGTCGGACTTCGAACCCTTCCCTGATTTAAATGACGTCTCAAAGAAGCTTGCCCTCTGGATCGATCTGCCTGTCGGGAAAATAATGAGCACTCTGTCGCATCGAAAATCGCATCGCCGCTGAGAAAATGAATGGTGTCGCGGAGAAATCAAATTGCTTTTTATTTCAGCGACGCTGAGCTCATTATTTTCCCGACAGACTGATATATATGGCAAATCCCTCTACAACGAGAAAATTCAGCTTCTGCAAAATAAAATTGACCCTGTTCGCTTTTTTCCGCATAAAACCTCTCGTTTGTCTGGTTGTGATTGTTTTAAGATGATTTTGGACCCATTGATCTGGCCAGGTGTCGGAGCGCGACAAAAACGGCCACGCTAAAGTGCGTCTGTTACAACGGGGGGCTTCTTCTTCTCTCCAATTGTCTCCGTCCTTCCTTCGCATTTTTCGCCGACAATTACTGTATTCGATCCTGGTTTTTGGTTATTAATCGTTATAAGAATTGGCCGTGGCTCATTGTAGATTTATTGGAATTTTCTATAATTCAGATTTTAAGCCGGTGGACATTTTATACGATTAAAAAAATTTCATCGTATAAAATGTCTCCTTATTCAAAAAATTATATCAACCTTTAATGTCGTATTTTACGCTGCTTTGGTTTAGTTCGACAAAAAATTAAGTGACGTAGACGATAAAACACGTTCCATCGTATAAAATGTCACTTTTCTCCATTTTAATGTTAAAAACGGCTAACATTTTATCAAAAAAAATTAAATGGCGATTGATATATGTTCCTCGCACTTTGTCGTCTTGTACAACAACTGTCGACATTTTATACGACAAAACATGTTCGATCGTATAAAATGTCACTTTCCCCTAAAATCTCTAAATTCATAAACCAAGTCTATCCACAACCTCTCTTATCCAATTACGTTTGTTTATAATTTCAGGAGGTCAACTTCTTTCCAATCCTCTCCATTATCCACAACAAAGAATGCGATTTCTACGAAAGCTCCCAAAAAATCGACGGTCTCCGGCTGCCCGAGGTGTTTTCGCTGAAAAGATTGACGGACGAGGACCGCAATGCCTATGTTTTGATGGAATTCCTACATGGTCGGTGTGTGCCCGTCGAGGAGTCGCTGAATTTGGAGCAAATAAAAGATGTCGCAGAACAAGTTGCGTTAATTTTGAACTTTAGTCTGAATAATCCGGATATCACCGCCAGACCGGAGAATCGGACGTTCAGCATTGCGGGCAATGATGATGAGCATTTTGCAAAGATGAATGGGCCAATTGTCAAGTATTTGAGGAAAACACCAGGTACGTGGGTAAAAAATGTCGGCCGTGAAAAAGGTCGAGAAAGATACCCAAATTTGGTGTCGAAAAAAAATCACAGAGACCTAAAAGACTACTATTTTTGATGTCAGAGTAGCGTGAACTTTCTGAAAACCTTTTGAGACTCGAAAAATGTCTCAAAAGGTATCCAAACAACTCTTTTCTCTCTCTCTTCAAAACCAGTGGTCTATTTACGTCTCTGTGATACTGGTCCGTTCGTAAAGTCGCTGGAGTGATTTGTGCGACATGCACTGTGAGAAAAACATCACTCCAGCGACTTTGCGAAGGGACCAATATCATAGAGACGTTAATGGACTTCGGTTATTGAAGAAACAGAGAAAAGAGTCGTTTGGACACCTTTTGAGGTATTCTCCGTGTCTCAAAAAGTTTCCAAAAAGTTCATGCAACTATCGCATTAAAACTGCATTGTCTCTTTGATCTCTTGCCAAATTCACAGGCCCAAAACTTTGCAAAATTACAAGCATTTTTCAGAAATGCAAGAGCTCCACGACCTCGTCGAAAAACATCAAAGAATCCTGTCACAACGCGACTATTTCGAATATATCGTCTTTCAAGCCCATTTGGATTACGGTATGTATCAAATAAACACCTTAATCCTCCCCAAAATTACACGTGACCAAAGTTACGACTACAAATTTCAGGAGTTCCAAACCTCTTAGCCCATGGAGATCTCTGGAGTAATAATCTTTTCTTCCATGGGAACAAAGTCGAAGCTATTATTGACTGGCAAAGTTTGAATGCAGGTGAGTATCCAACCTCGCTTTTTTGGGAATTTAGGCGTCAATTTTTCATTGGACAGCACTTTGTCTATGTCATGGCTCTGGCTGACAAAAAGATCAAAGAAAAAATCAAGTAGACCCCAAATTTGGTATCAAAAGGTATTGCAAAGACATAAAGAGACTGTTGATTTTGAAGAGAAGAGCATTATCCTTTTCTCTTCAAAATCAACAGTCTTTTTATGTCTCTGCGACACCTTTTGATACCAAATTTGGGTCTTATTGATCACTTCCTTGATCCTTTGTCTTTGAATCGCTCAAAATCGCTCTTGAAACATAGTTCAAAGCTAAAATTTCACCAAAATTTTCTTCAGGGAACCCCACGCAAGATCTCGTCCGTCTTCTCCTTCTCAACTGCTCTCCCGACTTTCGGCATAAGTACGAATCGACCGTACTCAAACACTGCTACGACCATCTTTCAAAACTCCAAGGGAAGCCTTTGGAATTCTCCTTCGAGAATTTCGAAAAGTCCGCCAAAACCTACGCCATTTACCAGATTTATCTTGGTCTTTACATTCTGACACACAAGTACAGTAAGCCCGAAAGAACGTTGCAACGGAAAGTTTTTGTGGAGCGAATGGCCGCCGGTCTTCGAGATAGCCTCGATTGGATCAATCAGAACGCCAATCTGAGAAAGTTCAAGTGAAAAGAGACATCTTATACGATGAAACATGTATATGTACATTACGTGAATTGTGATATTATTTTACTAATTTTAGTAAAACATTGCTTTTTTAATAAAAAATAATAAACTTTAGGGGTCTAAAAAATTTATGACCAATTTTTGCACTTTCAAAAAAATTGGTATTGATACAGTAAACATTGCGGAAGGGCTTTTTCCACTTTCTTCTCTTTTCTTCGGAGAAATCAAAAAGATTTGTAGTTTAGTCAACTTTTTCTTCAGAGTATTTAAACTTTTTATTGATTATAAAAAAATCTGCTGATAGCAAATCTGCTCAAAAGTTTCTTTCGTAAAAAAATTTAGATGTCGACGTTCGTACAAGATGATTTTTCAAATAAAATCCAAAATCAATCCTGTTTCAGTAGACAAAATGGGCAAAAAAGAGTTCAAGGAGACGCAAATTTGGTATCAAAAGGGATCGCAGAGATATAAAAAGACTGTTGATTTCGAAGAGAGGGCAGTTTGCACTTTGATAGGCAACCTTTTGCTATTTGAAAAACGTCTCAAAAGATACCCCTTCCGTTATTTTTTCTTCATGGAACGGAGATCTTTTTGAAACGTTTTTCGAATAGCAAAAGGTTGCCTATCAAAGTGCAAACTGCCATCTCTTCGAAACCAACAGTCTTTTTATGTCTCTGCGATCCCTTTTGATACAAAATTTGCGTCTCCTTGAACTCTTTTACGCCCATTTGTCTACTGAATCAGGATAAATTTCGGATTTTATTTGAAAAATCCACCGATATGAACGTCTAAATCTAATTTTTTTTTACGAAAGGAACCGTTGAATAAATTGGCTATAAGCAGATTTTTTATTAGAATCAATAAAAAGTTCAAATACTCTGAAGAAAAAGTTGACTAAACTACAAATTTTTTTGATTTCTCCGAGGAAAAAAGAAAGAAATGGAAAAAAATCTTCCGCAATGTTTACTGTATCGAACAGATCAATTGTTTTGAAAGTGCAAAAATTGGTCATAAAATTAACGTCGACATCTAAACTTTTTACGAAAAGGACTGCTGAATAAAAATAAGCAGATTTTTTATTAGAATCAATAAAAAATCAAATATGCCATTAAATTTTTAGGTAATTTTTCGGTTCGCTTATACATTTTTACGATTGTATTTCACATTTTCAGACGTTTCCCACTGCTTATCACAACTCAGCCATCCAAATCACGAACCAATCGCAATTATTTTTATCAAAAATTTTAAAGTGCAAAAACTCAACAACAACAAAATACAAACTATAATGGAGATTTTGAGACAAGTATACGTACATAAACGTTATTGAATTTCTATAAAACATAAAATTTTTTGGTTTCTGCGACTGTCGGCAAAAATCCCAAAAAAAAAATTTTTTAATTAACAATTTTTTGAGCCTCTATGCTAAGCTCCAGACCTTGATCGAGTTGTCTAGAGGTTTCTTCAGCATAATATAGTCCTCTTCTCCGTTTTGCGACTCAAAAATGAATTCCCCATCAAGCCTCGGCGGGGGGAAAACTCGCTGGCCATGGGATGTGGCCATCACTCCCTTATACGGATGTAAACTCAACCCAGCCACTGTGGACTCACTCGCATTCTCCATTACAAAGACTGGTTCGGACGCGGAGCCATCCAGGGAAATTTGAGATTTTTTGAGATCAAAAATGCAAATTGTGCCGTTCGTTGAGCCACTGAACAAATATTTTTCATCCGAGTCCAAGTCGAGGTGGATTCGTTGGTTCGTTACGGCCGGTCGGGCATATTTGGCCCAGATTTGGGTGGGAAACCGGGTGTCATAGCATTCAATGGCATCAGACTGAAAAAATTATATTGTAGTAGGCAAAAAATGGAAAAAAATTTATTCAACCCGTATTTCAAAATAAAAAATCAATCGACAGCAAGCTATTTTAAGAACTAGAGAAAATTTACAAGGCAGCGAAATCAAGTTTTCTTCACTTTTCAACAATATTTATATTGCACTAGATAAAATTATAGGCTAAATATTCGTATTTTAAAACAAAAATTAAACCATTACAAGATTATTTCAGAACCTGCAGGCCATAATACAGCTTGTGAGACTTATTTCTACAAAATTTTTGAATAAAAATTATATTATACTAGGCAAAAATCCCAAAAAGAGCCCCAAATCTGTAATTTTTATTGCCAATTCTAGTCTCAAACACCATCAAATGCCCCAGCGCAAAATTTCCCACATTTTTACATACCGCATTGCCTCCAACGAACAATCTATAACCATCCTTTGAGTATTTTAGCATTCCAATTGCAGCAGCTTCGGTCTGAATAAAAGTGTCGCAAGAATTCGTCTGATCCGAATAAATTCCGACCGAATTCTGGATGCTTCCAACAGCAAAGACCCCGTCAAAAATTGGGGAAAATGTTAGACTTGGGAGCATCGAACTTTGGCCTCCTTCTCTTTTTTCTAAAAATTGAAATTTCCAACAAAAAAAGTACTTACTATAAGTCTTTATCTGGCTGACTTGTCGTCCAGGACGATTGAAATCGAACCTCCGAACGATCCCATGATACGAACCATAACATTTCGTCTGATCCAGGGTGAAATCAAAGGCCAAAGCATGTTCCAGCACGTCCTAAAAAACCAAAGACAATAATAATAAGACTCAAACCCACCAAATGATTCATCCCTCTAAAGGTTGCCAGCTTCTCCGCGGTCCTCGGAACCCATATATGGATCGGTGAATGTGTACTTGTCGTTCCAAAATACTCCCCCGATCTGGCCCATTGAGTATGATAAATAAGTCCGCCACATAATTTCTCGTGCCTCAGTGTTAGCTAAAAACAGAAATAAAAAAAAAGAAAATTGCAACTTACACTATCATCTTCGTTCACGTCGAAAATCCGGACCCGTCGGTCCTCTGAATCCGAGATCAAATACTTCCCGCATGGGGAATATTTCACAGATCGGACATAATTATTTTCGGGGCAATTCTGTGCGAATTCAAACTTTGGAGTTGTCCCAGAACAAAAGCAGTCTGAGACAGTAAACTTGAGTCTTCCAGAAGCATCCAAACTTGGTGTTTTAGATGAAATCTGCTCATCTAGCCATGGATAAGACACTGATGCCGGTTCTATCCGAGATTTCTTGCTCTCTTCTTGACCGACAGCTTCAGCAGAGCGTTTCTCCGCCTAAAATCGTAAAAAAATAAAAATAAATACCGCTTACTTTAGTTACATTGCCATTTTTTCCGTCAGACTTCACATCAGAGCTTGAATTCTCGTCGGAACGCATTTGATTCAGCAGGAATGCAAGTCCAGACTGTTGTCGCATCTGTTTGGCCATGTTCTGTCGGTTATTCGATGGTTTTGGCGCGGGCTTTGAGGGCTCTGAAGGTTGGGGAGACACTTCGGTATCTGGTTGTCTTGTTGATCCTAAAATAAGATAAAATTAATAAATAAAAGCAATATCCGAGGTCTAAGAAGTGTTGACTTCTAGCTGAGAGAAATATAAAGCAATTAGACAAAAAGATGCGCCTAAAAATAAAAGAAAAACAGCAAAATTTTACCTTCCACATGATCGCTAGAGACACCAGGTGTCACATCCGAAGTAGTTGGTCCTGGAGGTTCCACAAGAGCTGAAGTTTCCATTTTTACGAGAAAACAGCCAGCAAACTCTTCACAAATCTTCGGGAGCTGTGAAAACAAATTTCTCTAGAATAATTAGGGCGCAGCTCGCCGGTTTTCATCTTGGAAGACCTTTTATACGCTGAAAAGTAAATTGACAGAAAATGCGGTGCATTGCAGAAACAAATGGCTGCATCTTTCGTAAAGTACGTTTATTGCAACGACAAGCCAAATATTATTAAGAAAACTAATAAAACACGACGTTTTTCAACAATATACAGATACTTTTCCAGATGGGAGTGAGGAACATGACAAATAGGTCCGATTATTACGTTGACAGCGGAGAGGATGAGATTCAAGAATGTTCGTACAAAAATAAGCCTGTTGTGCAGTGGGAAAAGAATTCGGTGAAGTGCAAAAAATACCCTTAAAGGACGCGACATAACAAAGAATCGGCGTTATTACGACAAAATACAACGTGAACAAGAATAAATAACATATCTATGTGCGTATGGTGATGAAACGGTGATCGGGACGACGTTACTCGGAACCGGTGTTACTCATGGTGTTCTCGTCTTTGGCGGGCTGCTCCGTCTTCTTGGGCTTGGAGCGTTTGCCGAGTTTGTGGGGCCATCGTTGATGGAAGTCGGTCTGAAAAGAAATTGCGACTGAAAATTGATATAAAGTTTCTATCAGGGAGAGTGCTTAAGGTTCGACGCTCAGATTTTAATGAAAATGTTACTAGACATGGCTCGCGGGCTGGCCGGCCGGCAAGCCATGTCTAAACATTACTGTTCCATACATTTGTCGTGTCGTTCCGTTTCCCCATCTCGGTGACTTTGACTTCCACTTTTGTATCTTTGGTATCCGAATTTGCACTGGTATGACTTCCCAATTGACTAAACCTTCTCAACATATTCTTATATCGCAAGCAGCAAATTCCGGGGCCGCATTGGGCATAACCCGGAGCACATTGACATGGAGCGGGACCAGTGATGCATGGTGCAGTGAAAGGTGCTGTAAGATATTTTTACTCTGATACTTTACCCTTTAAGACTCTAAAACTTCATTTTACATACCATGTCTCTCGACACAAACTCCTTCACATTGCGGCCTACAGGTAGGCGGACATATACTTTGTATTGTGACGAGGTACGACTGCGTGCATTGGGGATCACATGCCGGCTGACATGATGGTATACAACCAGGTGGAGGCGGTCGTTGTGGTGGTGGAAGGAAGAGGGGAATCACAGGGCGTTGTGGCGGTGCTATTGGTGGAGGTATGGGCTCGTGAATTGGGGGGAGGGGTGAGGGTGGATATGGTGATGGAGGTGGGCATGGTGGGACTTCGCACGGGTTTACGCATTGCGGTAAACAGGCTGGTTGGCATTCGGGAACACACGGCGGCGGCGGTGGTGGAGGTGGTGGTGGTGGCGGCGGAGGTGGTGGCGGAGGTGGTGGTGGAGGAGGAGGTGGCGGTGGTGACGCTTGAACACAAGACGGCAGGCAGGCCGGCTGGCAGACTGGCGCGCATCCAGGGGCTAGGTACGAAGCCGTTGGTGGGATCTGCGGTGAATGAATTGGTGGCAGAGGCGATGGTGGCACCTGAAATGGTGAGTAGCCGATGTTGTTGTAGCCGTAGTTGGGTACCTGTGGAATGCACGCCGGCAGACATTGAGGTTGACATTCCGGAGCGCAATGAGGTGGTGGCGGAGGCGGCGGCGGTGGTGGTGGAGGCGGCGGTGGTGGTGGAGGCGCTTGTTGACACGGGCAAGGCGCTGAGTGTTGTTGACAGGGATCGCAAGTTGTCTGAATGCATTGTGGAGTACACTGCGGTTGACATGCTCCAGGGCACAAATATTGCGGCGGCGGTGGAATTGGTGGTGGCGGTAGCGGTGGAAGCGGAGCTGGTTGGCATGGACAAGGTGCTGAATGTTGTAGACAAGGATCACAAGTTGCCTGAATGCATTGCGGGGAACACTGCGGTTGACATGCTCCGGGGCACAGATATTGAGGCGGTGGCGGAATTGGTGGTAGAGGAGGCAACGGAGGTAGTGGCTGAGGAGAGTATCCACAGTAGTTCGGGCACTGACCTCCGTTTAGACAAGGAGCACAAGCCTGTGTGCATGATGGTTCACATGCCGGTAAACAGCCGGGTAAACAACTATCTGGGGCTGGAACATGGACTATTGGAGGTGCATATCCTGTACAGATGGAGGGGCACGGGCCTCCTTGAGCACATGGATCACATTGCTGAACACATGAAGGGGAACACTGAGGCTGACATGCAGGTATGCATTGAAGTGGTGGTGCGAATTGAGGCGGTGGAGGAAGTGGTTGTGGAACTGGCGGTCCGCAGAAGGACGGACAACCTTGACTTGGATATCCACATTGCGTGCAGGCTTGAACACAAGACGGCTGACAGGCTGGAGCACAGCCTGGGAAACAACCAGGACCAACTGGAGAAAGCTGCGGGAGATTTGGCCCTGCTGGGACCGAGAAGAATGGTGGAGGTTGTGTGCAAAAGCCGGGGCAGCCACCATTAAGGGCGCTGCAGCCTTGGCATTGATCAATACATTGCGGCTCGCACAATGGGCGACAACCAGGGAAGCATGGAGCCGGGAGCGGTGGTGGCGCGGGCGGAGGCTGAATCGGCATTGCAGCTGGCGGCTCAATTGACGGAGAACAGAACTGTTGACAAGGACCTGAAAAGATAGAAATTAACTGTTCAACTAACAATGATTACTGTAATCCGATGGACATTCTCAGTGAACCCTTAAACCTACTAAATTGAGGAATCGAAAATTGTCCTGGATTAAAGAACGCACCATTTGCGCAATTATTACAAATACATGACGGCTGACAGGCCGGCTGACAAGACTGCGGGCATGGAGGCGGGAGTGGCGGTGGAGCAAATTGAGGCTGGAATCCGGGGATACCGCAGAAGGAGGGGCACGGTCCACCGTTACCCAAACAGGAATTGCATTGATTCGTGCAACCAGGGGCACACTGTGGCCGACATCCGGGAGCGCATCCGTCGAAGAAGACTGGTGGGCCAGCTGGAATTGCAGGACCTTGAGGAATGAAACTTGGATCTGGGCCATATTCGAATGGCGACGCCGGGCCGAAATATGGCGGAGCTTGGCAAAAGCTTGGGCAATTGCCGCCATTAGCACAGCCGTCACAGCGCTTTATGCACTGAGGTGAACAAAGCGGACGACAAGCGGGTATGCATACTGTAACTGGCTGAACTGTAAGTATATAAGCTTGTATGCAACGGAGTGAGCAGCTCGGTTGACATGGCCCAACGCAGGGTAATCCGTTCGGCAATATTGTCAATCCTCCGTTTCCTCCTCCTCCGCACCAATCAGGGCAATCAGGCCGGCATCCGGGGAAGCAGGGTCCGGGCCCAAATGGTCCAGGCCCAAACGGTCCAGGCCCAAATGGTCCGGGACCAAACGGTTCTGGTCCTATTGGTCTTGGCCCAGGTAGAATCACTTTCTGCAGACAATTGTTCGAGCAGTCCGGACGACATGTTTCCGGGCAAACGATTCGTTGTCCGCCAATCACAACAACTTGTGGTCCGTTCGGTGGCGAAGGTGGCGGGTATACGATATTATTTGGCGGAGGGAAAACGATGTTGTTTGGCGGCGGAAGAATAATGTTCGGTTGAATTGGGGGCGGCGGAGGCGGCAAGATAATTTGAGGCGGAGGAGGAGGTGGCAAGGTTGGCGGAGGTAGGATTAGTCTTGGCGGTGGTGGCGGCGGAGGCGGTGGTGGTGGCGGCGGAGGCGGCGGTGGTGGCGGAGGCGGTGTCGGCGGCGGTGGCGGCGGGTATGGCACAATCGGCTGCGGTGGTGGCGGCAGCGGTATAGGCGGCCTTATGCATCCGTTACAACCTGCATTAATTTTATAAGCGTTGTTAGACTTTTTAGCTCAAGCAAGCTTGCAAAGCGATGAAAATTAAGATTAATATTGCAAAATTGTTACCATTTCCGTTTGGCCTGACATTTACGATAATGGTTTGAACACATTCTTTGCGGCAGTCTGGCATACATGGGACGGGACAAGTGATGGGGCCAAATGGATTGGTTGGAGGCGGAGGTGGACCAGGAAAAACTCCTCCAGGGAACCCGCCTCCACCAGGCAGCACTACAATCTGGTTCCCTCCTCTGGAAAATGGAGTTCAGTTTACTTCGCTCCAAGATTCTAATAGTCAATTATAGTTACTTACCCGCATCCTCCTCCAATGCAGCCTCCTCCACCGATACATCCTCCTCCAATGCATCCTCCGGGAAGTCCAATTCCTCCCAAGCCCCCGATACCGCCGAGTCCTCCGCCGAGAAGTCCGCCTAGAGGGTCTGTAATTATGCCACCGCCTCCAATACCGTCCAAAGGTATCAGCAGAAAGCGGCGAACACACTGCGGCAGGCACAGTGGCTGGCATTGCTGGACGCAGGGCGATGGGGAGCGTTGGAAATCCCCTAGCGGTGGTTGTAATATCACTGAGGGCGGTAGGGGACAGCCATTACAACCCGGAGGGCAATTGAAGCCACCGAACGGGCCCGCTGTACACGACGCACAACATTGACGTTTGGTTCGTGCTGGCTTTAGAATGGACAATAACGAGTGAAATCGATGCGAATCGGACCGCTGCGACTCCTCTTTGTCGGAGTCATTTTTCGGCTTTAGCGCATCCTAAAAGCAAAAATGATGACTAATGGTTTGGACAAGCTCAGCTGCTAAAGCCGAACTCACCTCTGTTTTTGTCTGATTTTTTGTTGATTCCGCGAAACATGTCTGGAATCCGGTTGAGAAGAGGGCAAGCAGTGTGAGGTAGAAGACTATCGACGAGTATTTTGTCCTCCATCTGTTGTGAGGTGTGAGACCGATGTCGGCCCAATTCCGGTGCCTCATGGAAGCACCGAAGTTGCTAGTAACCGACTGCAATAAGTTGTCTCGTTCCCGTGTATTCTTGTTGTGTGTTCCGTAAGAAAGTAAATTACGGTAACAAGGCTTGTCGTCTGAAAAGGCTATTATAAAATAGCAAACAAGAAATATTCTCGGTAATGTAATGTTAAGAGTACAAAGCGAGAAGCGATTTTGTCAAATTACAACGATTTAATTACTAGTATCATTCTGACGGGAAAATAGTGAGGGCATTGTCGTCGATCGTGTCGCTGAGGTGAAAAGAACAGGACACAATTCATTTTCTCGACGGCGATGCGATTTTCGACGCGACAGAGTGCTCATTATTTTCCCGACAGACTGATTACTAACATAATCATTGAAACAGCTCCCACCCAACCACCCCATAGTATCATAAAACTATGCATAAAAGAGTCATGGCCACCCAGCATGACTAGAAACATATGACCACACAATGGCCAATTGTTTTTGATATGATTTGTCGAATTGAATCGTCCTACAGCGGAAGCAGCCTAATCCCGTCATCGGCTTAGGGCAACCGGTCAGCCGGAAACCCCACCCCTCCATTTCGCCGAAGGCCTGAAATCGAGCGCCGCACCGCGCGCAACCGCCGCTCCAAAGCTGATTAATGCGCAATTCGAGGCTGGAATTCGATCGCTTGAAACCAATTCACACAGTCGGTTTTTCCGCAGCGAGAAAACCCCCACTGATAACACACTTTTTTGTTTGTACGACTACTAACATTTCAGAGGTCAGAGGGTCAAACCCGATGGGGTCGGATTACCCCCAGTCTAAGACCATGAACTGGTTTGAGGATGGGAATGACAGAGGCAAGAAAGACATACTCGAATAGTTTGCAAAGTCAGCATAAAATGCTGGCCCGGTCCCCAAAAAATTGTATGTGAAATACAGCCCGAATAAAGCTAAACGTATTTTTTTGCTAATTCGGAAGATCCAATTGGACCGAAAAACAATGCTTCTCCGTTTACATTATAAGCTCATCAGACATGTGAAGTACCCAGCGAAATGTGGGCTACTCGGTTAACGGAAGAATAAACATTTTACCCGTAGGTTTTGATTCCCTTGGTATGATCAAACCAATGATTTTTGCGACTTATTAGTCACGGTAGTCGTATAAGACGGCCTTAGGGGCTTTTGGCAGCGTAAAAAAAATGGCCGAAGAAAATCCCTGCTATTCTAAGTATGTCGGGAAAATAATGAGCACTCTGTCGCATCGAAAATCGCATTGCCGAAAAATAAGTTGCGTCGCAAGAAAATCGAGTTGCTTTTCACTTTAGCGACGCGATTGGCGCAGCGACATTGTGCACAATATTTTCCCGACAGAGATATATCGGCTGCCGCCAAAAAGTGCGAGTTAAAATTTTGTGGTATTAATATGTAGCTGGTTTAGAACTACCAAGCAAAATTTGAAGAAAAACTGAGTACTGAAATCGGTCTGTCGGGAAAATAATGAGCAATGTCGCTGTCCCGTCACTGAAGTGATAATCAATCTGACTTTGCCGCGACACAATTCATTTTCTCAGCCGCTATGCGATTTTCGTTGCGACAGAGTGTTCATTATTTTCCCGACACAATGATATACAGTATTACAAAACCGAAAAAGTTTCTTGACAACAATCCCCGGATTAACGCATCGAGAAATCAAAATAAAACTTCCCGATCAAATTGAATGATACTACGCTAATTACTTTGCGGAACTTTTTTTTATCACAGGCCTGTCCTTTCAGTTGGAAAAATAAACACAAAGGTATCAGTTACCGTCGGTCGTTGGGTTACGAGCGAAAATAAGAACTGTATTCCTTCCGGTTTGGAGATTGAGAGCAAAAGATGTTGAAATTTTGAATTTATAAAATTAAATTTGTAAAATACGACGTTTATTTCATTTTTGGCAAAATAATCAGCACTCTGTTGCATTGAAAATCGCGAATTTTGTCGCTGCCGCGACAAAATTACTGTATTTTCACAGTCAAATCCGCAAAAATAATTTCAATTTTTTTTCATTTTTTGGACAAAAAATCTCGCTTATTTCTGCAAAACGCGAGCTTGGAGTCTCGCATATGTCTTATAAATCTAGGCATCTCTGTTCATGCCTAGTTTCATCAAAATCTGAACATTTGGGGTAATTCCCCGTTAGCCTCAAAAAGCTGAATGGACTAGCCATGACTATCTGTCTGTCGGGAAAATAATGATCACTCAGCGCCGATCGCGTCGCTGAAATGAAAAGCAATTTGATTTTGCCGCGACACAATTCATTTTCTCGGCGGCGATGCGATTTTCGATGCGACAGAGTGCTCATTATTTTCCCGACAGACTGATATTTGGCATAACAATAAATGATGATTTTATCCAAACAAAAATCGTATTTTATGCAAATTCCCTCCAACAATTTAAATTTTCTCAATTTAACCTCAAAATACGAAAAATTCTCCCTCTGGCCGCAAAAAGTTGGGTAAAATGCGTGAAAATTTGTGCGTTAAAAAAGTGGGGTTTTGTTTTCTCTGTTTGGCGAGCCTTTCAGGGCCGCGAAAACAATTGAGCCGCCTCCAAAAACACTGCGCGGGCTGAAAGGCGCTGGCGATCGCGCACATGTGTACCTTCCCACACGTAAACCCATTTTTTGACCGCCTGAGGCGAGATTTTTCGTATGAGTAATTTCGCAAAATTGAGATTTTTGAGATTTTTGAAATTTTAATTTATGCAACTTTTCGAAGGAAAAATTCAATTTATTCACAGACAAGACCTCAAGTCAAATTTAATCACACAAAATACAGTATACGCATATAAATATTGCTGTATTAAATATTATATTATACTTGATTAATGCTGAAGCGTTGTAGATTGGAATGTAAAAAAAAGTATTTTCATAAAGTGCATGGACATTTTTTTCTTTCGCACTGTGCATTTTGAACGTTTTCCCATGCTTGTCGCCAACGCACAGTGCATTTTTCTCTTTTTCGCACCGTGCAAACCACAAAGAAGTCCGTTGCACCGTGCAAGTTCAGAAAAAATCGCAGCGACGCAGCTTGTCGCGGCGATATTTCCGATGCACGATGCAAACCAAAAAAAGCCGTTCGCACTGTGCAATTTCCAGGCGCCGTCGCAGCGACATTTAAACTTGCCTTGTCGCAGCGATATCCCACCGCACAGTGCAAAAACCAAAAAAATTTTTTTTTGAAGTTTGCAAGTGTGCGAAAAGAGAAAAAAAGTTTGCACTGTGCGTTGGCGACAAGTGTGGGAAAAAGTTCAAAATGCACTGTGCGAAACAGCGACATTTCACCGCAAAGTGCAAAAACCAAAAAAATGTGAAATGCACGGTGCAAGATGGGGGTTTTTGTGCACCGTGTGGGCCGCGACAAATCTCCATGCACTTTATGAAAATACTAATAACTGTTGAATTGAACGTCATAGAAAGTGTTGCGGTTAAATTCGTCTGCCTCTGAATGGTAATCCGTAGCCTCCACAGCCTCCAAATAGTCCGCCGCCCAGTCCGCCAAGGCCTAGTCCACCAAGTCCGCCGAGACCACCTAGGCCGCCAAGTCCACCGAGCCCTCCAATCCCAAGGCCTCCAAGTCCACAAGTCCGTATACAAGTCGGTGCGCAAATCGGCATACAGCACGAACAGCAGTTCTGAAGAAACGGATTGAATGACGGATAGGGATAGGGCTAAATTGGGAAGAAAACCTTTTAATTTTTACACAACATTATTCTCCGCCACATATTATACGTAAAACTTGACATACAGAGATTAGTCAGGCTGTCGGGAAAATAATGAGCACTCTGACGCATCGAAAATTGCTTCGCCGACGAGAAAATGAATTGCGTCGCCGCAAAATCAAATTGCTCACTTCAGCGATGCAATTGGTGCAACTCAGAGTGCTCATTATTTTCCCGACAGACTGATAGTCATCATGGTTGGTCCATTCAATTTTTTGTGGCTAACGAGTAAAGTACTCCAAATACGATGTTCAGATTTCGATGAAACTAGAGGTAAATTTAGATAAATCTTCGGTATGACTCACGCGAGACTCCAAGCTCGCGCTATGCAGAAACAATCGAAATTTTTTGTCAAAAAATGAGAAAATCAAAAAAAATTTTTTTCTAATTTCACCATAAAAAGTTGCATGGCTATTTCTACAACAGAGGGAAATGTGTCCACAAAAAATCAATTTTTTCTGCTTAAAACTGGCAAAAATATGGACAAAAAGTGTGTTTCTCTCTGACCACTCCGCCTTTCGCGTACTCTCTCGGCCAAAAATTTCAGTATCTCGGCTGCGCCTGTAAAGTGTAAGATAAAATTTTCGGACATTGATATATGGCCTATGCCTAAGTCGTGTACAAAATTTTAAAAAAATCTGAGTTTCGCACTAGGAGTACTAACTGTTTTTGAAATGTCGAAGCTCCAAAAACTCCACTTACATGAATAATCGGAACCGGAGCCGGAACCGGCACCGGAGCCGGCACTGGCACCGGTAAAGGCACCGGCATGGGCATTGGCAACGGCACTGGTGCTGGGAACGGCACCGGGCAACAGATTGGGTTCGGCTGCATTAACCCGCAACATCCACCGCCAAAGTATTGGCGTTTCTGGCGATTCAATTTCTTCGTATGACTCGACTTTTGCGCATCAAGTTTTCGCTGATTTAACGGGTGGTCTGTTGAGTTTGCGATGAGAATATTGTGGTTATAGGGTAGTGTGATCAGTAGAGAATTCTCTGGTGGCCGAGCCAGAGACGAGGTCTCTTCCAGCTGCGGCGTTGATGATGTTGTAGATTCTGTGGGCAGAGCAGTTGTCTGGAATCAAAATTTTTGTTGAAACATGGAAAAATCGTTTGATACTGTTCGATAATTTGCTGTGCAGCGTCTTATTAATTACTTTATGAAGATACTATCAGCCTGTCGGGAAAATAATGAGCACAATGTCGTTGTGCCCGTCGGGTCGCTGAATTTGATTTTCCCGGGACACATTTCATTTTCAATACGACAGGGTGCTCATTATTTTCCCGACAGACTGATTTGATCTTCATAAAGTACAGGACACGGACTCTTGTTGCAGTCCGCACCGTGCACAAAAAACCCTCCATCTTGCACCGTGCAATTCACTTTTTTTTTTGTTTTTTTCGCACTGTGCATTTGAACTATCGCTCGAGCAAGTTTCAAACGTTTCGCTGCGTCGGCGCCCAAAATTTTTTGCAGTGCAAACGGCTTTTTTGCGGTTTGCACTGTGCGAAAAGAGCGAAATCCGCTGCACTGGGCGTTAGCGACAAGCATGGAAAAAAGTTGAAAATGCACAGTGCGAAGTAGCGACATTTCGCCGCACAGTGCAAAACCCCAAAAAATAAAAAATGCACGGTGCAAGATGGAAGGTTTTTTATGCACGGTGCGGGCGCGGCAAATGCCCATGCACTTTATCAGTCTGTCGGGAAAATAACGGCGGATCGTCGCGCCTCGGAATCGCCCATCATCGCTCTGCGGCTGCAAGCCGCGGCTTTGGATTTGGTGCGCGATAGCGGCGAGGCGAGACATTTTGCTGCGATAATCCGCCGTTATTTTCCCGACAGACTGATATGAAAATGAAAAAAATCAGTCTGTCGGGAAAATAATGAGCAATGTCGTTGTGCCGATATCAGTCTGTCGGGAAAATAACGGCGGATCGTCGCGCCTCGGAATCGCCCATCATCGCTTTGCGACTGCAAGTCGCGACTTAGGATTTGGTGCGCGATACTAGGCGGGCCAAAAAGTCTTGACATGTCTGCACAGTGCGCCGTCGTGCATGAAATTTGTCGCGCAGCGACAAGAACAATTTACGGTGCAATGCGACACCGCACAGTGCAAAAAGATTGTTTTGAAAAAGGGTAAACAACGCACAGTGCACTCTTCATTCGCACCCCGCCAAAGGTTTTATCGCGCGACACCTCGTCGCGACACCGAATTTATGCGCCCGCACGGTGCGAAAACATGTCAAGACTTTTTGGCCCGCCTAGTACTAGTCCTTCCGTAAAGTCGCTGGAATGATTTCGGCGACGCGCACTGTGCAAGAAAACTCAGGGTGCGAGCGACGTCCCAAAAAAGCTCATTGCACTGTGCAAAAAGCCAAAAATTGCACAGTGCAAAGTGAACTTTCGGTTTCGCGGGGTGCATGTCGCCGAAAACATTCCAGCGACTTTACGGACGGACTAGTAGCGGCGAGGCGAGACATTTTGCTGCGACAACCCGCCGTTATTTTCCCGACAGACTGATAAAAAGAGAATTTGAATTTACCGCGACACAATTCATTTTCATTTCGGCGATGCGATTTTCGATGCGACAGAGTGTTCATTATCGGTCTGTCGGGAAAAAAACGGCGGATCGTCGCGCCTCGGAATCGCTCATCATCGCTTTGCGACTGCAGGCCGCGGCTTGGGATTTGGTGCGCGACAGCGGCGAAGCGAGACATTTTGATGCGACGATCCGCCGTTATTTTTCCGACAGACTGATATTTTCCCGGCAGACTGATATTAGTATTTTCATAAAGTGCATGGACATTTGTCGAGCCCTAAACCGTGTAAAAAACACGTGCTCACTATTTTCCCGACAGACTGATAATAATATATACTCTACATACTCACCTCTAACATCACCAAAAGAATGATTGTCAGACAAAAATAAGTCATCATGTCCAGTGGTCGCCACATCTCGCCACTCGTCTTGAGTAAAATACCGAAATTTCCCGTTCTTCAAATCTTGCGGAAGTTGCTCCAGAACCTCTTCTCACACCGCCAGCACTTGCAATGGGATAAGATTCGGGTTAAGTGTAGCCGGACACCGCAAAGTTTGCGTTGGGGAAACCGTACTTGCCCGGCATCCGAAGATTCTGGACGAGTGGCGTCGCCGGTTGGAGTAGCCGCGCCGGTCTGTTTGCATAGTTCGATTCACTTTCTCCTACACTGAAATGCTGCGCATTGTGTTTGGTTCGGGCTGGAATGGTGGGGGGAAGAGCGCGGGGCGACAGAGAGAGGCGCGATGCAAGTGGTCAGCAACGTGATTTTCACGTATTTTAAGGGGGATTTGGAAATCGAGGAATAAAGGAATGCAAAAACAACATTGTTGTCATTATTTTTTTCAGGAATTGGAGTGTTGGCCCACTTGAGCAAGCCATGTTGGATCTTTGATATATTAGTTTGTCGGGAAAATAATGAGCACTCTGTCGCATCGAAAATCGCATCGCTGCCGAGAAAATGAATAAAATCAAATTGGTCTTCACTTCAGCGACGCGATGTAGCGGCATTGTGCTCATTATTTTCCAGACAAAACTGGTAAGCCAGGCCGAGTTTGATGAGTTCAAATTGACAAATGAAGTGTGAGAAATCTTACACTGTGATTTTAACCAAGATTGGCATGGTATACCTTTCGACTTGATGTACTCCAACTGCGATGCTCAGATTTTTTTGCTTTAGTGGCAACCGAGATGTTCAGCGACCTTTACGGCCGAAAGAGTAAGAGAAACGTGGAGAGCGGTCACAGAGAAACACACCTTTGGCCATAAATTTGCTACTTTTCCGCGGAAGAATTTGATTTTTTTATGATGACATGATCCTCTATGATAGAAATAGGCACATAAATTTTTATGCCAAAATTTGAAAAAAATGTAAAATTTTAACGAACCTTCGACTAAAAAAGTCCTGGTTTTTTAGGCAAAGCGCAAGCTAGAAGTCTCGTATGTGCCTGACATTGTGAGAAAAAACTTATTTAAATTAAAAAAAAAACGATGCGATTTTCAATGCGACACTATGCCCTTTATTTTCCCGACAAACTGCTGGATGTATTTTAAAACTTTTCTGAGCTGAGATAAATCCTCGATCACCAGAAACTACATATAATGCTTGAAGATCCGGCCACAGGGACTATTTTCAAAACCAGTTGTTGTATCGAGTGTTGCGGCTTTCAAGTGATTGGTTTTCCCGTAAGTGCTGACGAAACACGGGGTCCAGACGCGTTATCAATGCGAGCGAAAACAAAAAACAAAACGTAAAAAATTTGGTGCACTATATATGTCGATAAGAGGTTTGAGCGATCAACAAGGAGTTAGATTAGGCCTTGAAATCACGACTTTATTATATTACAGATATCAGATAAAAAGAAAAAATGAAAATCATAGCTAAAACATGATAATTTATTGAGGAAAACAACAAAAAACAAGATATTTGATTGGTTTTACACGCTGTAAGAAGGGCCAGCTCTCTCTATCAGCCCTTTGACTTCATCGTCGTTGTGTTCAACAGGCTTCCGCAAGTGCCCACCGATAATGATGATAAGACAAATGACCATCATCGAGACGGCGCCAATCCCATAGATCGAAAAGATTAGGCTCAGATTCTGGAGAAACATCTGTCGCAGACTGCGCTTCGCATGTTCAATAGGCAAACAAACTGAAAGAAGATTTTTTATCAGTCTGTCGGGAAAATAATGAGCACAATGTGGCTCTAAAATAAAGAGCACAATCGTGTCGCTGAATTGAAAAATAATTTGATTTTCTCCGCGATACAATTCATTTTCTCGGCGATGCGATTTTGATTCGACAGAGTGCTCATTACTTTCCCGACAGACTGATGACTGACGGAAAAATAAAAAAAAATCTTAAGGAAATTGTTTAGGTTGGCGACAAAGGAACGCCGCGATCTTTCTTGCTATTTTCATTCACATTGTCTCGGAGATTAGTCGGATGTTCCGACAAACCCGCTTCTATTTATAAACGATGACTTTTATTACAGTCCGGGACAGATGTCAGTGGTCAAAAGTGCTTCTGAATGCATCCGGGAGGCATTCACAACACGGCGAAATATCAGTCTGTCGGGAAAATAATGAGCACTCTGTTGGAGCGGAAATCGAATAGCCGCGGAGAAAATGAATTGTGTCGAGACAAAATCATTTTTTTCAAATCAGCGATGCAATTGGAGCAGCGACAGAGTGCTGATTATTTTCCCGACAGACTGAGAACTCGTTTTCTGGCCGAAAAAATAGTGTTCTTCCGATGAGAGCCCGAGGCAGTTGTCGTTTTGGAGAGAAGTAGGGAACTCGCGCTCTCTTCGAAAAAAACGTTATTTTCGGCCAAGCAGAGGTAGATTTAGAACAAATTGTTTCCCATCAATAAATCTCGAAAGTGACAAAACGACACATGAATTATCGGATTTATTCTATTTTTTAAGGGGAAAAGAAAATATCGGTCGATTATTTCTGTGGCGATGTGGTGCAGGATCAAACGTAGATGGGTAGAGGGGGCGCTTGGACAACCGCTTTTAGAATAGACACAGGTTTCGGAATAAGGTTTATTGAGACCGCACACAAAGAAAGAGAAATGAGATAGTGTCCTAATAATTGGTGACGAGACGTTGCACGGCAACCCAGGGAGTCTCCCGCCTCGTTTCGGCACTTCGCCCACCTAGTATCGGTTGAATTCAAACGAAATGTCAAAAATGAATTTTTCGTGTGGTTTTCGGACCGAAAAATATTTTTCTCGGAATTATTTTATTTCTTTTGGGAATTTTGACACTTCGTTTGGGCGAAATTCAAAAGTGGGCGGGAGACATTTTTGTTCTATTTTGGGTTGCCGTGCGTTGCTTTTATATGAGGTGGTTTATGCATCAATTATCAGTCTGCCGGGAAAATAATGAGCGCAATGTCGCTGCTCCGATCGTTTTTTTTTTTTTTGAGAAAAGCAATTTGATTTTCTCCACGACACAGTTCATTTTCTCAGCGGCGATGCGATTTTCGCTCCGACAGAGTGCTCATTACTTTCCCGACAGACTGATATAAGATCACAGGTTTTGGGAGGCTGCAGACAGTCAGAGAAATGAAGTTTCCCTAAACGAAAAGCGACGAACGGTTTGAGGGTTTTTCCTTGTGTTCCTTCGGTAACCAACTCTAAATGATAACTGGTCTCATCTAACCGCAATGTAAAAAAAATTTTAAATTTCAAAAAAGCCTAAACAAAAATTCCCGTAGGACAAGGTTTGACCCGAAAAGTCGTAGCCGGAGTTGGACGATCGCGGAAAAAGACGATTGGAGAAAAGTTGAAAGTTTGGCCCTTATGCGTTAGTGGTGTTGTTGTGGTGCCTGCTACTTCTTTCCCCCGCATTCGGAAGCGCTTTCGCCCACTGTTCCCACGCTGTATCCATCCTCGAACCAACTGTTTGCACTTTGAGTCAGGGACAGCGGGAAGCACGCCGATCATTAAGCGTTCAGTCTGGCCGAAGCCTACAAAAACGTTTTTTTTTATCAGCGCAACGTCCACAACGCGCAGAAGACAAGAGGATCCGGAAAAGTCCGCAAATTCGCGTATGAATCGCCTCGGGTGCAACGCGGAGCCAGAGAGCCGGAGGAAGGGCGGAGAGCGCGGCTTATGAAGAGCGCGGCCCGAGAAGCGGCCGCAGTTATGACAAGCAGATTGGTGGGTGGAATATTGTCCACACGTCGGTCGCGCACTTGAGCCCCGCCGTATATAAAGGCTAATGTGACCGGTTGTTGAGCATCAGTTCAAACAACGGTTTCTATCCACTCTTGTTCTCCGCGGGATTTCCCGGATTTTTCGTATAGATTACACCAGAAGGGGTACTGTTTTTTCGTATCATTCGCTTAGTTAGGATATATATAAAAGCGTTGCTTTTTTACACATATCTATAATCCTTATTATCAGTCTCTCAGGAAAATAATGAGTGTTATGTGATCAAAAATCGTATTGCCGCCGAGAAAATGAATTGTGTCGCGGCAAAATCAAATTGCTTTTCACTTCAGCGACGCAATTGGCGCAACCGACATTGCGGTCATTATTTTCGCGACAGACTATAGAAATACCGTTCGATTTTTTAGGACTGTAATAAGCGTGTTGCGTGTTCGTAAATCAGCTACTGAGCTCTTCTCTACGCGTCCCGACTTTTCGGGTCGACGACAGTTTGTGTCGACGAAAAATTGGTAGATACGGGGCGGGTGAATACACCAAAGAAGGTTATAAGAAGTGTCTCTGAGGTCTGACAAAGCCGTTGGTGATTGGCGGAGGCTCGGCGGAACTTGGCCAAGACTAGTATGCTCACCTTTTCTAATTTTAGCTGTTACTAATGTTAGTTTTCTTTACCCTGAGTAATTGTAACATATAAACGCTGACCCGAAAAATCGGAGCGCCCTCCCCATTACAAACAATTTTTGATCCGTTGCAGCTATTATAAGGGCAATCGTATCCAATTTTGTCTAAAAAAACTCGCCTCTAGCTTGTTCCCATTTTTCGAATAGCCTTTTCTATGTTAAACAGTTTAAATTACCGAGTTTAACCAGTATCAAATTGTCCTTTCATCCTCAAACATAATGTGCGGCTAATTTAAGCCTATGCTAACGAATTATACAGCACAATCGCCGCGGGGCGTGTGTTTTGTTGACAGTGCACTTAATCCAATCGCCAATCCCCAAAAAGTTAACCGTCAAATATCGCGAGCGCGGGGCCTGCGTGCGGGTCGAAGCGCAAGCGCTTGAGGGCCCGGAATATAGAACGGATCGTGTTTTTCATAACGCAGGGTCAATCAATGGGGCTTTGGGAGATTTTTGCAATTTTCTGAGTGTTTTTTACAAGACTAATGGTTACTAGTCTGGGCAAAAAGTCGTGAGGATTTTTGCGGCGCCGCGCTGGGGATTTTGGGCGATAAGTCTCGTCGCTTTTTGAAAAACCCAAGAAAGTGTGTTTGCACCGTGCAATTTCGTGTTTTTTGCACTACATAACGTGACGTACAATATTGCAATCTGAGCAAAAAATTGGGTCCGCAAGAAACTCCCAGGACTTATTGCCACAAATGTTTGTATGTCGGAAAAATAATGTGGATTTGTCACGCTTTGAAATCGCCCAACATTGCCTTTCGATGGCTAGCCGCGACTTATGATTTACGACCGCAACAATGCAAAATATTTTGCTGCGACAAATCCACATTATTTTCCCGACTGACTGATAGTAGTTACAGTATCCAATCAACATCCTAAATATCAATATCATACGCTTTATGAACTTTTATTTCACATGTTTCGTGATGATATTACATGCAAGTCAACATGTATACTCCTTATTCCGCAAATATCCAAATTTTCAGAGCTTCGCGCACACTCCCCACTTCAACCGCCAAGAAAACAAGGGCCAAAAAAACAGACAAGCAACATGAAACGTTGGCAGTTGGCCGTCCTGTGCGCCCTTTTGGCTCTCACTGCTCACTCGGTAAGCGGACAGAAAGAGGGCGTTCTGTTTTGAAAACATCCTCTTTTTTGATAAAAACAAGTAAACAAATGTGTGGAAATGTTTCCTTTCGGCAAAAAGTGTCATTTGCGAGCAAAACAAGCCACATAAACATTGTGACACTGACATTTTGGGAGAAAATTGTCTACTATTCCTGAACTTTTTTTATTTTCTCTCATCATTAGGGTCCAATCGACCGTGCTCGTCGGCAAGCCGGTTGTGGTCAACAACAACAACAATGCTGCTGCCAACCCGTTCAACAGCAACCCAAATGCGTCTGCATGCCCGTCCAACAGGACCCCTGCTGCCAGCAACAACAACAGCAACCACAATGCCAGTGCGTGCCAGTCCAACAACAGCCGCAATGCCAATGCGTGCCGGTTCAGCAGCAACCGCAATGTGTGTGCGTCCCCATTCAGCAAGACCCTTGCTGCCAACAGGACCAACAACAGGGCTGTAACTGTCTGCAAGTGACCATTCAGGCCAAGTTGGAGCCTCAACAGGCCCAACAAAATCCATGTTGCGCACAACCCCAGCAACAGCAACCGCAATGTGTCTGCATGCCGGTGCAACAACAAGACCCCTGCTGTCAGCAACAACAACAGCAGCCACAATGTCAGTGCGTCCCGGTCCAGCAGGACCCATGCTGTCAGCAGCAACAACAACAACCTCAATGCCAGTGCGTCCCTGTGCAACAAGACCCTTGCTGCCAACAGCAACAGCAGCAACCCCAATGCCAATGCGTCCCCGTCCAGCAAGATCCTTGCTGCCAGCAACAACAGCAGCAACCGCAATGCCAGTGCATGCCTGTTCAGCAACAGCAGCAGAACCCCTGTTGTCCACAACCCCAGCAGCAACAACCACAGTGTGTCTGCACTCCCGTCCAACAAGACCCCTGCTGTCAGCAGCAACAACAGCAGCCACAATGTGTTTGCACGCCCGTTCAACAGGACCCTTGCTGCCAGCAACAGCAGCAACAATCTCAATGCGTCTGCACTCCAGGTAGGCCATTTTTTGGAGCGATAAGTGGGTTACGATCAAAATTTGTCTTCCCAATAGACTGTTCTGTAAAGCCTAACTAATACCCCACATTCCAGTCCAACAAGACCCCTGCTGCCAGCAGCAACAGCCTCAGCAACAGCAGCTGACCCTCCAGTCCATCACCATCCAATGCAGCCCCGGCCAGTCCAACTGCCAGCAGCAGATGCCTCAAGTAATGCAATGCCAGCAAGCCCAATGCCAGTGCCCACCGCAATACGTGCAGTGCGCGGCGAAGCAGTGCTGTTTGCGCTACCGATACATGTCGCGACGCGCCAAGCGGGCCTTCGAAAAGAAACTGTTGGCCAGGAAGTTGTAAATCCTGGCCACACGTGAAGAGCGTCGAGATTTTCCTTCATGTCTAGGCAAACAGCGGCGCTCTTCGCGATCGTCTATCTATTGGTGTATAAAATGTAAAAGTTCGGTCTGTAATCGCGTTTAATCGCGGTGTTTGGTGACGGTAATTGTCTGTAATAACTTGTAAGCACGTTTGCTCAATTTAAATTCTTTTTTTTGACCAGTTCTCACTCCACGATCCTCTCTTCCTTGCTTCTTCGAAATTGCGCGGATTTTTTGTCCTAAAGCTTTTCGCACTGTGCATTTTTCTGTTTGCACCGTGCAATCGAAACATCGTCGCGAGACAAGCTTTTTCTCAACTGCGTCGCCGCAAAGTTTTTTTTTGGCGCGACAAGCACTTGCACAGAGCGAATTGATTCGGAAAGGCGCGCACAGTCCAACAAAACACAAAAATTTTTTCGCACTGTGCATCGGCGACGAAATTGCACTGTGCGCCTGCGAGCGCAATGCACTGTGCATCGGCGATAAAATGCACAGTGCGTCGGCGATAAAAACGCACTGTGCGTCCGCGACAAGTTGCACTGTGTGTCCGCGACAAATTGCACTGTGCGTCCGCGACAAAAAAACGCACTGTGCGCCGGCGACAAAAATGCACTGCGAGGCGACAAAAAGCCGATGCACTTTCGAAGAGCGTTGTATTTCTCTCACTCTCTCACTCTCTCTCTTTCTCTCTCCCCCTCTCTCTCCCTGCACGGTATTGCCACTCTTTCCGCTCTCCGTTTCTCCGCACCCTCCTCTTTGTCTGTTGTTTCTTGTTGTTCCCCCCGCCGCTTCTTTGCACGCATTCTTCAGGAGAAAAAATCTGGTGTTTCTGTATACTCATCATGTGTTCGCTCGAATAAAGAATAATCGGAAGATCGGTCGGCACTTTGTATTTTATGGCCAATGGTCCGACCCTCGTACATTAAAGGTTCCTTTTCCTGGCCGAAATCGTTCCGTTTTATAATCAGCGAAAGCCGAAAACATTGTTTACAAGTCGCTTTCCTGACGAAATACACGAGGACGGTTTTCAGAATAGATTATCCGATATGTTTTGGGAGCGATGGACATAAATAAACAAACATGGGTACAAACATTACCATAAAGCTGTTGCTTTTTTTGTCAACTCGCCGTTTCGCTGGCTACTCGATTGTACCAGGTATGGACTTGATTACTTTTATGTGTTGCAAGTGCGAGGTCTTTCTTGAGTTTTGCATGCATCTTACAAGGGAAGTGTTTTGGTTGAAGCTCTCAGATTTTCCTTAATGTTTTAACTGCCAGTCTGTCGGGAAAATAATGAGCACGATGTCTCTTCGCCGATTGCGTCGCTGAAGTGAAAAGCAATTTGATTTTCCCGTAACAAAATTCATTTTCTCGCCGCCGATGCGACTTTTGATGCGTCAGAGTGCTCATTGTTAGAGAGTAGGCGAATGCCGAGTGCGGTCAGAGATAAACAGACTTTTCGGCCATATCTTTGCCAATATCGAGCGAAAAAAGTTGATTTTTTGTGGAAACGTCCGATCTACGGTAGAAATAAATACGAAACATTTCATTGCCATAGTCGCAAAAAAATTTAAAATTTTTGCCATTTTTGGACAAAAAATCTCGGGTTTTTTTGCAAAGCGTATCGGAATTTCAACCACTTTTTCCGTCAGAATAGTACGCAAACTTTTCTGACAACCATGATCAATGTCAAGTTTATGCACTTGAGATCACAAATTTTATGATAATTTGGGTCTAAACTCCATCGTCCCTGAATCAGACGGCTCTTGTAGCATGTGATCCACAAAACAGTCGGTCAATAAACACAATTCGAAACGACTCCACGGAGAAAGTTTTGCCTTTTTTGGTGGAAGAGCGACTGATAACGCACTTTCCAACCGAAGCGGATGGAATTTTGCGAGGGAAACGGGCCGATTGATTTGACCTCAGGCATGCGGATTTTATGAGTCTCGTCGGTGCTTTTGTTTGATAACGACAATTTGCTGGATGTTTTCGTTTTTGAAATGGGTCTGCGTATCAAAAAAAATTGAAGTCGGTTTGTCGGGAAAATAATGAGCAATGTCGCTGTCGTGTCGCTGAAGTGAAAAACAATTTGATTTTCTACGCGACACAATTCATTTTTTTTCCGGTGGCGATGCGATTTTCGCTGCGACAGAGTGCTCATTATTTTCCCGACAGACTGATAATATTTTTTATTAAGTGCATGGACATTTGCCGCAGCCCGCACCGTGCGCAAAAAACAGTCATTTTGCACCGTGCAGTTCACTTTTTTTTAGATTTCGCTTTTGCACTGTGCATTGGAAATATCGCCGCGACGAAGCTTTTTTTCAAGTGCGTTGTCGCGGTTTTGCTGGAAAATTTGCACAGTGCAAACGGTTTTTTGACGGTTGCACTGTGCGAAAAGAAAAAAGGGCTCGTCTGCACTGTGCAAAAAAGAATTTTTTCGAGGTGCGCACTGTGCAATTTGGGCGACAGCTTATTTCGCACAGTGCAAGCGGAAAGATCGATCGCACAGTGCGAACGGCTTTTTTTGAAATCTGCACTGTGCGAAAAGATAAAAATGCACTGTGCTGTGGCGACAAGCCTGCGAAAAAGTTCAAAATGCACTGTGCGAAAGGGAAAAAATTTTCTGCATAGTGCAAAAAATTTGGCGCGGGGAATTTGCACAGTGCGAACGACTTTTTTTTTGAAATCTGCACTGTGCGAAAAGATAAAAATGCACTGTGCGTTGGCGACAAGCTTGGGAAGAAGTTCAAAATGCACTGTGCGAAACAGAAAAATTGTCCATGCACTTTATGAAAAGACTAATAAATATTTTACGAACAAAAAATTTTATAGCCATCATTTTTGGAAAAATCGATTTTTTCGGAATTTTAAAAAAATTAAATTTTGATCAATCACAAATGTTACAGTATCATCTTTAACTCTCTTCGAAGGCCCTCAACCTGTCAGTCAAATCTTCCTTTTTTGGTATTGTGAAAACCTTTTCCGTGAAATTTACAAACCCTCCGACGCTTATCAGTCCTCCACAAACAAGACATTTCCAAAGTTTGCATTTGCTTTTCGGGGCCCGGAATACATCTTTGATATTCTGGTTGGGGGAACAAATAAGGTGACCGGGTTGTTTTTGATTATTTTGGTTGGGAATTGAAAATATTTTGTGTGCGTTATCAGTCTGTCGGGAAAATAATGAGCCTATTGTCGCTGCGACAAGCGCATCGCTGCAGTAAAAAGCATTTTGAATTTCGAACATTCTTTTGTCAGCGCTGACGCTGAATTTTATTTTTTTTTACTTTTAAAATACGATGGTTTATCTAATATATTCATAATATCAATTTCAGCCACCATGGTGATCGGCTTGAGTGGCCATTACGGGAAGCTTGGCGCTCACGTCGGCGCACGGCCACATTTGTTCCTCGCACTCGCCCTTCTCCTCAGTTCCCCCGCATTTTTCGGTCTATACTTCTAGTAAGTGCCTCGGTAACTCACCTACAACACACTCCAAAATTTAGTCCATACCTCGACGTTCGATTATCCGATCAATTCATCGAGGAATATGCCGATTCTATCGAGGAAATCAAAGCTCAACAGACGTTCTTCAACTTGAAGGGAGAGCCGTGGTACATGGCAATGTTCGCAATAGCCAAGAAGGGGCAAAATATGTTGGATATGGGAAGCTACAACAAGGCCGCCAGGTTTTACGAGTCCACGTTGGCGATGAATTTGACGGTCGATGGAGAGCGCTACAATTTTACGCAACTTTGCAAACCATTGTGTGGGCTGAATGATCAACTGGTCAAGCTGATGGTAAGAATATTAAATTTATATCCAATCTATCAGTTTCTGTCGGTGACTTAGATGAGACCAGTTATCATTTAGAGTTGGTTTCCGCAAGAATAGAAAGAAAAGCCATCAAACCGTTCGTCGCTTTTCGTTTAGGGAAACTTCATTTCTCTGACTGTCTGCAGTCTCCTCAAACCTGTGATCTTATATCAGTCTGTCGGGAAAATAATGAGGACAGCGTCGCTGCGCAATTCGCGTCGCTGAAATGAAAAGCAACTTTTTTGCCGCGACGCAATTCATTTTCTCGGCGGAGATGCGATCTTTGATGCGACAGAGCGCTCATTATTTTTCCAATTTCTGTTACATCTCCATTTTCCAGGACTACGCCTTCTTCGCCGAGATAAAATGGCCGGTTTCGAAGGTGATGGGCTATAACGTCAACATCGGCAAACATTTCTTCAATCGCACGGTAGATAATAGGACTGGAGAGCTGGTGGGCGCCGAGATTCTTGCGTTTTACTACACGGCGATGCAAACCGACCAACTTAGCACCAACAAGTTGAGGGTGTTTGAGCAAGAGGTAAAAAGGTGGGTAAAAATTACATAATCTATCAGTATGTCGGAAAAATAATGTGGATTTGTCGCAAAATGCCTTCGGTCTGTCGGGAAAATAATGTGGATTTGTCGTAGAGTGTCTTCAGTCTGTCGGGAAAATAATTTGGATTGTCGAAACATGTCTTAAACCTGTCGGGAAAATAATGTGGATTTGTAGCAAAATGTCTCGCACATCAAATTTCCGGCAAAATTTTGCCATCGCAACTCGACGATTGGGCAATTTCAAGGAGCGACAAATCCACATTATTTTACCGACTGGCTGAAAATGGATTTTTAAAATAAAATTGCAAACATTTATCTAATTTCAGGCTGGCCAAGCGCATCAACAAAGACCCAGAAAGCCCGATTGAGATCGTTGTGCACGGCACCAACATTGTTGGTGACCAAATCAAAGGCGGAGTCGTCAAAACGGCGAATTATTTGGCTATCGGTAAGATCCAAGACGGTTTTTGGCTCTGTCGGGAAAATAATGAGCATTCTGTCGCAGCGAAAATCGCGAGAAAATAAATTGTGTCGCGGAAAAATCAAATTGCTTTTCACTTCAGCGACATGATTATTTCAGCGACATTGTGCTCATTATTTTCCCGACAAACTGATATTTCGTAAATTTCCTTCAAATTTTACATTTTCAGGTCTTTCCGTTTCGATGGTGGTGTTCCTGGTGTTATTCTCGATGTCAGCGCTGGCCCGCGACTCCTTCAACGTCTCTCGATTTGTTCTGGCTTTATTCAGCACAGCGTTACTTCCATTTTTATCGGTCTGTGTGGGCATTGGGTACTTGTCATTGCTGGGATACTCACTGAATCTTCTGTTCGTCATGTCGCCGATCATGATCCTGTTTTTGCTGAGCCGTAAGTTTTTTTGGACAGAGAAATTAGCGATTTTAAACCGCGACGAATCCACATTATTTTCCCGACAGACGGATATCAAGAAAATCAAAAAATTCCATCAAAAACTTAATTTTTTTTGAGTCTAAAAATGCCTCAGGCAACTCCCAAATTTTTTTTCTGCGAAGCGAAAAAATGTCCATGCACTTAATGAAATTACTAAAAGTTAACTTATTCCTCTTTACTCCAGATTTCCACGCCATTCTCCACATCTTCTCCACGTTCGACGATCAACAGGCCAACGCCAAGCGCTCGCAATGGAATCGCGCCGAGACCCTGGGCGCCTTATTCGAGCGAATTGGGCCTGTCAATCTTCTGACCAACTTGGTGCCAGTGTTCGGCCTTTTATCCGGCTCATTGTTTGTCTCGCCGGGATATGCGTCGTTCTTCTTGGCCATCGGAATCGCCTTGTTTTTCCATTGGGTCTACCAAATCTTTGTCGTAGCCCCGTTGTTGGCGTTGGGTTTGGCGAATACGACGAAACAGTATCAGCCAGGACTGGGGAATGGCAAGAAATTGTCGACCGTTAGCCTTGCAAAGGTGGGTGTTGAAAATAATGGTATTTGCTGGATAAAGGCTAACATGTGACATATCACTCTGTCGTGAAAACAATAGTGTTTTGCCGCGACACAATTCATTTTCTCCGCGGCGATGCGATTTTTGATTCCACAAATTGCTCATTAATTTCCCGACAAAGCCGATCTGGCCTAACCGTTGTCTGAAACAATTTCCTAAAACTTGGCCCTTATAGTATAACTTCCTTCAATTTGGCCAAGCTTTTCAAAATTAATCTTAATCTTGCAAAGCTAAGTCAAATATGAAAAAAACCTTCATGCCTATAATTTTTACTCAAAGTTTCAAAATTTGATCATTTCAAAACTGTCACAAGTCCGGTTTTTTGGGATATACAGTGGGCGGCCTGATCCATTGGGAAAAAAACGTACCATTTTGTATCCGGGAAGTACCAAAACCGCAGCAAAATACCTCCCTCTCCAAGTGAAAAAACTCGGATTTCAAAGGCGCGCCCTTCAAAACGAAGGTTTTTCACTTGGAGAGGGAAGCATTTTGCCACATTTTTGATACTTCCCGGATGGAAAAAGGTACGTTTTTGCCACTGGATCAGGTCCCGCACTGTACCTCTTTGGCAATTTTGTGTTCACGCGAATCGTTTTTTTCAGGCCGAATCAGCATGTCATCGAGTTGTTGTCCAGCCATATTCAATCATTCTAACCTCGGCACTGGGAAGGATCGCTCTTTTCGCGCTGCTACTTTTGTTTCTGGGATTCCCAGTTCGGATTGGGTTGGAGAACCTCAAATCAGACATGGATTTCCGCACCATCCTGTCGGATTCAGCGCCAGCGGTTCGAGGATTTGGCCTGGTTGACAAGGTAAGTGGATTCTGGGTGCTAGAACAGTTCTGCAAACGCTTCCTTTCTTTTTAATCTGTTATTTTTTTCAGATTTGGAATGATTTCCATCAAATCGTCTTCTTTGTTCGAAGCCCGCCGGATTTCTCAACGAAAGAAGGCTACGGAGCATTCAGGGTGAGCTGCAGTTTTTTTATCTGATACGCACAGTGAATTTTTGTCGCGCCGCACAGTGCGCTTTTATCGCGGATGCACAGTGCGTTTTCTTCGCCGGCACATAGAGCATTTTTGTTGCGCGCACATTGCATTTTGCCACGTTCTGCACGGTGCACCCGGTGCACAACCCACTTTGAACCATCTTGCACTGTGCAATTGCCTGTCGCTCTCGATATGCCGGTTGCACAGTGCAAAATGTCAAAATGCACGGTGCAAAAAGCGGGTTTTTTACATGATGTTGCCCTGCGACAAAAAGTCTTCGCACTTTATGAAAACGCTAGCAGTTAGAAGATACCACTTTTTTGTCCATAAATTTCAAAAATCTCAACGTTTACATTTAGAAATTCATCGATGACGTGGAGCACATCCCCAATTCTCATAGCCCAGCGGCCCATCAAAGCTGGGTGTTCGATTACTTCCCGTCCGAGCTGAAAATGGATTATCATTCCGAAAACGCGACAATTTACCCTCCAAACATGACTCATTTCAACAACTTTATCAACGGATTCCCATACGACGCCTGGAAGGATGGGATAAAATACAGATTTGATGATCTGAATAAGTAGGTTTTCAACATGAATTTACATCTTTTTTTCAGAACAAAACCCGTGATTCTCCGGATGGTTGCCATGATCGCGTATGAAAAAGTCAAGGGCTTGGATGGTAAACGCACGCTGCTCAAAGCCTGTCGCAAAGCAGTGAAGGCGAACCCGTCATTAAACGTGGTGTCCTTCGACACTGACTCAATAAATGTCGACATTATGGAGAACGTTTTGCCAACATTTTATATGTGAGTTGATGAAGATACGACTTACTTATTGCGCCATATTTTCAGCGTTCTCACCGCGTTTTTGGTCTCCACTTTTGTCGTTTCATTCTTCGTGGTGTTCAACTTTGTGATGTCGTTTTTGGCAGTAATTGGAGTTGCCTTTGTGGGTGCGACAACCCTCGGACTGACCGTCTTTTTGACCAGTTTTCACTTCGATCTCCTCAGTTTGTCCTCGTACATTTTGGTTGCAATTTTCGGCCTTCAAATCAGTCTAGCGTTTGTTGGTGACTTCTTGACGGTCTGGGCACACGAAAATCGAGTGCAGCGGGCGATTGGAAGCTGTGGCACCCACGTGTTGAAGGTAAGCCAAAGCAAAATGTTCTTTGTCTCAGTCTGCCGGGAAAATAATAAGCATTATGCCTCATGGAAAATTATTGTACATATTTTGCAGGCCGCCCTCCTCGCTGCCGTCATGTTCAGTTTCCTCTTGCTGTCGGAGGTCCAACTCTTCAGACGGCAGGGCATTCTGGGCCTGCTCACCACACTCGCCGGCCTTTTGAGTGCCCTCCTCGTGCAACCGTTGATCGGCGGAATCATTCCGACCAAACTTATCTCACAAGAGTTTTGCATTTAAACTTGCCATTTTGTTTCCTGTGATCTTTACATATCGCTGTATATCGGTCTACACTTGCCATGCTTTATATAATAAAGAGTTTTATTGTTATTGACTTTGATATTGCTTATTTTCCCGACATAAATCAAGCATGCGTTGGACAGCGCCTGAGCGTTTGTTTCCAACTCATATTTTCATCCCACTTTGCTATTCTGATCTCAAAAATTTTGTGCAAATTTGTCCAACCAAACTCTCGTTCAGCCCCCATATGGTCATGCCTACCTCCAAATTACTTCCACAAAACTAAGTTCTACTTTTGGTCTTCCAAAAAATTTTAAAACTCCCATTTCCGGCCCCAAATTTTACGCCTAACTAAACCCAGCTAGCCTCAGAAATTAACGCGTCCAAAAATAGCCATTGTTACCATGGAAAACAAACAATGCTCGTCACTTTTACACTAAAATCTACGATGCAGATAGCGTCATGAAAAACGACTGCACGTGGTATAAAACACTCACATTTTTGGGTTGAAATTAAACTTTCAGTTGGTTGTTTTGCGGTTAACTTCCGTTCAAGAAGTGGTCGTTAAAAAACGAGTTTTTACAACCAGAAGGACGGCCCGGAAGTTTCCAAAAAACATCTGACTCAGAAACTTTACAAAGAAATTACTTCTATGGGGTATGGAGTTACTGGTCGTGATATATACCATAAAATTCGCAAAGGTTTTCTGATTCAGAATATGTAAAAATTAGCTGCCCACTTTTGGTTAGTAAAGGCGAAAAACCCCTTAGAACTTTACTCGCAACAACATGCAAATGCATTTTTGGCAAGTTTTTACCAATTCAAAGGAACAATTTCATAATTGACACTTTTGTTTGGCTATTCTAGTACAAGAAAAATGCAAAATATCAAAAATTTTGACATGAGACATTCTTTGTTTTCACCTGATAATGAGCAATGCCGCTGTGCCGGTCGTGTCACTGAAGTGAAAAGCGGATTGATTTTCTCCGCGACACAATTCATTTCCTCGGAGGCGATGCGATTTTTCTTTATTTTCCAGACAAACTGATATAAGATCACAGGTTTAAGGAGACTGCAGACAGTCAAAGAAACGAAGTTTCCCTAAACGAAAAGCGACGAACGGTTTGATGGGTTTTCCTTCTCTTCCTGTGGTAACCAACTCTAAATGATAACTGGTCTCATCTAAGCCTCCCACAGTGTTCATTATTTTCCCGACAGCTGATATTTTCCCCTTCCTCATGGTTAGAAATGCATGTTAAGAACCAACTTCTGGGTTCAAAAAAATATTTTCAAATTCGAACCCATTTTAATTTTAAAGACCGTTTGAACTTCAACACGTGTCTTTTTTACCGTACGATTGGACATTTCGAAAACATGACCTTGCCGGGTTTAATTATTCGTCTCCGACGTGTTCAAGTCCTTTCGGAGGCCAAAAGTTTTTTGTCTCATGTCCTCGAAAGGAAGGGGGAGAATTCAATTTTCCGGGCCTTCTGAAGTCAAAAGGGGAGGGATGGTTTCTGCCGCCTGATTACCCATATCAGACATTCGATTAAAAGTTTCCGGCCATTTGAGGTCCAAAGGGGAGGAAGTTAGAATGTCAAATGACCGTTTAGGAGGTAAATAGATGTTGTGAATGGTTTTGTTTCGGTAGTTGTTTGTTGCTATGTGGGTGGGACTTGTTCCAAATATAAAGGCTGATCTTTTGGCCTTGAACAACAGAAGGCATGCTATAGCGGTCTGTCAGGAAAATAATGAGTCTCGCCTTGTCCTGTTGCGCACCAAGTCGAATCGCGGCTAGCCGTCGCAAATCTATGATGGGCGACGCTAATGTGCGAAAAAATTGACATTATTCCCGACGGGTTATATATCAGTCTGTTGGGAAAATAATGAAAACTCTCTCGCATCCTCTCGGAGGAATTGAATTGTGTTGTAGAAAAAATCAAATTGCTTTTCACTTCAGCGACGCGATGGGGGCAGCGACATTGTGCTCATTATTTTCTCGACAGACTGTTACTAGCAACTTCATAAGGTCGGTTTGTCGGGAAAATAACGCCGCATTTCCAGCAGCGGCTACCTACCGCAAAGCGATGGACGATTCGGCGTTGCGACACTGGTAACCGGCCGAAATTTTCCGCTAAGAATTGCCATTTTTCTCTTCCCGTAATCTACGTAGTATGACAGTCATTTTGTATTGACAACTTTCTCATACTAGCCCGTCCGGAAAGTCCTGAAATCGGCGACACGCATTCCGCGAAAACGAAATTTCACTTTGCAATGTGCAATTTTTGGCTTTCTGCATCGTGCAATAGGTTTTTTTGGGCTGTTGCTCGCATCCTGACTTTTTTCGCACAGTGTTAACACCAAAAATCAGTCCGGCGACTTTCCGGAAGGACTAGTACTGATCAGTACACAGATCTACTGAATTTATCCTTTCAAGGTTATGGGAGTTTGTTTTCAAAAAATGGTTTTTGAACTTCACAAATGCCTGTAAAGTTTGAATGGAAAACCATCCATGCACTTTATGAAAATATTAGGTTGATTCAAAAGTTTTTACACATGTCTTTAAAAAATTTTAAAAAATTTAGACCAAAGCCAGTGGGCCTGATATATATCTTGTTAGAAAGAGGGCTGTTTGTAGATTATAGTAGATTAATAACTTTTTACAACTTAGCAATTTGTAGTAGTAGCGCCGTGTTAAACCTTAACTACTCGAAGGAAGAAAAAGTAAACCGCCGGCGTTACGTCTAGAGTGGCTGTATCTTCTTAATATTCTAGAATATGGTATGCCTGTATGTAATCTCTATGGCATCGAGGACAATTTGCTATTGGGCTAGTCGAAAAATTTTTAGTGCGAAAAATCAAAAATTAGGGTCTGGCAAAAGTAGACCCTGTAGACGCAGCTATTAGAAGCACTAAGTGATAACGCTTTCTGTTATTGTAGTGTATGAGTAGCACTACAACGCCAATGCTAAACATTCGCGCTAGCTTTAGCTATCCGGCAGAAAAATCGAATCTTTTTAATCTACCAATATTTTACGTAATTTAGGGGATTTTTACAAAAACGTTTTCTGTTCATTACTCTCGCCCGGTATCCTAGTTATTTAATAAATAATTGATCCTACTTGACATACACTATCAGTTGCTAGACGCGCTAAGCTGAAGGTCCTCTTGAAATACCATTAAAAAAATTAAAAAAATTCGCCTAAAAGTGCAGTTTATGCTACTTTTCTACCTTATAAGGCAATTTCAGTTGGTGACTTTTTGAATGTATCATCAGCATACTGTCTTTGTACAACCTGAATGGCAGCCGAGTCAAAAAAATCTAACTCCTTTCAAAAAATTTTTAAAAATCTGCTTTTGATCGGTAGCTCGGCTCTCCGGCCAACTTTATGGGATGCTACAAAAAACGTCAGTGTAGATATAAGTAGAGCAATAAATTCAGAAGAAACTACAGCCATCCACAGTACGAATAACCCAAAACCCGAGACTTTTTAGTGGGCTGGAAAATTGCTAGGGCCCAGGATATTCACGATGACACAAAGGGAGAAATTTTTAGTATTTTTGAAATATTCTGAAAGGAAGCTTGTAGAAAATAAAATGCCACGAATCAAAAATTTTGCAATGTTCTGCCCCACACATCTATGCTTTCAGTTTTAACGTACATTCAATCAGGCTCCAGGAATTTTATTTTGAAGTGTCTCAAAAAAATGTGTAAAAACTTTTGTATCAACCTAATACTATTTAATATACCCTCTTCTTTGCCAACTTTAGCCGCGAGAAAGTTCCATCTCCCAAAGTTTAGAGGGATATATCCGGTGGAGGATTAAATTATGGCCTCTGTGGTGATGCGAGCCACACTCGTAATTTGAGAGGTCAGTCTGCGAAGTCCTATATGTAAATAGTATAGAAAATTATTTTTAAAGTGGCTAGTAGGTCTTTGGCTTCTGGTTTCTTCGGGAACCCACTCAAAGTGACGAGATGACCCTCGGGTTCGTCATGTATAATATGGACATGTGTCTCTACATGTAAGAGCACGTTTCATAGTAAGTATGTATCATCAGTGCTATAACGTCTTACCGATTAATCCTTCGCCCTTTTTTGCACCATTTTTTATGGCCATCCCAATTCGTTTTACCGGATGTATTGCGTAAGGACATGTGACTAAGCGAAGGTACTTTGGACAGATTTCGTTTCTCATTTGGCTATGCGGACGTATCCAATTTCCGAGACGGGTATTTTCACCTTTTTCACGGAGGTATCGGTGTCTTTTTGTAATGGCGTTCTGTGATAATCCAATATTCAAAAAATGTTTGCCTAACTGACAAAATTTAAATTTTTTACGCGGGAAACACAACATTGGAATCTAAATTTGCGTCATTCTTATCCATGGATAGTTTATTTAATTTTTTTTTTCTAATATTATGGCGTTGCAACGCGTTGGCCTTCAAGAGGAACACTTGACTCAGCCTTGAGTCAACTGTTCCTTTGCGCCCAAAGCCTTGCCGTAGAATTTGCCTCTTTTTTCGTGCATTGTTTTCACGAGCGCATTTTCCAGAAAAAAATCATACGGACTTTTTTGGCGCGAGGTACTGTATTTTTCTACTGTCCCGCCCATTTTTTACCGACCCTAAAAAACAAGTGTTCAATGAATATCCGATAGAATTTCGGTAATTTCAAATTTCCCCTTTAAAAAGTAATACTTTTCCGATATCCCCACGAAAAATTCTTTACTGACCTTCCACGTGATTATTTCTTACCATCGTTTTCTCACTTGTTTACCTCGTTATCCAAAAAAGTTTCTTTTTTTCTGTGAACCAAAAAAACCGTTTATTAAATTTCCTTTTATCCGTTGAACTGATTACCCTTAACAAACCGAACAGTTGTGTTTTGCGGGTAATTCGGTTTAAGGTCGTTCGTGAGGCTGAGCTACTATATGTTTGAGTCAGTTCCGAGACTGTTTGCCACTTTTTTAGATGATCTACTTTTGAAGCGAAGGACTAGTGGATAAATGGAGATGAAGTGTGTCCTTGTTGTCGCCGCAGCATTGCTACTGAGCTACCGTAAGTTGGAGTGATAGTTGTACGCATATTTGGCATAGAATATTATACTCTCCGTCTGTCGGGAAAATAATGAGCACTCTGTCGTAGCGAAAATTGCATTGCCGCCGAGATAATGAATCGTGTCGCGGCAAAATCATAGATGAGACCAATTATCATTTAGAGTTGGTTACCGCAAGAGTCGAAAGGAAAGACATCAAACCGTTCGTCGCATTTCGTTTAGGGAAACTTCATTTCTCTGACTGTCTGCAGTCTCCCAAAACCTGTGATCTTATTATCGTCTGTCGGGAAAATAATAAGGACAACGTCAGCGACACTGTGCTCATTATTTTTTCGGCACACTGATAATATAGAAGCCTGAAAAAATATTTTCTTCTTGCTTTTATGATGACACAACCCTTCAACGAAGGTCTATACGTATCTTGACTGCAAAGGCAATGACTCTAATTTTTTGTGTGGGTTGTGAGTTTTGTTTAGTATACACGCAAAATTTGAACCCAAGAGAAACGTCACAAAATGTTTTTTTTTGTAAAAAATTACACTATTTTTCATTTTAATTTTTTTTTTTGTCTAAACCTCATTTATTTATTTTTTTCATTTCCGTTAACTTTTCGCTGCAAATTCCTTGTAAAACACGCTAATATAATGTCTCAAGGTCCGAGCTTCCGAGCGTTTACTACTTTCGAATTAATTAAAATTTAACTACTATTCCTTTAGTTTAATCCCACTAACTTCGTAGTAAGCCGAAAGCTTTGCAAAAGACTTGTTCCTAAAAATTTATACAGTAAATTGCATTTCCAGAAACATCCGCATTCCCAATTGAAGCGTCGCCAATCCGCCTCGAGGCGCTCTTGAGTTCCGAACCCAATCTGGACGCCCAACTTCAACGGCTCGACATGCTGGCCGGCGGAATTATGCGTCTGCGGCGGGAGGTTCCCGACACTCGCTGCAAAGATGGGAAGTGCTTGGTGCCGCGGACCATCCGACAACTTATTCCGTTCGTTTAAAAGTCCTCAAAAAATAATAATAATTAATAAAATATTTGTGAGAATTTGCAATAAACAACGCTTTTCTAGATGGGAAGAATCTTCATATTTGACTTGAAAAATCCGATTTTCCCTGCGACCCGCAAAAACGAACGGTGAGAAAAATCTGTTCTTTTTGTCCCGGGCAAAATGTAAAATTGTGATCTCGTCAAAACTGTTTTTCATCACGGGATTCAGAGAGATTCCCACTGAAAAGTCAGTATTCGTCATCTCACACCCAAGTGGGAATCGAACCTGCGAGTTTTCGAGTTGCAGTCTTGTTCGGAAACCACTCGGCTATTTGGCGCATCCCGCTCCTTTTTCTTTTTTCTCTCCAATTCTTGCCGGGAAAAAGCGGAAACGATTGGTTGGAATATAATACGATTTTTAGACAGAAAAACATGATTTTTTCTTGGAAAAAATTTTGGATAATAAAAATCAACAATTTTTATTTATTTTCAAGCCAAATTTAAGAGCTAGACTCCGATTTTTTCCGCTGAAATCGCCTGAAAACCGTATTTTTGTCTAAAACAATATCGAATATTGTCAAAAAAAAGTTCAAATCAGCTTTTGTTGGAAGAAAAAGTTTAACCAGATAAAATAAACAACAACTTAGAAAAGTTTTAACCCGGCTCGATCGTGATAAATTCATTTTTCTTGATGTGAGGGCTCCGCCTCCTCCTGCGATTCGTGTTTTTCCTCTTCGATTTCCTCGCCCAACGCGCGCAAATCCTCAATCGTCACTTCTTTGGCTTGAATGTAGGCGACGGCCTCGGCCACAGGTCCGGCCAGATCCGTCTGTTCGCCCAGTTCTCTGAAAATTGATGACAAATACAGAGTCGAAAATTTCTTATCAAAATTTCGACTAAAAAACCGGTCGAAAAAATCCGGAAAATGTGGCTAAATCGAAGTTTGTATATAGTCATAGTCAACTCACTCCAAAATGGTGGATTGTCGCCGACTAACCGGCTGACTTGGCCCAATATTCGCGTCGCTGTGGGTGTGGAATTCGACTCGTCCCCGCTCCTCCAATTCCGTTGAAGCCTGCGATTTCAGCGACGATTTCCGGCTCCAATTTATTGGTTCGGACTCTTCGTGGATGGTCAACATTGGGTGGTTGTAGTAGCGTTGAAGGTCGGCCTGACTTGGATGAACAATCTGAAGTTAAATGGAGCTACCTAATGTAATTTCAAGAGAAGATTTCAGAGTCCACGTGCTTACAAGGTAAGTACTTCTACGGAGTGTGAAGTCACAGGCAGAGATTGCAAGATCACGAAATTTTTACTTTTCTGAACGCCGCGAAGCCTGACTTCGACTTTGGGCCGGCAATCTCTGGTTACAGGTCGAGATATATATCAAAAAATCGCAAAATTTTCCTGATTTAGATTATGTAGTATTAATCAAAGTTGATATTTTTAAGGCTTGTCAAGATGCCAGGGTTTACTTTAGCTCAAAGCAAAGCTTTTGAATTGGTTAAAACTTTATATGTCTCGACTTGTAACTCTACTCGATAGTGGTACTTTTTTTGTCAAAAAAATACAGGGCATTTTCCTACCTTCAGCGGTGGAGTCAGCAGATCATGGACCTCAGAGTTGTTGGTTTGCTCCAATTTCATTCGGTGTCTTTCGATTTGTTCCATAAAGTTTTGCGCGACCTCGGGATGTGGCTCCATTGTATTGTAATTGCTGCCATATTGTGAGCCCTCTTCGCCGAGGCCTTTCTCCGCGTCCGCATCGTACGTATCCGCCGTTACTGTAACCGAGGGGGTTTCGGGCGGGCCACCGGCCGGAACGCCGCTCTGCGCGTTTTGAATCGCAATTCGGACCTGAGAATGAGAGAGAACGATGAATCGGGTTGAAACATCGTCGTATTTGCAGTGCTAGCACTTGAAACTTTTTTTGGGTATCATGCGGATTGTAGCAATATTTGAAAGATAAAGCTGATTGGACTCTTCGTCATTGCCAATGAAATAAAGCGAGTTTATGGGCGATAAGGCAAGCAACGAGCTGAAAAAGGTTAGTTGAAAAAATGAAAAAAAAAGGCATAGGAATTCTAGCAAAGTTGCTGAAGTGACGTCGGCGACTTGCATTGTGCAGAAAAGGGAAAACTTCCTTATTTTGGCCACAACAAAGGTACTCCGCGAACTGCGCCCAAGCTTGGGCAATAAAGTTAGGAAAAAACGCTTCGACCTAGCTGGCCCTGAATTACCATAATAGCTCTATAGTTTTAAGGGTACCCACGAAGGCGATGACGACTCATTTAGTCCCATACGGAGGCAATAAGTTTAGTTCTGGACACGTTTCATCGTATAAAGTGTAAAATCACAGGCTGCAGCCGTTTTTGAAGGGTGAGGTGGTACGTAAAAAAAGAAGGTACCTCGCTAACCAAATCCACTGTCCGGACATTGAAAACGATGAATTGAGCGTGCGCGCTAAATTTGGGCTAATTCCGACCAGTTTCCGCAAAGTTATAAGTCGTGGCCAAAATAAGGAACTTTTACCCAGAAAAGGTCTAAAAATTATGCGAGCGACAGCCCAAGAAAGCCTACTGCGCAGTGCAAAGCGAACCTTTGTTTTCGCACTTTGCATGTCGGCGAAATCACTCCAGCGACTTTGCGAACGGACTAGTAAAAAATCAATTTTCTGGTGAGTTTGCTCTAGGCTGCATATCAGTCTGTCGGGAAAATAATGTGGATTTGTCGAAGCAAAATGTCTCGCCTCGTCGCAGTCACCATCGACCGCGGCTAGCCGTCGCAAAGCGATGGTGTGCAATTCCAAGGCGCAACAAATCCACATAATTTCCCTGACAGGCCGCAAACTCATCGGTGAGAATCTTGGCTAGCAAAGAAAGAAAAATCCTTGCCGACTCGGCAGTATTTATATCAGTCTGTCGGGAAAATAATGGGCGCAATATTACTGCATCGGTCACGTCGCTGAATTGAAACGCGACTTGATTTTGTCACGACAAACGTCGTTTTCGCTTTTGGATGCAACATTGTGCTCATCATTTTCCTGACAGCTGATAACTTTTAGTTGGCCTATGGACAAAGAAAGGAAAGAAAAACAGTAAAAAAGCAACTTTCAACGCCATTCTTTTCGCATAATTTACTCACATCCTTCAACGCCACAACTCCCACCAGCCGACCTCTGTCGGTGACGTAGGCTCGGTTCAGCGATAACAGCGAAAATACCGAGTGCACTTTGTACAAAGAGGTCCTCCGAACCAGCTGGAATGGCGCCGGATCGATGAGATTTTCATCGATTTCGATCGATTGTTGCAGTTGCTCCTGTTCCCAGACCCTCCTCTCGTCCTCGAACAGATCGTATTCCGCCTTTTCTTTGGTGTTTTTGCGTTTCTGCAGGTTGAAGCGATTCTTGGTGTTGCGGAGGAAACTCGCGAGATTCTCTGGAAATCAAAGTTTTGAGGTTAGCGGAGAAGTGCCGTTAAAATTTCGTTGAAATTTCGAATCGCATCTCAGCTTGAAGGAGCTTAACCACTTTACCTCAATTTTGCAACTTACTGCTAACAGAGTCATAATTCAATTTGGACGGCCAACTCAGTTTCTTCGACGTGTCCGACACCTCCGAATGCACCGATTTTGTCTCTTCTTTCCTGGCCGCCTCTGCTCTTTCCTCCTCCTCTGCCTCCTCTTTATTCTCGCTATGAATGGATGCGCTGCTGAAGGCGTTTCGTCGAACTCTTGCGGGCGCTGCCGCCGGCGATTTACTGCCATTTCCGCCGCTGAAATAGCGGATCTTCTTTGGCCTGTCCGATGTTGCTTTGGCTTTCTTCATCTCATCTTTGATGGTCTCCGCGGTGACTGGCTCGATTGTGAATCTAAAGGGTTTGGTTTGAGGAGGGCATTGGATGAAGGGGGCACCTTGAGGAGATGATATGGTAAGGGGGGACTAACAAGGGAAGTACTTGAAGTGTGACGCTCAGATTTTGATGAAACTTGGCACAAATTTAGAATAATTTTTTCTAAGATATATGCGGGAATCCTAGCTCGCGCTTTGCAGAAACAACCGAGATTTTTAGATCGAAAGTCGGCGAAAATTTGGGACTTTTTGCCGAATTTCGGCACGAAAAGTTTCATGCCTATTTCAACCGTAAAGAATAATGTTTCTACAAAAAATCAAATTTTTCCGCACGAAACTGCCAAAGTTATGGCCAAAAAGCGGTTTTCTCTCTGACCGCTCTCCACGTTGAGCGTGCTCTCTCGGCGGCAAAAATCGTTCAATATCTCGGCGGCGCCCGCAAAGCGCGAGCTAAAACTTTCAGGAATTGATATTTAGTCCATACTCGATGTGTGTGCAAAATTTAAAGAAAATCTGAGCGTCACACTTGAAGCACTTCCCCTGTAAGTCGAATTTTTTTAGAATTATTTTTTTCGGTTTTCAAAAAATTTTATGGTAAGGGGCGACCAAGCCCTTACCGTGTATATTTTTTGAAAAATAAAAAAAATATAGTCTACAAAAAATTTCCCTTGGTACAACACAATTTTCGTGGGTTTAATGACCAAAAAATATTTCTCATAATTTTTTAATTTCTTGTGTCATTTGTCACACTCCGTTTGGACGAAATATCTTACCTGCTCCGTGTGAACGATTGTGTTCTCGAATTTGCAAAATCTTCGTTGTCATCGTTTTTCTCCTCTTTCGTTTCATATTCAAGCCCATTTTCATTGATCTCATCCACATGCTCGAGCTCCCGGATCCCTCCATTGGCATGGAAGTCGCCATCAACAAAGCTGGTCTTCTTACTATCAGCATCCAGCACCTGCAAAAACCTCAACGCCATGTTGTCCTTGAAGTGCTGGTCGATTGTCTCGATGGCGACCTTAATACGACGTTCCGCTTCTTGTTTTCGGGCTTCGTCGCCGATTTGAAGGTTGAGGATTTCGAGTAAACGGCGCTTGGCAATCGAACCGAGCAGCATCATCGAATCTGGAAAAGTGAAAATAATATTTTTTGGCGGTTGGATCCGAAGAGGGTTCCTGGGCGAAGAGGTCAGTCCGAGGAATAATTTTGGGGTAAAAGTTCCTTATTTTGGCCACAACTTATAACTTTAAGGTAACTTTGGTCGGAATTAGCCCAAATTTAGCGTGCACGTTTAATTCATCGTTTTCAATGCCCGGACAGTGGATTTAGGTAGTGAGGTACCTTCTTTTTTACGTACCACCTTACCCTTCAAAAACGGCTGCAGCCTGTGATTTTACACTTTATACGATGAAACATGTCCGGAACTAAACTTATTGCCTCCGTATGGAACTAAATGAGTCGTCACAGCCTTCGTAGGTACCAATAAAACTATAGAGCTTATAGCAATCCATTGCCAGCTAGGTCGAAGCGTTTTTTTCTAGCTTTAGTGCCCAAGCTTGGGCGCAGTTCGCGGAGTACCTTCTTTGTGGCCAAAATAAGGAACTTTTTCCAATTTTGGCTGGGACAGTACTTCTATTAGATATGTAGTTACAAGTCGAGATATACATCAAAAAATCGCAAAATTTTTCCGATTCGGAATATGCAAAAATTAGCTGCCCAATTTTGGTTTTTAAGGGCGAAAAGCCCCTCTGAACTTTCCTCGCAACACCAGAAAGTGCCCTTTTTTCACACTGGAACTTCTAATGAATGTGTAGTGTTAATCAAACTTGATATAAAGGCTTGCCAGGGTTTACTCTAGGTCAAAACAAAGTTTTGAATTGGCAAAAACTTCGTCAAGAAAATCCATTTTTGCGGTGTTGCAAGCAAATTTCAGAGGGGGTTTCGCCGTTACAGACCAAAATTAGGCAGCTAATTTTTGCATATTCTGAATCAGGGACATTTTGCTAATTTTTTGATATATGTCTCGACCTGTAACTCCATACTCCATAAAAGTACCTTCCTTATAAAAAGTAGTGCCCTCTTCGTCCAGTTGCTCCCTTTTCACTAACAGGGGAAGTACTCCAAGTGCGACGCTCAGATTTTGATAAAACTTGGCACAAATTTAGAATTATTTTCTGTAAGATATATACGAAAATCCTAGCTCGCGCTTTGCAGAAACAACCGAGATTTTTAGATAGAAAGTCGACAAAAATGTAGGACTTTTTGCTGTGTTTCGGCACCGAAAGTTTCATGCTTATTTCTACCGTAAAGGATAATGTTTCTACAAAAAATCAAATTTTTCCGCACGAAACTGCCAAAGTTATGGCCAAAAAGCGCTTTTCTCTCTGACCGCTCTCCACATTTAGCGTGCTCTCTCGGCGGCAAAAATCGTTCGATATCTCGGCGGCGCCGGCAAAGCGCGAGCTAAAACTTTTAGTAATTGATATTTAGTCCATACCCTGCAAAATTTAAAGAAAATCTGAGCGTCGCACTGGGAGTAGTTCCCCCGTAAACCTTTTTTGGCTGGAGAGACCTAGTATTTATAATTCCAATTCTCACCATGATCATCGACCACCGGAAAGCTGTGGACCTTCCTCATTTCCACGACGATATTCCGAATCTCCATATAGGTTGTTTTTTTGGTCAGATACCTCACAGGAGTCACCATAATATGCTCAGCGGTGAAGAGATGGACACTAAATTAAAGAGTCATACCTTGACGTCAATGTATTTCGCCTACGCTGAATTGGAGGGCGGAATGTCGGGGAGATATGGCAAATGTTTGATATTGATGACTGCATCATAAATCGACGGCTGAAGATGTTTGCAGACCGCGTTGCCAACGATTACTGCAATCTAAAAATCACCGTTTCGCTAATGACTATGCTCACTCACCATTAACGGGATCAAATAGACCAACTGCCCAGTCATTTCGCAGCAAATCATCGCCACCGAAACACTGTGCGAGACGGCACCCGACAACGCGGCCGCGCCCACCACCGCATAGACTCCCGGGAAGATGGGCTGGTCCGTTCCGCCCGGCATACCATCCGGGTACATGACGGAGACGAACTCGCCCACACCCCGCCCAATCGCCGCGCCCACAACGAACGTCGGCATGAACATTCCGCACGGAATCGGCATTGTGTTGCAGAGACCGGAGAGAAAGAGCTAAAAGTTGATGATATTAGTCTGTCGGGAAAATAATGAGCACTCTGTCGCATCGGAAATCGCATTGCCGCCGAAAAGATCATTTTTTGATTCATGCCCTAAGGGCCGAAATGTCCTTAAAATACCAAAAAAAAGCATTGTGATGTTTAATCATAACTCAGATCGTGGCAGATCAAATCATATGAGAGTTGGCAATCTTGTAGAGAATCAAATTTCACACATATAAGCAAAAAAATTGCCACTGCGATCATGTAACCTGCACTTTTGGATTGCAGAACTTTTAAAAATTATTTTTTTTTCAATTGTCGTTGTGAAGTTTATGTTGCTGGGTTTTTTTACAACGTTTACATTTTCTGAAAGCTGACTTTTTACGCTACAGCCATGCCAAAGTTTAGCCTTCTAGCTTAAGCGGCTAGCGAGATATGGCGAGAGAAAGCAAGCGCATTCCGAAAAAAATTCGAAAAGTCGCGGAGATCGGTTGTGTCCCAAAAGTACAAAATGCCGTGCGATTGGCGCAGCGATATTATACTCATTATTTTCCCGACAATCATCCGTTGCGGCAGACCTCTAACCCTTTTTTGAACTCTCCCCCTTTTTGAACACTCCCTCTCAGTTTGAAAATTCAAAAAATGAGGTGTGACATCTTATACGATGAATTTTTTTTTCAAATTGAAAAAATAAGGTGTGACATCTGATACGATAAAAATTTTTTTCAAATTGAAAAAAAATTAGGTGTGACATTCTTAATTTGAAAAAAAATTTCATCGTATAACATGTCACACCTCATTTTTCTCAATTTGAAAAAAAATTTCATCGTATAACATGTCACACCTCATTTTTCTCAATTTGAAAAAAAAATTTCATCGTATAACATGTCACACCTCATTTTTCTCAATTTGAAAAAAATTTTTCATCGTATAAGATGTCACACCTCATTTTTTCAATTTGAAAAAAAAATTTCATCGTATAACATGTCACACTTCGTTTTTTCAATTTTCAAAATGGGAGAGTATTCAAAAAAGGGGAGAATACAGATTTTTTGGTGGAAATCATAAAAGGAGGAGAGTTCAGGCTCAACCACAATCATCAAAAATAGAAGACTTACAAAAGTGAAGGCGAAAAGAGTAACCACCACGAAGAAGTTGTATGGCCCATAGCCTTCGTGGTTGGTCCACGTGGACAGCTGCTCCAACGTGCAGCCATGCGGACTTTCCGCCGACTTCATGGGCTTGGTGAAGGTGCAATTGGAGAACAGATCCACGATCGTTTGAGTGAACTTGTACTAGAATGGCGAGAAGAATGTCAACAGAGTTGTTTCTACTTACCCGACCGGTCAAAAATCTACCGTAGCCTCGCGGATATGTGATGGACGCAACGAAGAAGGAGACGACGATCGGATAGACGATCCAGCTGGAATGAAAATAAAATAATATCAGTCTGTCGGGAAAATAATGAGCAGACGAAAAGTCTACGCACTTTATGAAAATCCTATTAATCTGTCGGAAAAATAATGAACACATTGTTGTTGCGCCGATCGTATCGCTCAAATAGCACACATGGGCGATTGAAACAACCCAGATTTTTTTGGTCAAAAAATCGCAAAAAATTTAATTTGTTTCGCTACTTGTGGGCTGGAATCATAGTTTTTTTTTCCTTTTGGAACGTGTGTATTTCTACACACAGCTTTTAAATTATCAGTCTGTCGAGAAAATAATGAGCACATTGTCGCTGCACCGATCGCTGAATTGAAAAGCAATTTGATTTTGCCACGACAAAATTCATTTTCTCGGCGGCGATTTTCGATGCCACACAGTGCTCAATATTTTCCCGACAGACTGACATATCATGATACTATTGCCGAGAACATTGACTCACTTTTTCTGAAAGAATTTCTTGGCATAATCATTCTGCCGAAGGAACAGGACCAACGAGCGGTAGAAGATGATGTAAGTGGCGGCGACAAATCCGCAAATCACTCCGATCAAGGCGAAGAACGGCAGCTCCTCGTATTCGAAGGCGTCTTTCGGGAAGTCGGTCTGATAGAACGCGACCAACGTCGCTTCGGAATGAAGCAAGACAACACGCAACAGCCGAAAAACGGTCGCACCGCACGCCGCGGCAAAGAATCCTCGCCAATAATTACGCACGGAGAAGTACATTGTAGTTACCTCGATGGAGAAGAGAACGCCTAAAGATGGAAAAAACTCATAATTTTGGAAGGTCTTACCGCCAACCGGAGCACTGAAACAACAGGCAACACCCACTGCGCATGCAGCAGCCAGCATCTCCGACTTGCGGCATTCATTGCCATAGGCACCATCAAAACTGGCAGCAAGGTTGCTGAGAAGGTTCGCGGCGATGGAGGCCAGATGCACGAATGGACCCTAAAACAGGTAAAGCTGCAGTGAGGGGCCTGATCCAGTGGCAAAAAACGTATCATTTTGTATCCGGGAAGTATCAAAAACATGGCAAAATGACTCCCTCTCCAACTAGCAAGGGAAGTACTCCAAGTGCGACGCTCAGATTTTGATGAAACTTGGCACAAATTTTGAATATTTTTTCTAAGATATATGCGTGAATCCTAGCTCGCGTTTTGCAGAAACAACCGAGATTTTTAAACCGAAAGTTCACGACAGACAAACTGATGGGGAAATGACAGACGAGTAAAATGTGGTGACTAAATGAAACGTGTTTCAATAAGATGAAGCTCAGAGTTTGAACCCACACAGGAAGTACCCCAAGCGCGACACTCGGATCTTGATCACACTTCACGCAAATTTAGGCTAATTTTGTATTTTTTTACGCGAGTCGCTATTTCCAGAAACGACCCTCCCTGCAAAGCGCGAGCTATAAGAAAATTTTGGGGAATTGATAGGTGTCGAATGCCCTGCAAAATTCAAAGAAAATCTGAGTGTTTCACTTGAGGGTCCTCCTTTGTTAATTCAGTTTTTCTGGATAGCAGCATGAGCGTGAAGAACCTACAACTTTCCCGATCGGCACACCGGACCCTAATGAGAAGGTAAGTCCAATGAACTTTGAGAGCAATGTTCGAAATGTCAGGTAATCCTTCAATATTACTCCACGAAGGATTGTCTTCATCTCGGGGATCCCAGAACCTGCAACGAGAATATATATATATATGTATATATATATATATATGTATATATATCAGCCTGTCGGGAAAGTAATGAGCACTCTGTCGCATCAAAAATCGCATCGCCACGGCGAGAAAATGAATTGTCAAAAAGTGACATTTTATACGATGAAAAGTGTTTTTTGAGTAACCGCTGACATTATGCAATTAATAAATAAAATTTGGGCTGGGTGACATTTTATACGACAAAAACTTAAATATGAGAAAACGGGTGACATTTCATACGATGAAAAGTGTTTTTTTTTCGTGGGAAAGTGAAATTTCTTTTCACTTCATTATTTTCCCGACAGACTGATATCTTGGAATTTATACAGGGTGTTTCAAGAAATTCCGCGGAAAGTCGTCGTCGATTTCTCGGCGCTCAGCCACGATATCCAAAAAAATTTTTTTGCAGTAGAAAGAATGTAGTGGGCAGTTTTTTGCCTAAAAAGATTTTTTTCTACGCCGACGCGGAATGCAGTGTATTCGGCGGAGACATTTGATAGCTTTTTTGCCAATCCCACTTATCTCAAACGCTTTATTACGAATTTTGACGGTTCAAAAGAGGATGAATCTTGAAGATTGAAGGAGGATTTGCATATTTCTATGTTTTTCAAGTATTCGGCGAAGGTATGGCGGATGCTTTCCATATCGGCGGAGGCCATAACTCATCTTCGGACAAAGACACAGAGCTGGGAAATGGCTCGAAGTGATTCCTGTGCTCTGGTTAACACCATCCTTCATAATTTCTTATGAAAATCAAATTTATTCTCAGTTTGGCGGAGGAATCGGCGGAGGCCATAACACATCTTTGGACAAAGATACAGAGCTGGGGAATTGCTCAAAATGACTCATGTGCTCTGATTAACCCCATCCCTCGTCATTTCTTATGAAAATCACACTTCTTTTCAATCTGGCGGAGGAATCGGCGGAGGTCATAACTCACCTTCGGACAAAGATACAGAGCTGGGAAATGGCTCAAAATGACTCATGTGCTCTGACTAACCCCAGTGTGGAGCGCATGAATCATTTTGAGCAATTCCCCAGCTCTGTATCTTTAACCAAAGATGTGTTATGGCCTCCGCCGATTCCTCCGCCAAACTGAGAAAAAATTTGATTTTCATAAGAAATGATGAAGGATGGTGTTAACCAGAGCACAGGAATTATTTCGAGCCATTTCCCAGCTCTGTGTCTTTGTCCGAAGATGAGTTATGGCCTCCGCCGATATGGAAAGCATCCGCCATACCTTCGCCGAATACTTGAAAAACATAGAAATATGCAAATCCTCCTTCAATCTTCAAGATTCATCCTCTTTTGAACCGTCAAAATTCGTAATAAAGCGTTTGAGATAAGTGGGATTGGCAAAAAAGCTATCAAATGTCTCCGCCGAATACACTGCATTCCGCGTCGGCGTAGAAAAAAATCTTTTTAGGCAAAAAACCGCCCACTACATTCTTTCTACTGCAAAAAAAAAATTTTTTGGATATTGTGGCTGAGCGCCGAGAAATCGACGACGACTTTCCGCGGAATTTCTTGAAACACCCTGTACAGGGTGGGCCACTCGAAACTGACAAGTTGTTTGTTTGAATTTCTCCGCGGAGGCTCTGCCGATTTTTCTAAAATTTAGATTTTTCTGGAGCTGAGACCCGCCATTTTCAACCGACTGAATTTCAAAAAAACATATTTTGAATTAACCTTTCCATGCCTTTTCTAAGTTTTGAAAAAATATTTTCGGGCCGAAACCGCTAAATCTTATAAAATTTTTGGAATGATTTTCAATTGACTTTCTCACACTTGGAAAATTTTTGGTTTTTTTTGGGAAATCGTGGAGTAAAAAGTTGCTAGTGCTCGCCTTAAACTTGTTTAAAGCAAATTGAAAGCCACAAGAGGGTTGTTTGTATTACTATTAGGGCACGAACGCTCAAAAAAAAAAAAAAAAAAAAAAAAATTCAGAAAAGATTGAAAAATTCGACGTCAATCGTTATCGAGTCAGGCTTGGGGCATCTTGAAGCTCAGATACGTAATTAAAATTACGTATCCACGATACGTAATTTTAACTGCTCATGACTCTCAAAGCCACTACAAGTTTGTGATGCGAGAGGAGGTGGGCATAATAACCCAGACAGAAACATTAATAATCAGATTGTTAAATAAAATTGTTTTTGGAACAATATTTGATAACTATCTGAGGTAAAACAAAGAAAATTTCACCCAAGAACTCGGAAAAATGACCAATTTTTCAAAATCATTCCAAAAATTTTCCAAGTTTTAGCGGTTTCGGCCTGAAAATAATTTTTCAAAACTTTGAGAAGGCATGGAAAGGTCAATTCAAAATATATTTTCTTGAAAGTAAGTCGGTTGAAAATGGCGGGTCTCAGCTCCAGAAAAATCTAAATTTTGGAAAAATCGGCGGAGTCTCCGCGGAGAAATTCAAAGAAACAACTTGTCAGTTTCGAGTGGCCCACCCTGTATATTAAAATTTTGGAATTGCGACATCCGCCGGTCATTTCAACCCTTACCAATTGCTTGCGGCGCAATGTAATGTACAAACATGGCGGAGCAGAGGACCAGCATCTCCGTGTAGCCGACCCAAGAGAGGTATGTCAAGAGGTAGTTGGTGGCTTCCGACTCAAACGACCCGCTTAATGTCAACAACACAATTTGAACTGGAATCAAAGGCAAGTTCGAACAGATGTCGTATTTTACCCACATTTATTGAGATAATCGATAATTGCATCCACCACCATACTCGCTATGGCCATTCCAATCCCTAGTATGGCCAACAGAAGCCAGTCCACCAACGTGGAGCGAATTGATCGCCATGTGAGGGCTAAAGAAATGTCATACATATAATATAGTATATGTATATATATATATATATATATATATATATATATATACATATATTATATATTGTGTATACGTTGACTGTCTTACCAGGCCTCATTTGACAGCAAACTTTCGTCAATTGCCCCAGACATGTCTTGGATTTGCGCTCCTCTTTCCAGTCCTCGCGCGGATCGTGCTCGTGGAAGCGGACGCTCTTCCCGCCCTTTTTCTTTTGCTTTTCGTCAACTTCATCCGGCTTGTCTTCGTCTTCGCTGTCGAGACGGTAGCGACCGAGTTGCTGAAGAACAAAATTTATAACAACTTTGTCCAAGTTTCCCATTAGATATACTAAAACTTATACGAGGTTTTCAGCTTGTGCTTTGCTAAAAATACACTAAAATATAGTCGTGGAAATTTACACGACTATATTTTAGCTACATCGCAGGTCACGTTGAAATTTTTTTCCTTTTTGCACCATGCAATAGGCTTTTTTCGGCTGTCGCTCGCACCCTGATTTTTTCGCGCAGTGGAAACCCCAAAGTTCCGTCCGGTGACTTTCAGGAAGGCCTAGTTAATTACACTGTGCAAACTCACTGTTTGGGCTGGATGCACGGTGCGAGTCGCCGAAGATTTGCAGAACTTTTTTTCTTTTGTCTAGGTTCCTATCAGCGTGGGCGTGCAGTGGTTGAGATTTTCTGTCCGAAAAATTAAACAATTTTGAATTTTTTTGAATTTTGCCATGAAAAATTTCATATTCTACCGTAAGGGGAAATTTTTTCACAAAAAAATACATTTTTTTGCACGAAACTATATAAGAAAGATACGACCAAAAAGTGTTTTCTCTCTGACCGCTCTCCGCTTTTTAAGTACTCTCTCAGCCGCAAAGATTGGTCAATAACTCGGCTGCCTTGACAAAGTATGAGCTGAAACTTTCAGAGATTGATACATGCTCTAAACACAATATGTGTGCAAAATTAAAAGAAAATCTGCGCGTCGCACTTGGTGTACTTCCCGTATTATAGCAATGCATTTTTTGTGAAATCCATGACTTTTTTTCGACAACCTTGAAATTCTATGGACTATTTTTTAAAACCTTATCGATTTGCCAACAGAATTTTCGCTGGGATTATTTTTCCAATAAAAAAACTGATCAATTTTCCACATCCAAAAACTTACCACGGTTTGCTCGTAGCTATAGGACCGGTCCAAGGTCTTGAGCTCGCGTTGAAGTTGGTCATTCATCTTATCCTGGCCCATGAAAGCCGTCGCAGAAAAGACTTGAGATCACGTTAAAACAACTGTTCGCAGCGCAATAAACAACTTCTACAGTGCTAATCAAAGTGAATCAAATTTCTTGAACTTGAAATTCATAGAAGACCAAACAAAATTTCTCGGCTCTAAGTGGGCGCTAAATAGCAGCGGTCCTAGCAAGAGCGGCGGCTATGTTCACGATGAGGTTTAGCGAGGAAACCGAAGGGTTTTGGGGTCACAAATAACTTTGTGCGGAATGATAATCGGGCAATCGAAACGCTGCGGATTATGGCTCGGGTTTGGTTTTTTTTTCACGCCAGCGGCCCTCATCCCGTTTCCAGCTCTTTCCAGCCGCTGTTTTCCGGCGTTGCGACTCTTCGCACGGAGGTCGTTGACCGATAATCAAATTTATTCAAATTCAACTTTTGACATGTGAAAATCTAGCGGAGCTTTGGTTTGTTATGCCGATTACGAAAATGGATACGATTTTCAATACATTTATTAAATCTGTTGTTTGAAATGCACAATAAGGGGGCAAGGAGAAACAAAGGAGCGTTATTCGTCGTACATGTCACAAACGTGCGGGTTGAAAATCTTGGAAATGATGGTAGACTCGCTGGTCTCCCGTGAGATCACCTGAAAAAAATCATATGTTTGGTCATTGCTCGTATTTTAAAAGCGTTTTTTTTTGTATGAAATTTTACTTTTAGAACAAAAAAAATTTTTGTCGTATAAAATGTCACCTAGCATTGTATTTTTTGAGTTGTTATAAAATGCAAGCGGTTACCCAAAAAAACACTTTTTATCATATAAGATGTCCTCGATATTTCTAAAGTAGTTTTTGTCGTATAAAATGTCATCTAGCTCTATTTTTTTCGAATTTTGTAACAAAATTCAGTGGTCACCCAAAACCACTTTTCATCGTATAAAATGTCACCCGTTTTCTCATATTTAAATTTTTGTCGTATAAAATGTCACCCAGCCCAAATTTTTTTTATTAATTGCAAAATGTCAGCGGTTACCCAAAAAACACTTTTCATCGTATAAAATGTCACTTTTTTCTCAGATTTGAACAGTCATCGTATAACACGTCACTTTTTTTATTTTCATACAAAATGGCCCATTTTTAGCAAAAACACTTTTCATCGTATAAAATGTCACCAATTTTCTCATCTTTAAAGTTTCATCGTATAAAATGTGACCAGGCCCAAAATTTTTTGAATTTATTGCCAAATGCAAATGCCAACGGTTACCCAAAAAGCACTTTTCATCGTATAAAATGTCACCCATTTTCTCAGATTCTAACTTTCAGCGTATAAAATGTCACCGGGCCAAATTTTGTTTCATTTTTGTAAAAATGACCTCATTTTTCGGACAAACATTTTTCATCGTATAAAACGTCGCCCAGAGCCCACTTACATGTAAATCGTTCAGCAAGCACAACAGTGTTCCCATGCGGGCACCCGTTTCGCTGACACCGTACGTGATGATGATATTGCTGTGTAATTCGGAGTAAATCCGATCCCGTAGTTTGTCCGCGCCCTCGTAGCTGGTGGTCAACCCGATCTCATTCCACAGAATCACTCCCGCCAATGCGGCGATTTCCACTTCCCGGATTTGGAGTCGTCGCATTTTCGCGACCAAATGACGGGCCCGGGCCATGACTGGTTTACACATTCTGGAAAAAATATATTTTAGTGTTTTCATTAAGTGCATGGACATTTGTTTTGTTTCGCACAGTGCATTTTGAACTTTTTCCCACGCACAGTGCAAACTCAAAAAAGCCGTTTGCACAGTGCAAATTTGTCGCGCCTTATTTTTTGCACAGTGCGGTCAATAATTTTTTCTTTCGCACTGTGCATTTTGAACTTTTTCCCACACTTGTCGCTAATGCACAGTGCAAACTCAAAAAAGCCGTCCGCACAGTGCAGATTTTCCACGCCGAAGTTTTTGCACAGTGCAATCAATTTTTTTGTTTTGCACAGTGCATTTTGAACTTTTTCCCATAGTTGTCGCTAACGCACTGTGCATTTTCCTTTTTTTGCACAGTGCAAACTCAAAAAAGCCGTTTGCACAGTGCAAATTTGTCGCGCGAAATTTTTTGCACAGTGCAATCAATTTTTTTCTTTTGCACAGTGCATTTTGAACTGTTTCCCATACTTGTCGCTAACGCACATTCCATTTTGTCGACTGCACTGTGCAAATTCAAAACTTTTCTTTCAAATTTTATGCACAGTGCAGTTTGTGAATTTTTATCTTTTCGCACTGTGCAAACCGCAAAAAAGCCGTCTACACTGTGCACAATGTCGCGCTAAATTTTTTGCACAGTGCAATCAATCTTTTTTTTATTTCGCACAGTGCAATTAATTTTTCCGATTGCACGGTGCAAAATAAGCTGCGATGTCGCCAAAATTGCACAGTGCAATCGATTTTTGAACTTGCACTGTGCGATGTCGCAAAAATTAAATAAAATTGCACAGTGCAATCAAACTTGGTTTTTGCACTGTGCAATCAACTTTTTTGAGCCTCTGCACAGTGCAAAAATCAAAAAAAATTTTTTCAATCGAAAATCAAAAAAATTTTTTTTTTTCAAAATCGAAAAAAACTCACTGTGCAGCGACGGATGGGTCCTTATCTTCCTGGAAAAAGTATTCCATATTATTTCCGTCAATGTATTGACCGTAATGAAGGACAAATCGGGAGTCTTCTTCGCTGGGGAACGCGTTCATTGTTTTGTAGGCTTGGTCCAAGTGACAGAAGGTCGAGGAAAATGCCCTTAGGACTACTACCTGTAAAAAAGGGAGTTAAAATTTGAAAAAAAGCAAAAAAAAAATTTTGAAAATAAAATTTTTTGGTAAAATTTGGAAAATTCTAAAAATAAAAAAAATTTTTTTTTTTGATTTTTTGTTAGAAAAATTTGGAAAATTAAGAAAAAAAATCTTAAAAAAAAAAAAAAAAAAAAACAAAAAATTTTTTGGGTTTTGTTGGAAAATTTTGCAAAATTAAATCCAAAAATCTCAAGAATTACAAAAAATTTTTTTTTTTAATTTTACTTTTTTTATTTTTAAAATTTTTATTTTTTATTTTATTTTATTTTATTTTTTTTTTGAAAAAATACAAAAAAATCAAAAAAAACATCCAAATCCAAAAATTTGAAAAAAAAACACTCATCAACACTTTTTTTCCACCCCAAAAATCTCAAAACCCCCTGCACTGACCTTCAAATCATGTGTGAGCGTGTCGAACGGCTGGAACCAATCATTCACCATGCTGAACATCAAGCTCAGGCATCCACGTTCCATTTTCAAATGCTCCGAATGCTTGACCATCCTATAGATGTCACTGCTAAAAATATTGTCCGGATACATGACCGTATACAACGATTTCTGTGAGCTCTGATAGTTCGCATATCCCTCGTGCATTCGCTGCAACAAACTGGGCCCGGCCGGCGGCGTGTACGGCAGCAGAGCGACGGTGGAGGGCTGGCCCAGATTCCGGATGCCATGTGGCATGACCAGCACCTGACTGTTCACCAGGTCGGCGGGTTTCTGGTTCAGCAACGAGCACGTGAATGTGGAGGAGATGGCGCTCAGGTCGAGGGAGGAGAAAACGTTCGAGTTCACCGAATTCAGCAGCGGGATTGAGGTAGTGATGGGGGTTTGATCCAGAACAGTGCTCTGGCTCGGCAGTTGCGAGGTGGAGCAGCAGGACGCATCGCTGGGACCGCAGCATTCAATGACTTTCACTTCTTTCCGGCGCCCAATTGGGTCGCGGTTCATTTGGACGTCTAAAATGGGATTTTTTGAAATTTTTAGGAAATTTGGAGGGGTTTACTGGGCACTTTGGCTACTAATAACTAGACTATGCCCTGGAAATCGAATAGGAGCAAAGGGGGCTAGGAAAAAATTAAACTTCATGAAACTATGGCAAGAGGAGACCAAAATACCGAAAGACATGTTTCATCGTATAAAATGTCTCCCAAATAATATATTTTGTTTTGGCTGGATTTTTTATGGCATCTTTGTATAAGAAACGTAAAAATTTATATTTTTTAATAACACTATGGCAACAGGAGACCAAACTAACAGAAGATATTTTTCATCGTATAAAATGTCCCGCAAACGGTAAAATTCGAGTTGGATGGATTTATTATGGCATTTTTGTACAGAAACCATAAAAATTTACATTTTTTAACAAAACCATGGCAAGAGGAGACCAAAATCAGAAAAGACCTGTTTCATCGTATAAAATGTCCCGCAACCGACATTTTTCGGCCTCCTTCGCCTTTTTCATCCCTATGCTTCCATTAAAATGAGCAAGCGCCGGATTGCTAGAATACTATGGCAAGATGCGACTAATTTGCAAAAAAATGTGTTTTATCGTATAAAATGTCCCCTTCCTCTTCCTTTATGGTTTATGTCATGCTTTCTACTTCATTCAGTGGTTTCAAACATGTTGAGTCTTTCCGAAATCCCGTGCGCGACGAAAAATCCCAGAAATACGCCGAAAAGTCGGAGTACCCTCAAATTCCCTAAATTAGAACACAAATCAGACGCCTTCCCAAAGCGAAACTGGTCCGTTGACTCCGTCAAGACGACCAGAACACAACGACATGCGTTATGATTTGCTTGAAAAATGGTTCGACATGGAGAGGTCGGAGATTTTATCGCCCAACAAAACCTTACAATTTAGCATGAGGGGAGTAAAGTGCAAAATTACTTGTCCATTAAAGACAAGGAAATGCAAGGCCTTTACCCAAAGATTATGTGGAAATTAGCTTACCTTTCTTATTCATTCCGAGTGCCAGACATTTCTTGAAACGACACGCACGGCACATGTTTCTCATTTCTGAAAAGGAAGTGGATTTTAGTGCTCTACGTCACGAACGTTTTGTGATTTGGTCGGTGGATTGTTGGGGGGATTGGATGCAAAATTTTGGAGGGAAATTTTTGGGATTTTTGAAAATGAAAAAAAATTTAAAAAAATTATAAAAAATGTAAAGTAATAATTTAATGACATTTAAAATTGAAATTCTGAATTTTTGAATTTTCAGATTTTTTTTTGAATTATTAAAAATAAAAAAATTATTTTTTTCTATTTTTAAAATTCAAAGATCTCAAAAATCCCTTCTATTTTAACATGAAAAAATTTTAAAAAATTATAAAAAATTTAAATTAATAATTTAAAGACATTTAAAATTGAAATTTTGAATTTTTGAATTTTCAGATTTTTTTTTTGAATTATTAAAAATAAAAAAAATATTTGTTTCGATTTTTTGAAAATTTTTTAAATTAAAAAAAGCTCAAAAATCCCTTCTATTAGGTTGATTCAAAAGTTTTTCCACATTTTTTTGAGACACTTCAAAATAAAATTCCTGGAGCCTGATTGAATGTACGTTAAAACTGAAAGCATAGATGTATGGGGCAGAACATTGCAAAATTTTTGATTCGTAGCATTTTATTTTCTACAAGCTTCCTTTCAGAATATTTCAAAAATACTAAAAATTTCTCCGTTTGTGTCATGGTGAATATCCCGGGCCCTAGCAATTTTCCAGCCCACTAAAAAGTCTCGGGTTTTGGGTTATTCGTACTGGGGATGGCTGTAGTTTCTTCTGAATTTATTTCTCTACTTATATCTACACTGACGTTTTTTGTAGCATCCCATAAAGTTGGCCGGAGAGCCGAGCTACCGATCAAAAGCAGATTTTTAAAAATTTTTTGAAAGGAGTTAGATTTTTTGACTCGGCTGCCATTCAGGTTGTACAAAGGCAGTATGCTGATGATACATTCAAAAAGTCACCAACTGAAATTGCCTTATAAGGTAGAAAAGTAGCATAAACTGCACTTTTAGGCGAATTTTTGTAATTTTTTTACTGGTACGGCAAGGGGACCTTCAGCTTAGCGCGTCTAGCAACTGATAGTGTATGTCAAGTGGGATCAATTATTTATTAAATAACTAGGATACCGGGCGAGAGTAATGAACAGAAAACGTTTTTGTAAAAATCCCCTAAATTTCGTAAAATATTGGTAGATTAGAAAGATTCGATTTTTCTGCCGCATAGCTAAAGCTAGCGCGAATGTTTAGTGTTGGCGTTGTAGTGCTACTCATACACTACAATAACGGAAAGCGTTATCTCTTAGTGCTTCTAATAGCTGCGTCTACAGGGTCTACTTTTGCCAGACCCTAATTTTAGATTTTTCGCACTAAAAATTTTTCGACTAGCCCTATAGCAAATTGTCCTCGATGCCATAGAGATTACATACAGGCATACCATATTCTAGAATATTAAGAAGATGCAGCCACTCTAGACGTAACGCCGGCGGTTTACTTTTTCTTCCTTCGAGTAGTTAAGGTTTAACACGGCGCTACTACCACAAATTGCTAAGTTGTAAAAAGTTATTAATCTACTATAACCTACAAACAGCTCTCTTTCTAACAAGATATATATCAGGCCCACTGGCTTTGGTCTAAATTTTTTAAAATTTTTTAAAGACATGTGGAAAAACTTTTGAATCAACCTAATATTTTAACCCGAAAAATTTTTAAAAATTGTAAAAAATTAAAACTTATAATTTGAGCAATATTTAAAAATGAAATTTTGAAATTTTGATTTTTTCGATTTTTAAAAATTTTTAAAAAAGCGGAAAAATGGATTTTCTTGATTTTTTGAAAATTTTTAAAATTAAAAAATCTCAAAAATCCCTCCTACCTTTCCTTATCGGGCATTTGCAATTCTGTCTGCACTTGTAGACCTTCTTTTCGGCGACGGTTCGTCGAAAAAAGGCGGCGCACGCGCGACACGCCAGGATCCCGAAGTGGCAGCCGTGGGAGATGTGGCCGCACACCAGACAGCACTTGCCCTGATCCTCGGCGCTGGGCTGGTAGTCCTCCACATCGTCGCTGTAGGAGCCCTGCAGCGGCGGCGAGGTGGAATCCGCCTCCGGCGATTGGCTGCCCACCGTTCTTTGGTCGAGGCTTTCGAACATTCGCAAGGACTGAAGAATCGAAAAATGAAAAATTTTTTGGGGTTTTTGATAAAGCAAGGTGTGTTGGAAAGGGTTCGAAAATCACGTAGGACGAAACGGGCTCACGGACGGTGGGGAAAAGCGGCGGACACAAGAGATTGAAGATCTGAATATGTCTTGGGGAGGAAGCGAAAAATGATTGATCGAGCATGCGGAACAGGCATTTTTTGATATTTTTTATCAAATTTTCGCAACTTTACGAATATTTTCATACTGTAACTAAATTAAAATATATATTCAATAAATTTTCAATATGAATTTTGGTTTTTTTTACTCGAGAAAATAAAGAAAAATCAAAAAGTCAAGGATTTGAGAGAATATCAAAAAAATGTGATTTTTCAAAAGCTTAAAATCAAATTTAAAAAATAAAAAAAATATTTTCATAATGTCTGTGATTAGTAGAACAAATTTTTTATTTGAATTTTGACTTTTTAATCAAAAAATTTGAAAAAAATGTGGATTTTGAGACCCTCCAAAAACGGGATTTTTAGTATTTTAATCGCATTTTAGCAATTTCAAAAGAAGTTTTGAGACTCTGTATGGCCTATATAACTTATTTTTAGGCGGATTTACAATTTTTTCAAAAAAAAAAATTTTTTAATTTTAAAAATTTTTTTTTTTAAAATCGAAAATTTTGCTGTCAAAAAATTCAAAAACTACTCTAAAATTTAATTACAAGCCCAAAAAATATTAAATTCCACCTCAAAACCCCAAAAATACTTAATTAAACCGCTAATTCCGAAGAAAATCCAAAAAAATGTCCCACTTTTCGAAACCGCACTCAACGCCCCGAATTACACTCTTTTTGTAATTTCCCCCTCCGAACACCACTTTCGCGGCCTCTATTTACCCTTATCGCGACGTGCAAGCGGCGAATAATCAGTCACAAACCACGAACACACGCCGAATTTCCCGAAATACAAACTTTTTTGGGAGGGGGAATTGGCTTCAATAAATGTATTCGGCAGCAAATTGGAGGGGCGAAACAGTAGTGTAGCATGTGTGGGGAGTTTTAAATTAAAATAGGCTACGGTAGGGGGGTTTGGAAGGGGATTTGGATTTTTTTCGATTTTTTTGGAAAAAATCAAAAAAATTTTTTTTATTTTTTTATTAAAAAATAAAGGTAAAAATGTGTGTGATGGCGAGTAGTTTTGGGGAAAAATATTTTAAAAAATTTTAATACAAAAAAATCATCAAAAAATCAATTTTTTCGAATTTTTAAAAATTTTTTTGATACAAAAATAAAAAAAAATATTTTTAAATAAAAATAATTATTTTTTATGGCAAATCAGACATGAATTTATAATTTTAGAGGTGTTTTACATCTTATTCAGCAAAAAAAATTCTAAAAAATCCTGAAAAAATCATTTTTAATTCTAAAAAATCCCTAAAAATCATTTTTTTAAATCATTTTAAATTCCCAAAAAATCCCAAAACCCCTGTCACATTTTTCTCCGCCAAAAAATCCCCTCAAAACCCCTCAAACTTCGACGCATTTTGAACCTTTTCCCCATCGCGAGAACCCGCAGAATTCTCGTCCGTCCGAGACGAATGAAGGGAAAGGAGAGAGCGAGAAAAAGAAAAGACTCATTTATGTTTGCCCGCGCCCGACACAAACTACGTGTGTCGCCGCCCCAACTACGTGCGAATCACAACTCATACTCTGTGCCCGGGGCGTAATTTCCCAACAAATGGGGCGGTTGATTACTCACGGTTTGCCAAGGAATGGGCGACAATAAAGAGACGTTTTTTCTTTGGGTTTATGTTTGGATTGGGTTGGCTGGAAAAGTGAGGCTGGTTTAGAGGGGAAATGCTGAAAATGCGAGGCTCAGATTTTCTTTAAATTTTGCACACACGTCGGGTATGGACTAAATATCAATTCCTGAAAGTTTTAGCTCTCTCTTTGCGGGCGCCGCCGAGATATCAAACGATTTTTCCCCCCGAGAGAGCACGCTAAACGTGGAGAGCGGTCAGAGAGCGAAAAGCGCTTTTTGGCCATAACTTTGGCAGTTCCGTGCGGAAAAATTTGATTTTTTGTAGAAACATTATTCTTTACAGTTGAAATAGGCATGAAACTTTTCGTGCCGAAATTCGGCAAAAAGTCCTAAATTTTCGCCGACTTTTGATCTAAAAATCTCGGTTGTTTCTGTAAAGCGCGAGCTAGGATTCTTGCATATATCTTAGAAAAAATTATTCTAAATTCATGCCAAGTTTCATCAAAATCTGAGCGTCGCACTTGGAGTACTTCCCCTGTAAGTTTAGAGGGGAAATGCTGCAAGTTTGAGGCTCAGATTTTGATGAAACTTGGCGCAAATTTAGAGCAATTTTTTCTATGAAATATCCGAGATTCCTAGTTTGCGATTTACTTAAAAAATCGAGATTTTTTGCCAAAAAAAATTTTAAAATTTCAAAATTTTTTTTCGATTTTCATCATGAAAATCTTCTTACCTATTTCTACCGTAGAGGGTGATGTTTCCACAAAAAACCAAGTTTTCCCTCCCAAAACTGGCAAAGATACGACCAAAAAAGTGTTTGTTCTCTGACCCTCTCCGCGTTTTGCGCACTCTCTCGGAGATTGTTGAATATCTCGGCTTCTCCGGCAAATCGTGAACTAAAATTGTCAGGAATTGATATGTAGCCTATGTCTAACGTGTGTGCAAAATTTGAAGAGAATCAGAGCGTCGCAATTGGTACGCTCCTTTGTTTGTGTTGACGAAACGCTCTTTGCGGGAGAGTTTTTGATGAGTCAGAAAGGTAATATGATATTGAGCGAGAAAAGAGGATAAAAAGTGGAAAAAATTTGATAATGAACTGATCAAAAACCATTAGGGGGTTAAAAAACAACAAAAAAAAGCTTTTTGAATTTGAAAAAAATTTATCGCGGATTTTTTCGGATTTTTTTTCATTTTTATGTTATATGTTGTATTAGCAGCCCTAAATCAACTTTTAAAAATTTTAGCTCCCAATTTAATGGTAGCCCTAAGATATTCCACGATTTTTTAGGATCTTTTATGACGAGAGACTCTGGAAAAAGAGAGACGGTTAGAGAAAAAAATCCTTTTTTCCTTACCCCTTCAATTATGAGTTAAAAAGGCAGACTTTTCCACCAAAAAATGTCAAAAAAAAATACTATACTTTGCTGCAATTTATAACCTAAAAAATTAAAAAATCTAAAATTTTTTTTAAAATTTTCCCAAATTTTATGAACGCATGTACCTTGCTCTCCCAAAAACAGGTCTTCAAAAACTTCCTTGTCTCAAATTTCTCCAAGTTCTCCAAATTTACGCGACCCAAAAACATATGCGGCAATTTTGGCGTAAACAAAAAACTGAACCTTGGTCGCAGATTCTTTTATAGCTTCGGAAAAGAGAATGTTTAGGCTTCGTTGGAAGTATTTTTTACTTTTTGATCCTGAAAAGCAATTTGATTTTGTCGCGACACAATTCATTTTGTCAGCGGCAATGCGATTTTCGATGCGCCAGAGTGTTCATTATTTTCCCGACATAATGATAAAAAATTGAAAATATTTTTTTTTTCATTTTGAAAATTTTTGAAAAAGTATAGAACCCCTCAAAATTCGGAGGAAAAACTCAGAATATTGCAAAAAAATTCAAAAATGGCCAAATTCAACACAAAAGTTGCAAAAAATCAAAAAAAAATCGAAAAACGCTCCATTTTCCCCTAAAAATCCATCCATTAACTTTTTCCTATCCACAACTACAAAACCCGTCCGGGCGTTATCAGATGCCGCGTCGATTGTCATCGAAATGCGAGAAGATAGAAGAGAAAACTTTAAAAATTGTCAAAAACTTTCAAAATTCGAAGAAAAATCATTAAATTCCAAAAAAAGGGCAAAAAATCGAAAAAGTTCAAAAATTCCAAGCAAATAAGCAAAAAGATTTACAATTCGTTTTATCAGCGCCGATGCGATTTGCGCTTCGACAGAGTTCTCATTATTTTCCCGACAGACTGATATAGATCACAGGTCTGAGGAGACTGCAGACAGTCAGAGAAACGAAGTTTCCCTAAACGAAAAGCGACGAACGGTTTGATGGCTTTTCCTGCTATTCCTGCGGTAACCAAATCTAAATGATAACTGGTCTCATCTAAATCTCCGACAGAGTGCTCATTATTTTCCCGACTAACGACTACAAAACCCGTCCGAGCGTTATCGGGAAGCCGCCCCCGACTGTCGTCGAAATGCGAGACGAAGGGAGGATGACGAAAAACACATTAACTGATAGCAGCGACTACAGAAAATGACACAAATGGTCTCCGTCAATTGCGCTGGGAGGGAATCGCGCTTCTCGTGACAAAGCGACGCCTTTGCGTGATGTGGAAATGCGATCTAGTCTGTGTTGGGCGTACTTCGGAGCGCGGGGGCTTCGCAAGTGATCGGGTAGCCGAAATGGAGGGGAAAACACACAACGGTATTACTCGTTTTGCGCCGGTTATGGTGTGAACAAAATGCTGAAGGGGCGTAAGATAGTTTGTATTTTATGTCAGTCTGTCGGGAAAATAATGGGCATTATATCGCATCGAAAATCGCCGCCGGGGAAAATAATCCCTCGTCTGCAAGGATTGTTGAATATCTCAACTGTGCCTGCAACGCAAACGCTAAACTAAACAATAATTGATGCGTAGATCAACCCCGTTGCGCACACAAAATTTGACGAAAATCCGAGCATCGTGCCCCCAGCTTGCTCCATCAACATGTACACAGCTTGCCCCCTTTCCAGACTACGAAGAATAAAGTCCAATTACATCTGCCCAAGCGAAAGCAAACAACGCGTATAGCGACAGCCGAAGCGGTCGACGACAAACTCCACAGTTTCGCAAATATCCAACTCAGTCAAACACAACAATGAGGGAAGAGGATTCGACAGTAGCTTGTGCTGTGCGACGCTAAATCCAAGTGTTCTTTAGAGGAGAAGTGCTTGAAGCGCGATGCTCAGATCTTA